TCTGCCGCGAGTCTGTTCGCGGCTCGGACACTTCCGCGCCGCTCTTCCCCGCTGCACGGGCCCGCGGCTTTTCCTCCGCTGTCACGTCAATCGGAAAATGCACACGCGCGCACACACCGATCGACCCTGGCTGGAGTCGACACGGGGCAAAGCAGTCGGCCGTCCGGTCCGAGCGAGTCAACCTGATTTACTCGCGGACCGGCGATCGAGGATAAACGAGAGATCAACCGAGAATCGATCGCGACTATCGAATCATCGAGCGTTACGCGTTCGATGCGCGACAGGTACTCTTCACCGACGGCCACCGACGACGACGTCTCTCTGGCCTCGCGAGCCACCGCACCGTCGTTCCGTCACCTCCTTCTCCTCCTACTTTTACTCCTACTCCTACGATGCTACCGTTTCTACTCTCACCCCACCCTTACCCTATTTCTCCTACCCTCTCCCTTTCCCTTCCTCTCTGTCTTACCTACACGCTTGGACTCGCGCGATCTCGTAACCGCCCTATCGGCCCCGACGCTACCGAACTCGTCCTTCCTCTTCCCTTTATCTGTTTCCTTTCCTACCCTTTCTTTCGTTATCCTTCCCTTTGATCATCGTACTTCCGTAGTACGAAGTATCCGACTCGAACGCTTTGATTATATCTTTTCTTAATTCCTGTATTTTGTATACGGCTTCTTTTCCTCCTTCCCTATTCTTTCTGCCACCCCTCCCTTTTTCTCTTTCTGCATAACTATTCGTTTTACCCCTCTCTTGAATCGGTTGATAATTTTAGATTCTCGGCGCAGTTCGGTCGACGCTGCCACTGCTCAGCCTGCGTCGCGCACTCGAATATCGACATTCGACGCCCGCGAGAATCGCGAGCGCACGCGACCCGACCGAAACCTCCGCGGAGTTCAGATTATACGGGGAGGGGAGAACGGATGCATCGACTAACCTTTCCTTTGCATCCTTTTCTCTCTTTTTTCTTCCTTTGTGCTTTGCTGCCTCACGTGCTTACTTTGTTTACGCGACCTCTATTGTTCTCCTTTAACCCCTGAGGGCCCGTATGAGACCAATCGAGCGTTCGCGAACGATCTTCATGTTCGTCGATGCTCGCCGGTTTCGTTGCTTCCGATTAATGGTTGGTCATACTGTTTCATAATTATTTCATAAAATTAACATTTATGGAAAGACTTCGCATAAATTTGTACCTGAAAAGTGCAAGTCCATTTTCGTTACTTTAGAAAAAAGACATTCATACATTTTTTGTATGGAAACATTTTGTATGACATTTTGTATTGTCTCTGATTAGTCAGAGACAATAAAAGGGTGGACTTGGATGAATTTTACATACAGAAGTAATAGAAATGTGTAAAAATGTAAAAATATTACCAGTAACCTATCCTCCACAGAACGGAGTATAAACGCTCCCCGCCATCTTTTCTGCGTATTCCGAATGTTCGATTATCGATCGAAAGATCTTCGATTTCATGGCTACGATACTGCACTTTATATACACATGTAAATTGAGCAACCGTGCAATTCTAAGACGCGAGTTGATATCGGATATTTTTAATAACGAGGTCGTTCGTTAATTTTCGATACGCTCGATTATTAATAACGAGCGTTAATTTTTATACCTGTGTATAATGAATTCGACACATTGATTTCGATTCGACGCGACTGTCGATCTCAGGGCGATCGACAATGACGTCACAAGGTGGGAATAACAAAATCATCGAAGCAAACTGTGCAAACACATAAACATTTTCTCGATAATATTTTCATTTCTGTATTCGACACGTTGTTGTAATCGACTCGACTCGATCTTTTAAATTTTACGCTCAACTCGACCGCATTGGCAGTCGTGCCAACATTATGAATGATTCGATTCGTTTACGACTTTACGTCATCGTCGCGTAGCGCGCTCCTTGTATTTATCATTGATCAATTTTTACGCTAAAATGAATTTTGCAGTATTTTATTGGGCGCTGCTAATGTCGTGTTGCCTGTCGCTTAGTAAGTCAAATAAATATCGGTTTGTTATCAACAGTAACTTGTTTATTGATGTTTTTTAGGCCACGCCCTGGAATGCTATGTTTGTACTAATCAAGAAGGTAACAGAGAAAAGTGCCTGAAAAGTACAAAAACTTGCGAGCAAGGTCAAGATGCTTGTTTAACGAAGATCAGATGGGGAAGTAAGTTTTATTTCGTTAAAATGAAACGTTACTTTGTACGTGAACAGAATTTGAGGTTATGTTTATGTGTTTTGACAAACCCTTGTTTATTTGTCACTTCCGTTACTGAAATAGAAGTTTCGTTAAGCTAAACTTCCTTAGAATAGTTTGACAATGTGGTTTGACTTTCTAGGCACTCCATACTGGTCACCAGGAGCGAAGAAGCAGTTTTATGTTTCCAAGTCATGTTCCACTAAGAAGCAGTGCGAAAGAATAAAGCAGGCTAACATGAATGATTGTACATATATATGGTACCAAGATTGGCAATGTTCAGATTGTTGTCAAGGAGACAAGTGCAATTACTTTGTTATAGTAAGTTAAAACACTGTCATTGTAACTTGATATGTATGATTGTTTTGTAAATATATGATTGTTTCATTTCAGTCTGCTGCGGAGAAAATAAATCCACATTGGCCAACCATAATTGCCTCGTTATCACTGTACACTTTATGGAGTATTAACAAACCTTAGTATCGAATCACAATTAGAGACTGAACAAACTATAAGACACGTCGTACATAAAATGTGCGTCAAAGATGCTTACACAATCAAGAGTTTTGATTGTACAACAGTGAACAAGAAGGAAGAGATGAACCTGAATACCACATCCGTCCAATATAAAATTTTTATACGTAATATTTAGTTTAATTTGATAGATTTTATATTTTACATTGCTAATTCTGTATACATGCACATGTATATATGCATTTATGTATAATTACATGTAAATAACTCTTTGTAAGAGGATATATTATTTGTCACCTGTTATTAAATTATCCAATCACTCAAAATATTTTACACAGTACACAGTTTGGAATTTATTTTTGGAATCTAAGTTTTATCTGCGCATCTCATCGTAAGCGTTAAGCAGTGAGATAACGCTCACCGACAAATGCTTCAAGCGATTAAGTGCGTGACTATCACAGCGAATTATGCGACTTTAGGATATCTGATATTCGCGTACATCAGCAGTATCAAGGGTAGTTCTAAACAAGATAACTGTCATTTGTCATACAGTGTCGAGTGAATACAAGCGTGTTTAAAATCCACATGCATAAAATTGCATGTAGTGTATATAAACGAGAATAAATTTATGGTGAATCGACGGTAAAGACGTGATCCAACAGACGTCGAAGAAACGTACACTGAACTATAAACGAATCTTTTCGTAATCGATATTAAAAGTTGCGTTACACGTGCACTACAGGTTTCGTGTTGAAATCGATCGATGAAAGATTGATTTCGGAGGGGATAAGAATTCATAGGAAAATGATAAGAAGTATTTATACATAGGTATTCGCTTCTAGAAAACTTCCAAAGACGCTATCTGTCGCTTATCGTACTTTTAACCCACGATCGAACCGCGGTAGTTAAGACCGACTTATTAAAGACAGACACGATTGATCTAAACGAGACCTAACGGATCTAATCAATTCGCGACAACGAAACGAGTCGCACCAATTGAATGCCTCAGCCTGCTAGCTAACGTGACCGATCTTGATTTAAAGAGATTTTAATTAGCGTTGCTGTAGTAGAACCGAATGTTCAGCCCGTAGCCGGTCATTTATCGTGCTCCTCGTCAATGGGTTCAACCAAAATGGATTCCTCTTTGAACCCGCGTCGGATGGTAAGCTCAGTCGAATTTTTCTCGACCGAATTTTCATCTTCTCAATTTTAGTTATATGACGTAAAAAACTGGAGTCTGCGGGGCACGTGCAAGGCGATCAGTCGCAAGAAGGAAGTGACGTTCTCTCCAGACACGAAGCTGGCCAGATGTCTATCAACCCTAGATCTGATCGCCCTTGGAATAGGCTCGACTCTGGGCGTCGGCGTTTATGTCCTTGCGGGCTCCGTCTCAAAAAGCACAGCCGGTCCCGCTGTAATAATTTCCTTCGCCATCGCCGCGTTCGCGTCCATGATCGCAGGTACGGAATTCGGTAGAAAAATCGATGGAGTTCGCTGAAAGTAAAATTCGTCAGGTTTGTGCTACGCTGAGTTCGGCGCGAGAGTGCCGCGTGCCGGGTCGGCCTACGTCTACAGCTACGTAACGATGGGAGAGTTTACGGCTTTTCTGATCGGGTGGACTCTAATCCTGGAGTACGTAATCGGCTCGGCCAGCGTGGTGCGCGGACTAAGCACTTACGTGGATGCTTTGTTCAACAACGCTATGAAGAACGCCTTCGAATCCGCAGCGCCTATAGACATCAGCAACTTCTCTTCCTACCCTGACTTCTTCGCTTTTGGAGTCACTCTGATCTTCTCTGGTAAGATAAACAATGACTCTCGAGTCAAGGTCGTCATGGTCTTTGCATTTCAGCGGCGCTGGCGTTCGGAGCGAAGGAGTCCTCCTTGGCGAACAACGTCTTCACCCTGGTGAATCTGTCCGTGGTGCTCTTCGTGATAATCGTGGGATCTCTTAAAGGTAAGACGATCGTCCAGTTGAAGGCTGGTGATAACTAATCGATTGGATTCGAAGCTGACGTAACGAATTGGAAAACGAAGCCCACGTGCTCGGAAGAGGAGTGCGGAACCGGAGGATTCGCGCCTTATGGCATCGCGGGGATCATAAGGGGAGCAGCGACGTGCTTTTACGGTTTCATCGGATTCGATTGCGTCGCCACTACCGGGGAGGAAGCGAAAGATCCGCAGAGATCTATACCCATTGCGATCGTTGTCTGCCTCACCGTTGTCTTCCTAGCCTATTTTGGTGTCTCCGCGGTTTTAACCACCGTGTTACCGTACTATGAACAGGATCCCGATGCCCCGTTTCCTCATTTGTTTGAGACAGTCGGGTGGAGCTGGGCGAAATGGGTGGTTACCATAGGTGCCATCTGCGGCTTATGCGCTAGGTAATTAAACATGTAGATGACATTAAAGGAAGCGTTGAAATTATGTCGGTGTTTCAGTTTGTTAGGCGCGATGTTTCCTCTGCCACGAGTGATTTATGCGATGGCTTCTGATGGACTGATATTTGAGTGGATGGGGAAAATCAACTCCAGGTTCCATACGCCCATCATGGGTACCTTCTCCGCGGGAGTCCTCACTGGTATTTATACAGAATCTAAAACAATGAACAAATTAATGTACTTGCTTAGGGTATTAGGAAAAAGGAGTAGTATTTACCTTTCAAGTTTTTGTAATTCCTCTGTGAAGTGATGTATGTCTTAATCCACAAGTTCCCTGATTAATGAAGTATAACCATAGCTGTACTGGCTGCGATATTCGAACTGAAGCAGCTGGTGAACATGATGAGCATCGGAACCCTGCTAGCCTACCTAATCGTCGCAATCTGCGTGCTCATACTAAGGTAAACACTGTTACCTTAATACGTGCATCCCTGTCTTACCTTAACTGATGGTTTCAGGTACGAAGAGAGCGAAGCGTACGAGAAAAAAGAGGATCGTGACCCAAGGAACTTCACCTTAATCACCAAGCAGTTAATCAACGCTAACAAGTTAAAGCACTCCACGAAATTAACGTCTCAAATTGTTACCTATCTCGTCATATGTTATGGTAAATCTTCTATTTAATCAATGACTTCTCCGTCGATAATTCATACTTTATCTTGCAGTTGTATTGTGTATCTGCATTGGTCTCCTGACTTCGGTGTACATCGATCAAATCACGAGTGGTAAAACGCCGTTCATTATAACATTGTCGGTTTTGGTGGTTGTTTTGTTGATCGTTCTTTCTTTAATTTATGTACAACCGACTTCTGGTACGAAGCTTACGTTCTCGGTATGTATCTGCATATGTACATTGCAAGTGTGCAGGCTTTTACTATTTTGTGTTCTTCAGGTTCCAATGGTGCCATTCTTACCGGCGCTCAGTATTTTCATTAATATTTATCTTATGATGATGCTGGACAAAATGACATGGCTGCGGTTTGGCGTGTGGATGTTTATTGGTGAGTTGTAAAAAGTAACTGGAGAATTGTGACAGAAATTCATCTTGTTTAATTTCCCGTAGGTCTCTGTATATATTTCAGTTACGGTGTTTGGCACAGTAAGATGAGGCAAAAAGAAAGCACTAAGTTGGCCGAAAACGGGTACGTTAACGAAGAGACTTGGAAGAACAACGAATTTAATACGGATACGTGATACTGTTCCTCTTTATCCTCTTTAAATAAACATTTTATACAAAATAAAATATGTAATTTCTTGATTAAACCCAATCGACCAGGTTCGATTGAATTTTTTAAGAAAATAATACAAAGAGTTCAAAACGTAAGTTTACTTTTATAACTTAAGGTAGAAAAATACTAACTATAAAGCAAACAGAGATTTGAGATCGTTGAGGGTAAGCTTCGAGACGCCGGAGTTCTTGTCACCGGTTAGTACGTTCTGAGCTATGTCTAGTTTCCTCTCTTGCAAATGTTTTATACGCTCTTCTATCGTGTCCTTGCAAATAAACCTAAACAGAAAAAACAGTAAGATAACAAAGTTTCATGAATGTACTTCATGATTCAACTCTATACGTATAGAAACTGACTTATATATAAAAACATCCTTTTTCTGTCCAAACCGATATATCCTATCCTGAGCTTGCACTTCCAGTTGTGGGTTCCAGTGAATATCTATTAACAGTAAGTGATTTCCTCCCACCAAGTTTAATCCAACACCTCCTGTAGTGAGCGACAGCAACAATATCTGTGGATCACTGTGTGGAGCGTTGAATGAATCCATTATACCCTGTGAAAGATAACATCATTTAAAACAACACTACTAATCAAACTTGTAATATTATAATTAAAATGTGTACTTTTCTTTGTGAAAAAATACCTGTCTTTCCTTGATAGGCACATTGCCAGTAAACATACTGAACGATGCACCTTTTACTGAGGTTAAACAAGATGCTACGATGTTCAGTACACTTGTCCACTGAGAAACTATGATCATTTTGTTATTTTTCTGTAAGATCTCTTTTACAGTATCAAGCACTGCTTTCATCTGCACTCAAAATACAAAAATATTCAGTGTAGGTTGAAGCTCAAAGATACTTTTAACGTATGTGGGACTCACCTTAGAGCTCACACGTTCAGGCTTGAAAACAGGATTTTGAGATGTGAGTAAGTTGGTGGTTACCCTGTGATCAACACCTATGTCCTTTTCACTCATGCTTCCATCATTATCGTTATCGTCATCGCACAGTGTTATGTTGTTCAACTGTATCAGAACATTTGGGTCCAAATTTTCTGCATCCGCTATTCCGTTCTCTTTCATATCTTCTTGATCCAGCATTGAATGAATGAGAGAAGGGTGAACACAGATTTGACGTAATCTCAGTAAGAGCACCAAAATCTCGTGGGTTTTAACGTCAGCGTGTAGAGATAATAATTTATTCTGGGCTTTGGTGAACTGTGTATTCTTATCTGAAATAAATCAGAAAATTATTCTTATTGTTTTTCTCCAATTCTCGTACATAACTTTTACGTACTTGGGTTTGAAAGAAAAGTTGGCTTATCGTATCTTCCACCTGCTAAGTCAATCATATGATCTTTCTCCGCCCTCTGGGCCAAAAATTGAGCGAACAATGTTCTAGAATAGACAAGGACCTTTTCGTACACCAACTGTTCTTGTGGTTCGAGCTGTACATATATTTCTTCTATAAACTTTTCCGGTAAACAGTCTAGCGCTCCGCTGGCTTGAAGCTCCTGTTTCGTTCTACGCAACATGAGTGCCTTCATCACAGTAGCTAACCTTTGTCGACCAGCCGCATTTTTATTATCAACCCAACGTTTCCATACTCGTAGATCATCAAAAGGAGAACATTTAAGAAACTTCAAAATAGCGTACAAATCCATCTCCTTGTTCTGAATCGGTGTGCCCGTAAGAGCCCACCGTTTATCCGCAATCAACTCGCAAACCGACATGGATCCTTGACTTTTGTGATTTCGAACCACGTGCGCTTCATCTAGCACTACTCTTTCCCAATGAATTTTGTACGCCGTGCCCTTCTTCTTATATTCACGGGCTAATATGTTGTAGGTTGTAATGACCACGTCGTGTTTTGCCAATCTTTTGGGAATGCTTTCCCGAGCAGTACCATGGTGAACCACGACGGAGAGCATACCCCGTTTACACCTGTTCTGTATTTCATTTTCCCATTGCGACAACAAAGACGCTGGACAAACCACGAGTGTACCTCCTTTGTATTTTAATGATTTGCTACTATCTGTCCAGTTGTCCTCGAAGTCGTCTCCGCTTAATTTCTTTTTGGCGACGCCGGCCATGATGAGGGATATTATTGTCAGTGTTTTACCCAAACCCATATCGTCGGCGAGGACACCTCCGGGCGGTTTTTGCTGCTCTCTCCACATTAACCACGCTAACGCATGTTGCTGATGCGGCATTAATTTTACTTTTAAACCTTGTGGGTCGTCGGCTCTTTCATCTTCGGATGGTCTGCCTACGAGGGATCCATGTAAATCTTCTAGTCTGTCGGCTGTCAAAGCTGTTTCTTTTTCTAACGTTGCTTGCGCCTTTTTTCCAAGCTCTTTTGTAGGTAATTTTGGTTCCATATCTAAGTCAATGATATCGCGATAGGAATCAAGTTTGTTGAAATACGATTCTTGCCCCATGTTAAACGTTTCTCTGGTTGATTGTACTTCTTCTTCAGATGGAGGGTTTTTTGTTAGGGGTGTATTTTCCAGCTCAGCTGCAAGTTCTTCTATTTCCTTTTCCTGCATTGCGATACTTTCACGCAATTTTTCTCCCTTGTCGGGTAGTAAATCAACGTTAGTAGCAACCAGCAACAACTGAAAATAAATGTAATGTTAAAAAATATGTTCTACTTTTTGCTTCTTCATAATTAACTGATAAATTTACCTGTGCCTTACTTAACTGATTTTTCAAGTGGTCCATTTTACAGACAAGGAAAGCTCTTTTTTGTGCAACAAGTGGATCTATATTACCGACACCAATTTCTTTCTTTGCTAGAGATATTGCAGCTTCACATTCTGAACCACTTCCTTCATCCATAACAGGATCTAAAAATTAATTTGCTGTTAGTCTAATAAATCAAAAATACATTAAAAGTTATTAGAATTATGACTACTTTAAAATATGTTAAATAGAACACCTCGTAAATCAATAATCTCTTCTGGAACATGTTGAATTCCATCCTTCTTTCTCTTTTTATCCTGTTCCATTTTTGATTCCTCCTCATCTATAAATTAAAATTATTGTAAACAAACATTATATATCATTTTACTGCATTCAAATAAAATACCATCTGAAGTATCATCCAGTGTGAGATCAATTTTTTTGACTGGTGATAAAGAATCATTTCTATTATTAATATCGGCACCATCACTATCAGATTCATACAAAATATACTTTTTAATTCTATGTTTCACTGTCTCTTCTGTCAGCAATGATTTTCTAGATGTTGGCAAGTTAGATCTGAAATGATGAATCAATTTTTGAAACCATTATTAGTAAACGTAAATTAACAATTATTGATACAAATTTTAATTTCAAAAGTTGTAACTTACTTTGCTGGTGAAACATTAGCAGAATTCTCCAGACTACTTTCATTGCTTTCAATCACAAAGATTTGCTTTTTATCAGAATTGTCACGAACGTTTTCATCTTCGCTGTCAGAAATAATAACAGAAGCATCGTAACTGACAGAAGGCGAATCGCGCCAATGATTAAAGCTTTCGTCCATTCGGACTTTTGTAAATTTTATTAATTCTATCAGAAATTTAAAAAATGTATAATACTTATATTAATAAGGACTAAAGGAAATTAATTCTTTGCTACATTAATTAAATAAATCACTTGTATGAATAAAGCTCAACTGAATTTTTTGAAATTGATGAGTTTGATTCGAACATAGAATATACACTATATAGTACGACACGGGTAACCAGAAAAAGTAACCAGACGGACATTTGCGCAACTCGAAGACCTAGGGAAATTTTTAATCACTGGAACAGTGGTTCTCATTCTACTTGCTCCATTAAAGATATCGTTCCAGTAAAGGAGACTCTGATAATCAGTCTTTCGATGAAAGACACCTGGATGCAAATGGATCGAGCGTAAGTGCTGGCTACTGGCTGGTGCTGGCTTTAGCTCGAACGTGCATTTACGGAATTATTAATCTCAATATAAATTCCGTTAATCAAAGGAAAAAGTTATCGTTGTAAAAATGGCTGATTTTCTGGACTCCGAAGCGGAAGAGAGCGAAGTATTTATATCTTAATTTTACCACATTTTCGATACTTTGGAGTATTTGTTTAATTATCTGAGACTTTTATCATTGATCCGGTGCTTTCTTATCATTTAGGAGGAGGAAGAGTTAGATGATAATGAGAAAAAGAAACTCAAGAAAATAAAAGCTGTAGCAGAAAGTGAAGAAGAAGAAGAGGAAGGTGAGGATAGAGTAATACGTATCAAGGTTGTATCATAACTTTTTGCAAAGATCTTTTTATGTTACATTCTATCAATTGTTTATTCTACGACTACTCTACATTAGTAAAACATCTGTCTACTGTTTGTTTACAGATGATGAAGACCGTTTGCGAGAGGAACTCAAAGACCTAATAGATGACAATCCCATAGAAGAGAGCGAAGGGGAAGATAGTGATGCTTCTGGAACATCTAAGAAACGTAAAAAAAGCGACGATGAGGACTTTGATGATCGTTTGGAAGATGAAGATTATGATCTAATAGAGGAGAACTTAGGATTTAAAGTTGAAAGAGTAAGTTTAAATGAATTTCTATTTTCAAAGGACAAAATTACACAGATATAGTGATATAATCCTTTACTTTAGAAACGTTTCAAACGCCTCCGCAGGATTCAAGATGAGGAATCGGAGGAGGAACAGGAAAAAGAAGCTGACGAGGAAAGAGATGCCATCGCGAATGAGCTTTTTGAAGGTTCAGGAGATGTAAGTTACTTTATTATAGTTTGCATAGCATACTTATATTTAATATTTGTATTTATTTTTATACATCTATCAGGAAAGGGAGGTTACCATGGTACGTACAAGTGTGATAGATATAAAGAATAATAATTCAATTATTATTTGCCTGTTGTCTTTAATATTTTTTATTTTAATTGTGTATTAGGAGGATGAAAGAAGAAGCGAGCGCAGTCACAGACCTGAACTGGAAACATTTGATGAAGAAGGAAGCGAAGGAGAATATACAGATGCGGATGATTTCATCGTTGATGACGACGGTAGACCAATCGCTGAGAAACGGAAAAAGAAAAAGCCAATATTCTCCGACGCAGCGTTACAAGAGGCTCAAGATATCTTCGGTGTCGATTTCGATTACGATGAATTTGGCAAATACGGTGAAGAGGACTATGAGGAGGAAGAAGAAGAGGAAGATGAATATATGGATGACGAGGACGCCGAGAGGCCCAGAAGACCAAAAAAACAACTAAAGAAGAAAACTACGAGGAAAAGCATTTTCGAAATTTATGAACCTAGCGAACTTAAACGCGGTCACTTCACTGACATGGACAATGAAATCCGTAATACAGATATACCAGAAAGAATGCAGCTCCGATCCGTTCCCGTCACACCAGTTGCTGAAGGTTCCGACGAATTAGATCTCGAAGCAGAATGGATCTACAAACAAGCTTTCTGTCGGCCAACAGTTTCAATACAAGACGCACATTTAAATGCCGAAGCAAAGGAAAGGGCTAGAAAAGGACCTCAGACAATCGGGAAAATCAAAAAGGCTCTGGACTTCATGCGAAACCAGCATTTCGAGGTTCCTTTCATATCCTTTTACAGAAAGGAATACGTTCTACCTGAACTGAATATCAATGACCTTTGGAAGGTGTACAAATTCGACGCAAAATGGTGTCAGCTCCGTCAGAGAAAAGAGAACTTACTAAAACTATTTGAAAAAATGAGGAACTATCAGTTGGATGAGATCATGAAGAATCCTGACGCACCTCTGCCCGACAACGTTCGAGTGATCAAAGACGACGACATAGAACGGCTGAAGAACGTACAAACTAGTGAAGAATTAAACGACGTGTACCATCATTTCATGCTGTACTACAGTCACGAAATTCCAGCGATGCAAGAATCGGTTCGTAAAAAGGAAAAAGAAGCGCGGAAGGAGGCAAGGATTCAGAAGCGAAAGCAGGAACTTCTGGACGCAGAAGAAAACGGAGAACCTCCGCCAGAGGAAGAAGTGGAAGTAGAAGAAGAAGAGGAAGCGGACGATACTCTGAAACAAGCGGTGCGGTCAGGTCCATACTCCATCTGCAGACGAGCGGGTCTCGACACTCTCGCTAAGAAGTTCGGTCTCACTCCAGAACACTTCGCTGAAAATTTACGAGACAACTACCAACGTCACGAAGTGGACCAAGAACCCACAGAACCGTTGACCCTTGCCGGCGAACATTGCAGTCAGATTTTCACCACTCCTGAAGAAGTACTCAAAGCAGCTCAATTAATGGTAGCCATACAATTAGCCCGCGAACCTTTGGTAAGAAAATGTGTGAGGGAAATGTACATGGAGAGAGCGAAAATATCTGTGAAGCCAACGAAGAAGGGCATCAAGGAGATCGACGAGAATCATCCGATTTATGGAATGAAGTACTTGAAAGATAAACCCGTGCGAGATCTGGTAGGTGATCAGTTTTTGAACTTAGTCATAGCCGAGGAGGATAAACTAATTACAATTACGTTGAGTGACAGTATCGAGGGAAACACGACCAGCAATTACGTGGATGAAACCAAGCAGCTCTACTACAGGGACGAGTTTAGTAAGAATGTCCAGGACTGGAACGCTCTGCGAGTCGGGAGCGTCGAAATAGCCCTCACACGCATGGTCATACCGAACCTGAAGAAGGAACTGAAGACCAACCTCATAGCAGAGGCCAAAGAATGCGTGATGAGAGCCTGCTGCCGTAAGATGTACAACTGGATCAAGGTTGCGCCGTACACCTGCGAGTTTCCAGAAGAGGAGGACGAAGAATGGGACACCAGCAAAGGACTGAGAGTCATGGGGCTGGCGTACGTTCCTGATTATTCTCAAGCTGCGTTCACATGTCTAATAGCTCCTGACGGAGAGTGCACCGATTACCTCCGACTGCCTCATCTGATGAAGCGCAAGAACAGCTACAGAGAAGACGAGAAGACCATGAAAGAAGCGGACCTATTAGCAGTCCGGAACTTCATAGCCACAAAGAAGCCACATGTCATTGTAATAGGCGGTGAGTCCAGGGAGGCTATGATGATAGCCGCCGACATTAAGGAGTGTATAGCGAATCTGATGGAGGAGGAGCAGTTCCCCTCGATTCAGGTAGAGATCTGCGACAACGACCTTGCCAAGATCTACTCGAACAGCAACAAAGGCGTCTCCGAGTTCCGAGACTATCCAGAACTTCTGCGGCAAGCTATCTCGCTGGCCAGAAGGCTGCAGGATCCATTGGTAGAATTCTCGCAACTATGCACTGCGGATGAAGAAGTCTTATGCCTGAAGTACCACCGCCTGCAAGATCAGCTGCCGAAGGAGGAGCTCTTGGATAACATCTACCTGGAATTCGTGAACCGCGTGAACGAGGTAGGCGTCGACGTCAACAAGGCGGTGCAGCAAGCTTACTGCGGGAACCTGGTGCAGTTCGTCTGCGGGTTAGGGCCGAGAAAGGGTCAGGCGCTGATCAAGATGCTGAAGCAGACTAATCAGAGACTGGAGAACAGGACGCAGCTGGTGACCGCGTGTCACATGGGGCCTAAGGTGTTCATCAACTGCGCGGGTTTCATCAAGATAGACACCAACAGCCTGGGAGACAGCACTGAGGCGTACGTGGAGGTCCTCGACGGCTCCAGAGTGCATCCAGAAACGTACGAGTGGGCGAGGAAGATGGCGGTCGACGCGTTGGAGTACGACGACGAGGACGCGAACCCCGCAGGCGCTCTCGAGGAGATCCTCGAGTCACCGGAACGTTTGAAGGACCTGGATCTGGACGCGTTCGCGGAGGAGCTCGAGAGACAAGGCTTTGGCAATAAATGCGTTACGTTGTACGACATTAGAGCGGAGTTGAACTGTAGATACAAGGACCTGCGCGTGCCGTATCAGTCGCCTAGTGCGGAGAGGTTGTTTGACATCCTAACGAAGGAGACGCCGGAGACGTTTTACATAGGAAAGCTAGTACTGGCTACGGTTGTAGGAATTAGTCATAGGAAGCCGCAGGGCGATCAACTGGACCAGGCTAACCCTGTCAGGAACGACGAAACGGGCTTGTGGCAATGTCCCTTCTGTTTGAAGAACGATTTCCCTGAACTGTCTGAAGTGTGGAACCATTTTGACGCTGGAGCGTGTCCTGGTAAAGCGACTGGCGTTAGGCTGAGACTGGACAACGGAATATCGGGGTATATACACATAAAGAATTTGTCGGACAGACACGTTGCTAACCCTGAGGAGAGAGTGAGCATAGGGCAAATAATTCATTGTCGCATAATAAAGATTGAGGTGGAACGATTCAGCGTGGAATGTACTAGCAAGAGCAGTGACCTTGCGGATAAGAATCATGAGTGGAGGTATATAAATTATTAGTAGAGGTTTTTAAGCTTCTTCTTTCTTCTATTCCAGTCAGCTCACTTAATTTGTTTTCAGGCCACAGAGGGACCCGTTCTACGACACAGACGCAGAACAGAAAGACGCAAAAGTCGAGGAGGACGCGAAGAAGGCGAAGCAACGTCAGACATACGTGAAGCGAGTCATCGTGCACCCCTCTTTCCACAACATCAGTTTCGCGGAAGCCGAGAAGCTGATGCAGAGCATGAAACAAGGAGAAGCGATAGTCAGACCCAGCAGCAAAGGCGCGGACCATTTGACGGTCACCTGGAAAGTAACCGATCAGATTTACCAGCACATAGACGTTAGAGAGGAGGGCAAAGAGAACGCCTTCTCTTTGGGGCAAAGTCTTTGGATCGGAAACGAGGAGTTCGAGGACCTGGACGAAATCATCGCGAGGCACGTCAATCCGATGGCTGCGTACGCTTTGGAGTTATTGGACTTTAAATATTACAAGCCGACGGTGGAGGGTATCAAGGATAAAGCGGAGGAGATACTGAAGGAACAGAAGAAGGAGAACCCTGGAGGAATACCGTATATAATATCCGCTGCAAAAGTATGCATTTGTCTGTTCAAATGCGTAGTCTCGATTAGAGTATCTGATGTATGTTTCTTGTTTAGAATTATCCGGGTAAATTTCTGCTGTCATATCTTCCCCGGACTCGCTGTCGACACGAGTACGTGACGGTGTCGCCAGAAGGATTCCGATTCAGAGGACAAATGTTCGGCCGAGTGAATGATCTGTTCAGATGGTTCAAAGAACACTTCCGCGACCCGGTACCTGGGCAGTCTACTCCCAGTACTCCGAGAGGTGTGATGACTTCCAGAACTCCTTACCATACCACACCAGGTGCAGTGAGCGGTAAGTAAACAGTTTTCCTGCTTAAACCTTGTAATACTGAAGTATGTGAAGTAATACTTCATGTTAACATTGCAGGAATGAATCAAGAAGCTATACAGAGGGTGGCTCAGAATCTTCCTCATCATATGTTACACTCCTTATCGCAAGTGGCGAATCAAACACCCCACCACTATCCTCCGCACACTCCAGGAACTGCGAGCGCAACTGGTTACGGTGGAGTTCACACGTATCCTAACACACCGTACACTCCTTCCGGTCAGACACCCTTCATGACACCGTATCAGACACCGCATCACACTCCGCATCACGGTCAGCCTACTCCCAGATACGGACAGCAGACACCTAGTCATCAGCAGGGTCCGTTCATTCATCCGCCTCCTCCTTCAGCGGTGACCACGCCGGGTCACCACAGATCAACTCCTTCGCACAGACCTACGCCTCCAATGTCCACGTCTGGAGATCCTACGGACTGGAAAAAGGCGGCTGAAGCGTGGGCACGGTTAAAAAGCGGGCCCCGTATGTCGTAAGTATCTTTTTACTGATAAAAAATATTTCGTTTGATTTTTAATTTTCGTGGTTTCTTCAGCGGCTCCACTCCGAGATACGACGAGTGCAGAAAGACTCCACGAAATTATGAAGAGTCGGTTGGGAAGACAACGCCACGAAACAGAACTTCAACGAGGACGCCATCTTACAAGTCTCCTCGGGGTACTCCGCACACCAATTCTAGTCCTCGGAGTATGTCTCTCAGCGGAGACGGTACTCCACTGTACGATGAAAGCTAACGAATTCGTTTCGAATTTATTATATCGAATGATATAAATACCAGAGGAATCTAGAAGAGAATCGAGAATTATGTAAAAAATAAAAATGCCGAGCCCATTTGCCGAAGAATCATAATACTGATCCATAGCTATCTTCCAACCTCTTACACGTTTATATATTTCGATAAAATATTCTCATATACAGTGCATACGCGTATGCATGAAATATGCACCCTCGATTCTCTTGGAAAGATGTGTATCAAATACGATTTGAAAAGTCGTCGAAATCGATCTATTATATATTTATTTTTTGCAACAACAATGTATACTAATTCATGCCTTAGTATATACACGTATAACATATTCTTTTTTAAATTTAATTTTACCGATACTGAGTTGTACAGTTCTTATGTTACCGACTTAGGAACGCAACATGTTTCTTATATGCTTTATACAACTGTTGAATTACGGTATTAAATAATAAAACAATTTTATCTTACTATGAGTGACTGTACTTCAGACTGTTCGTCAGAAAACTGACAAAATCCACTGTAATCAGCTTCACAAAGTGACAGTTAATTAACGCACACATAAATTTTATCTTTTATTTAGAAAAGTAATACAATATAAAATATACAAAGACATATAAACAAAATAGTTGCAAGGAATGTTATTTTATACATGAGATTCCTGGTCCTCAGATAATACCTCGTCATTTAGTGAAGTCTTCAAATAATATGTTGCTACGATACAATCCTCTCCGTTTGAAAATTGGCGGTTCATCGACCTAAATAAAGCACTTCATATTATTCTCATATAAGATGTAAAGTAACACTAACAACATTCCCGGAAATTACATTTGTTCTGAGCTGTTGGTATTCTCATTCGTTTTCGTCGAGTTTTTAATTAATTTTGGTTCAATACTCATCACATAAGGTTCACGCTTTGAAATTAATGTCAGTTAATTACTTGGTAAAATATCTTTCAAATATATAATTCATTACCTACTAGATTCTCTGACCTCGAGCTAAGTGGTTTCGGCTTATTTCTCTTAACTCTGTGTTCCTTCTAGAATAAATGAAATAAGTAAAGAAAATAATAAAAGAAATATGGTCAAAATATTACCTTATGGGAGTGCATATATTCTCTGTTGAGAGAGGAATCTGATTCTAGCTTTGGTTTACTTTTTCTCTGTTTCTTTATTCTGTCAGATTTTCGAAATTCGCTGCTTTCAATTTTTTCATTATCTGTCATCTTATTAGTCGTGGCTTCTGAAATACCAGGGCTATATATTGGATTGTCATCTTTAAAAGTAATACGTTCTCCTGAGAAAGAAAAATGCAACATAAAAACAGATCTTTAATAAATGCAGATGAAGTAAAATTATATTCATTTCTCACCTGTCCAATAACTTAATGGGCGTATAATTCTCCTGCCTTTTGAACTTACACCAACATTTAAATCTCCAATAGTAGTAATGTCCTGTGTCGAATTTGCATCTGTAACATAAATAACGTTATACAGAAGTGAAAAGAATATCATAGTTACTCAACTTACTTTCTTGCAATATTTTCCATTTCCTACAAAACTGATCTATTCTTGCAGGACAACCATTACGACAATCATTTACCAATTCTTTAGGTACAGCTGTATAAAATACAATTAATTAATCAAGTGTAATTTATTAATATACATGTATTATATGTGAATAATCTACCATGTTTTTTATCATTTAAATCACCAACTAACTCATACAATTCATGATCCTCTGTCTCAATTACTTTTGCTGATACTCTGCGAAGTACGTTATCAGTTTGGAATTTTTTGCTTACTAAGTGACCAGCATCGCTGTATAAAAATTACAATAAAGTTTATGTTGCATTAATAAAATCCAAAATGTGTTTAATCACTTACTTTAATAATGACCCTTCGAAGATTAAAGACAATTCTGACTTGCACAAGACTTTCGGTGCCCAAGCAGTTAACTTTTTTGGTTTATGGTTGCTTATATTTTGTTGACTATCTTTAAAGATTTCCAAATTAGCTTGTGACATTTTTAAAGTGGTAGAATCTACATCATCTAACTGAACTTCAATATGTTTTTCAATATTTTTCTTACTATCACTTAACAAAGTTGAATTATCAGTTTTTACACCACGCAATTTTATAGGAGACCTTTTACGTGTCTTTTTATTTTCCTTGTTCGATTCTTTAGTACTCTTCTTTTCATTATCAACTACATTTGTTCTTGGTTTTTGCGGTTCTGACAGAAGCTTTGATCCTGAATCTTTAACTTTTATATAAACAGGTATTGAGCTGGTTATGGTAGGTTTTGCAATTTTACTAGTATTATTGTACGTGAATTTTTTAGGTGATTCACGATATGTATAATTCTCATTAGTATGTTCCTTATCAGAATTTGCTTCTTCTTTTGTTTCTTCACTTGTTTGTTCCGCATCAAAATTCATTTGTTTTTCGATATTGTTATGATTCTCAGTTAACATGTATTCAGATTTTCTAGTTTTCATTCCATCAAGACAATTAAAAACATTGCTAGCAGATCTATGAATGGGTGTTGAATTTTCTCCTATGAAACACTTCTGTACTTTATGTATACTTTTATCGTTATTAAGATTACTTAATCGGTTCCATTGTTCTTCTTTCGACATATCGAAATCAACGGATTTGGTAATATTTGGATTAATATCGTCTCGTTTTGTGCCGGAAAAATGTGTTTCATGCTTTGCACTACAATCCTTCAAATGTATGTCATCGTTTTGTTTTGATCTCAATTTGTCAATAGAACTGTCAGATGAAGATGTATCTGAAGCATGTTTACTCGCAACATCATATTTTTTATGTGCCACTTTTTTTGACCTACGTTTATAAGATTTTGTTAATGTTCCTCTTTTTTTAAAGAATTGTCTCACTGGTATTTTAGGAGTTCCTGCATAAATTTCATTTTCACTTTCAAAGCTATCATTGCTATTATCTTCATTCATTTTTGTGAACGTTCGTTTTCTTGGTAATAGTTCATAACTATTGGCAATTTCATTGTTTACAATTTTATCTTCTGCAGTACATTTATGATAAAGCATTGAATTACTCTGCATGCTTCCTGTATTATTTACCATAGAAACTGATTCTAATTTTTCGGAATCAGAACTTGTTTCTATATCCTGTTTATTTTTCTGATTCTCTTGTTTTAAATCTTCTGTAGTGGATTCATTACTTTCAATTGACACAACATTATTTAGACATTCAACTATCTTAATAATTTCAGAAATGCATTTTTTGGGACAGTTTTTATCCAATAAGTTGTTTAGAAGGGTGTTTAATTTTCCCTTCAATGCAACTTTATTTTTAGTGTCAGTATAATCAAAACTTAGATCTTCCAGTGTTTTATCACACTCTGCATTACACATATTATACTTTTTCGATGGAATCTGAATGTTGGTATTATACAATGAATTTTCAGATATTGATATTGATGTTTGTGCATACGAATTTCTTCTTTCACAATTATGCAAAGTAAAAGTTTTATTATTGTCATTTTGTGAACAGTTGATTGAACATTCAGAATCAAATGATTTTTTTAAAGATCTTGAGTCTGATAAGTCATGCTTAAAATTTTCTGAATGTAAATACGTAACATCTGTTACTTCACTTTTCAAATCATCATCACTGTCTGCAATAGCAGTAGGCCAACGAAAAGATAATCTACATCCTTGTTGTATATATGTTTTCCACAGTTGATGAACATTTCTCCAGTCCTCAGGAAACCCATTATAAAATTTACCCCTCACATATTCTGGTAATTCTAAAAATAACAAATAAAATAAAACATGTACAAAAGTAAATACAATATGTGTAATCAAATAGATACCTTCATCATCATCAACAATATTTCCTTGCAAATGATACACATCCTTACAAGCACATTCCACGCTTGTACCTGTTAATCTTTTTACAATAGGTTTGGTTTGAAAATACTTTTTACTGAAATCATAAACAAAACATTAAGTAAAGTTATTAAATAAAAAACATGTAACTATAAGGAATTACCATTGTAATATTCCTTTAACAGCTAATTGACCCCGTTCAGTTAACATAACTTTCCACTTCATGAAAACTACAGTTTTCTTATTTTGTAAATTATCAGAACTATTTTGTAAAGAATTAACACTATCAGTGTATTCATTGGAAACTCTTGAATTACATCTTAGTGTATAATTTGATTTATTAGAGGTTCTGGGAACTTTGTGAGTGCTAGGTGGCTTCATCATAAGATAATCATCCTGAAGAGAATTTCGCTTAGTTAAGTTCCTTTGTAGAAATATATTTCTTAAATTCTTGCTTGAAGAAACAACATCATTGTCCATTTTAGAATTGTGTAAAGTAGAAATACTGGTGCTAGATTTAGTTAAATTTGAATCGATATTAGAGAAATGTGGAGATGAAATTGATTCATTGATGTTATGTTCCTTTCTAAGAGAAGCTAGTTTCAATTCCCGCTCTAATTTTTTATATCGCTGATCTATTTGGAAGTCCCCAAACTTTACCTGAAGAAATTAAAATAAATTTAAGATTAAGTAAGCAATTAATTGATAAAAGAATTTATATACAAACATTTAATTACCTCAGTCATTTGTGCCATTTGGACAGCTTAATAATATATGAAACTGTTCACATATAACATTGATTATTTCTGACTAATATCTTTAATATGTGAAAAAACATTTTAGAAACACATATGTATTTTCTTGTGTTTAATTGTTATATTGTAATGAACTTTCAGTTTCTTTCAGACACTTTCAACATCACATAAACATATATGTATCATGAGTTATGAAAACAATTCAGATAGTCAATTATTAAATTATGTACAAAATTTTGAATCTTGCTTCGTACACAATCGCACACTTCAGTGAATATTACCGCGCAATTTCTGGTTGAAACCGGTTCCGGCCATCTTAATTTTCAGTGGCTCTCAAATTGAGTAAATTGTGTAATTTGAAAAAAAATACGGAGGGAAAATTGAATGAAGAATGAACGAATGGAAAACAAAAAATACGTTTAATAGCTTTTTACAATTATAATAAATAATATTTAAAGGTAACTACATATACATAGAAAATTATGTTCTCTGTCCATATCTCTCGCTTCTTACATGAAACATAGTATATATTAAGGAGCTAATTAAATCTGATAAAAAATATATAATCTACGATCGATATGAACAGCATCTTCATCAATATGCTACTTTTTAAACAAAATTGCACAAAAATATTGTATATATAAACGATGTATAATCAATGGAACTAGTCATTCAATACCCTGAAAGGAAAAGTGTAAAACACGCATACACAATATCGAAACATACATGCATATTAAGCTTAAGCTTCTGTCACTTTATGCTTGAGATATCAGCATTGTATAAATATTGGTCGTATTTCTATTTTTTTTTTGCTATTACTACTGTTACCACTGTTATTATCGTCGTGATCTTATTCTTAATATAATCGTCATTATTAATATCATTTTCATGCTTAACACCGTTTTTTTCTCAAGAAGGAAGATACTTGTTTATGTTACTCCTTCTCATAAAAATGGAATAATCACACATTTTCATTTGTTTAGCAGAAGCGCAAGTAATTGTGTAAGATAATTATTATTAATTGATAAAGCATGAAATTTCTACTTTTATATCCAAGTATCTATACGAGTGAAACTTTACTAGATTTTTACACTAAAAATTGTATAATTTCAACCCGATGTTGTGACTAATCTACAACAAGTTATATGTATTTAGCTGACGATATCTATCTTATTAAAGCGAATACAAGAAAACGTAGATCATTTCTTATGAATTAGTACAGCACTGCCAGAGTCTAGCAGTCTTTAGCAGACCGCGTCCTATTTTATGATTTACTACCGGTAGAATTATCGGCTTCCGTCGATTCTTCCGTTGAATCTACCAATTCTTTTTGATGAACTTTCGAACTTCTATCTTTAAACTGTCGTCGATGATGATAATTATCGCTATCTCTACGATCTTTTTGTGAACTTTGGCCTCTATATTTTCGATTACTCTCATCGCGGTAATAATTACGGTATCCCTGAGATCGATAAAAAGGGGATTCAAAAATCATTGTGTCTGTTTTCATGTTACCGTTCTGAAGTTGTGGTAGTACAAGATTCCTTCCGCATCTACATAATTAAAAGAGATGAATTAACTGTTCATAATAAAAGTATGTAATGATTAAAACATTACCTTGGTGCTCTACAATGCCAGTAACTTTGACTCTGTAATGGTGGAAATTTATGGGGCATCTGCTCTTGCGAGGTGTTTGCCGATGCTGCTTCCAACGTTCGAATTTCTTTCCGCTGATCCTTATTTCGTTTGCGTAATCGTTCTACCATTGCTTCTGAAACTTCTAAACGTGAAACTAAATCTTGCCGAACGGGGTCAACTTTATTCTCCACTTGTATTCCTACATCTATCATCGATTGCTTATTTGATGGCTGTTCCTCAGTAGATTCCAACTTTCTGTAATTAATACATCTCTTTTTAAGTCTACATAAAGTAAATGTTGCTCATAATCTTTGTAATTACTAACTTTTTTTGTTGTTCAATAATTTCAGATAAATATTGGTTCTGATTTTTAGCCTCCTGTAATGATATCTTTGTATCTTGTAGATCTTTCTCTAGGAGTTCCACCTGCAACGATGAAATATTTACGCACACTGGGCTACCCTGCAAAAAAAAATGACAAACATATAATTTTATGTAATATCAAAATATTTTAGAACCATGGAGAATACCTTTGACTTCACGAACCCAGTTCCATTATCTTCAGGGGAAGAAGGACTACTAGCTGCACAAGTAGATCCTTTTGAAAATACTAATTGAAACTGTAAATCTGTATGCATTTATAAAATATTAAAATACACTTATAATAAAGCTTATATATAATCGGTATATTATTAAGTTACTATCATATTGTACCTCTATTTTTTTGACGTAATGATTCTACTTCTTGATGTAAAGCAACTAGTGTAGCTTGATGCTGTTCTTGTAGAAATTTCATATTTTGCTCAAGCTGAGCAACTCGGTCTATGTTAATATTTTGATGTCTTACAGTTTGATTTAAATTCTCATTTCTTTCTGTTAATGTTACTATATCTGATGGTGGCTTTTTGCCCTGAAAGTATCATTTATATTTTACCATTTAAAAAACTTATACTTCAAAAAATTGCTGAAATATGATACTCACTTGAAGAAAAGACACAGTTGGTAATTTAACTAATACCTTAGATGCCATTTTGAGTGGTTTTTTGTTAAATATTTATGGATTGAAGTATTAATACATAAATGTACAGTGCAAATTCACTGATGAGTGAAAATCCTTTATACGACGTGACTGAACAAAATAATTCGCGAGCTCACTATGACGAAAAAGTTTCTGCTCAATATCTATTTTCAACCTGAAAAAATGATGGAATTGTAAATGACAATAATAATGATAGCAACGAAATGATAGCTTGTTCATTTCGAATGTCTAGTTTGTTTAAAAAACAAATGATCATACACAGTGTAAGATTATTTTACTATTAAATATAACATGTTCTTTTGTCAGCGTTAAGATAGTCCCGCGCAGTTACATCGTTATTCGATGTATTTTAATATTACTACAAAAAAGTGAGTAACATAAAATGATATAAAATGCAACAAAGCAAATATATAAATATCGCGAAACGTATTAAAATTGTGTAAGATATTGCTGGAATCTTCTTTTTATACGTTACCGAATTATATTTAAATTTCTAGACGTATTGCGAAATAAAAGCCGAAAAATCGACGGCACGTAAGTAATCAGGAGCTTGGTGGAGCGCGATTCTGCGCCTGAATTTTCTGACGTCACGTCGCGCCAACTGAAGGATTGGTTAACGTGCTAACAATAATTTTCTGACCGTACATACACAACAAACTACTAAATAATTTTAACCATTTCTCGTAACAATTAAGGTTGAAATGCACAAGTAAATTATAAATTGTCATACCCCCGCATAGTACTATCGCAACTATTTTAACAAAGGAAAGAGAAATTCTGTATCATCGAGCTGGTTGCGCGGACAAATTTAAAAGTAAGCGCGCAAAGGTATAGATCGTCAGGTAGACCATTCAGATTACGCAGGACAAAACTTGTTCACAACAATCTATATTCAGTTTTCTACATCCTTGCGCGCCGGGAGTATTGATCCAGCGACATTTAACAAATGATGGCACATCCTTAACCGCACCCATGCTCCTGCCGATATTATCTCGACGTTTATTCATATTTATTTTCTACTCCTCATTGTTACTCCTTTGAGAGTCAATAATTTTCAGAAAAGAGGCAGTTCATAAAAATGAATATGAAACGATAAACATGAAAGAATTATTCAATGATTATTTATATAATCGTACGCAAAAAATTTGTATGAGTAAAGCGATTGTTTATCGTTTTGAATGCATGGATACATTTTGTGAATGTATATGTATTACGAATACATGTACACGAATTATTGAATGCGAGTCTAATTTCATTTCGAAAAAGATATCCTGAAGTATATTCGTTGTTAAAATATCGATTCAAAATGTCAATTTAACTCCTGTTCAAGACCGACTAGTAAGTAATTTTTGAATTTTCTTTCTGCCATCTAAAGAAATTAAACTAACGACCGATTTATTTTAAAGTTCATGCAGTCCTTGATATATTTTCTTCATTATAAAACTTCAACCTAACCAAGAGGAAATGGCTTTTATTATAGAAAACAGACAAGTCAGTGAAATAAATAATAAAGGCAAAGAACAATTTCTTTCTTTTGAAATGAAAGAGGATTATAGCTTTAAGGTATTTTTATGCATATATATATTCTTAAATATATGTATAGGTAGTTTCATGCAACAATTTTCTTATAGTATGTACCTGAAAGTCATTTTAAGCATATAGTAAAAAATGTTCAGAGACAAAGACGTAAAGAAGATGAGGAACGTATCTGGACTTCATTTATAAAAGAACAGGAGTTAAATAATTTTGGTTTTTGTAAACAAGATGATCACCGATCTATGCTAAATGTTAAAGACCTGTTGCAAGAAAACATACAAGACGTAGATACAGAACTTAAGAGACTGCAAGAAGATGCTCTTCCTGAACGAAATAAAAGAATTCATAATAACAAATCTGGTATTAGAAGGGAAAAGATTCATATAGAAGTAAGTACTTTCAAATTTTGGCACTGGTATGGTACTAAGAAAAATAAAATTCTCATTATTTTATTAGGCAAACCAATCGAAGAGTGACTCTCCAAAAGAAAAGTTATTAATAAAGGATAAAAGTAATGCAGGTACTAATGTCTCAATTCCAATTTCACGAGAAGATAATGTTTCTCCATACAAAGAATCTGAAGGATTCAAAAAGATTTCTAGATCAAAAACTAAAAAATCTCGGTCAGATTCTTTGATCATGCAAAAGAAGTATTACACAAATGAACTTCTTCGTGCAACCAACCATTTTGAAAATAACTCAGACTCAGACTCCAGTAATAATAAAGATGATGTTGTCTATATACAACCAGACCCATTCATGATACAAAAAATTTTATCCATGCAAAAAAAAGTTGCTGAGTTATTAAATGAAATTTCATTTAGATTGTGCAGAATTCCTTTGCCAGACGGTGATAATGATTTAAAAAGAAGACAACAGCAGACTGTAGAGTTTGCGATATGGTTTTCAAGAAATTATCTGTACAATCTTAACAGACTTGTTACAAGCATTCAAAGACACATCAGGATCGTGTCTTCCAGGGTAGGATTAAATCGACATAAGAACATTGCACTTCATCAAGACATGATCAGACAAAAACTGATCACTGCTCATCAATTATTAGTTCAGGCTTTAAATGCTTATTGTAAGCATATCCCTAACTCCATTCTCGAAAGTCATTGTACAAAACTTCGTGATGTATTACAAGTTGTTTATGATCTGGGAGATATTTGTGATAAAGTTGAGATCTCTGCCAATTATTTTTGTTCAGGAGATACGACTATCACATCCCTGGTAATATACGTTAAACAAAAATGTTATTATTAAAATTTCTTCATTTTAATTATTAATAATTTTACTGTATCGCGAAATTTTCCTCCTTTCTTTTTTTTAGGGAAAGGATCTTCGAGAAAAATGTGATACTATTTTGTCTAACTTAAAATTAAGTTTAGAGAATAAAAATCGACTTCCACAATATAAAAATAGTGAATCTACTGTGACTCTGGCACCAGTATCATCACGCCACAAAGGACACGTTAATCGAAAAAATTTGTCTGGTCGGCTAAGCATGTACAATATGGACGTTAAAATATCCAAGAATAATCAAAAGAAAAAGAATATTTTAAGAAGAAAAAGTATATAATATCTGTTCAAGGTTTTACATTATAACATAACATTATATATTTAAATACTTTATAAATTTAAACATATGGTTTTCAGGCTATACTTGTCAAAAAGAAACAAAGAACAATGTTGTAGAATCTAAGAATTTGTATGTCCAACATTGTTCAGTACCTGAATTATTGTATCCTAGTCCTGTATCATGTACATCATCTTCTAAAGAGATAGTTCAAACTGGTTCCATGAAAAATGCAAGCTGCCTAAAAGAAGATGAAATTAAAACTATGATGGATGGGGTATCACTAGATTCTGAACATGTGAGATATGCTAGTATATACTGTAGCTTTTAATATTTTAAAAACAATTAAAATTTAATCTTACAAACTAGGATAGTAACCGAAACACCCATACCAAATATAAAAATGTGGAACAGCCTACTGCGACAAGGAAGAAATCTTCTGTAGACATATGTCAATCAAAGCATACAAAAAAGAAAGAAATATGTCAAAAAGTCGAGGATGTTACTAACGACGATGATTTATTTAAAAAAGTAACAGCCATTAGCAAAGAACATTTAGCTACTCTAGCTCCTGTGTTAAGCGGTTTGGTCACGTTAGTTTCAAAAAAGGTAACAGTAGTAATAATTAAATATTAATTCATTTGCAGTTTAAGCCTTCGATTATAAAATATTTGTATTGTACATTATAATATCAATAGAAAATTGAATCAAAAGAGAAACCAGTTTCGGAAACATCAGTGGAGGCACTAATTGAATTTTTGCAAAAATATCAATCTCCTAAAGATTCCGATACTAAAGCACCGTTGACAGACGAAGATTCTGACCAATATGACTCGAAATTAAATGGGTAAAAAGAGTATAAATTATGATAGTCTAGTTAAACTGTAGGCAAATTAAATATTTTTGTACAATGATAGGTCATCTAATGTTCAGAAACAGGATGCAAATGTCCGACTGATTTGCATGTCATCTACGGATAAAATTTCTAAAACGACACAATGCAATGTTTCATGTCAGGCAGATTGTGAAACTACATTGAAGGTAAACAATTTGATTCATATAATCAAAAAATGTGTTCTCATAATAAATTTTTAGGATAATGATGACAAAAAGACTGCGAATACCAAAGATAAAGTAATGTTAACTGTTTCAAAAGAAACCGAATTACAATTTCTATCCTATAGATTGGAATATCAAAAACAATGTCAGTCAAAGCCAATGTATTCTAGTAATACTCAAAATAAACCATGGAACATTGTAGCATGGTAAGAATATAAAATTATATTTATTTCATAAATTTTTATTGATGATTTTTTTTTCATCAGGATCTCTGACAAATTAATAGAAGAACTAATCACTGAGATAACAACAGAATTGCAGATGAATGGTATACTTATAACTCAAAAAATGTTTGAGATGGAATTTCAAGAATTTTAAGAACAATTATATGTATCGAATTAAAATCGATCATCATATTTATAAAACAAATAATTTCTCAACTATTTTTTACTGGAACTATAGTTTTTTAAATAAATTATTACTTTATATGATATTTAAATAATTCATCTGTTTCTGAATTTTCATTTAATTCGAATATTATTATTAACAAAATACGCTTCATTAATATTAAAACTATTAACGTTTTGATCTGTTCAAGTAATGTATATTTCACGATTTAAAAAACAATTGAAATGATTTATCTGATATGCCTCAGAATGCAGCGCCAATGAAGATAGGTTAGGACACTTGCTTTCCAGTAATTCATATGCAAACATAAACAAATAAATAATATACATTTGACACCAAAATATATTTCTTAATTTTGTTACAAAAGTACAGAATGAGACAAGCAATTTTGAGATTATACAAAGATTTGTTACGTTACGGTGAAAATTTAAAATATACAGACAAGGCATACTTTCGGTATAAAATTCGTAGCAATTTTAAAGAAAATAAAGATATAACCGATCAAAAGCAAATCGAATTGCAATTACAGGTAATGTTACAGACTTTTAATCTGTTTTTTTTCTTGTAATATTTATCTAATAATTTATTGCACTTAACCTATAATTTATATTTGCACTTTTTCAGAAGGGGCAAAAGTTATTGCAAGAACAACGAGTTGTATAATTATCTGTAACAAAACTGTAATTCTACAATGTTCACGTCGTTAAAATTAACATCAAATTTGAAGTATTTTCTGAACAAAAATTATCAACTGTTGAGTTATCAAAATAGTTTGATCAGTGTTATAAATACTGATAACCAAATTCGGTATAAATCTTATAAACGTTTTTTAGACTACACAAATGTTCCTAAACTCGAAGAAAGCGACTTGGAAGAACAGTTTGTAAAAGGAAGTGGACCCGGTGGTCAAGCAACAAACAAAACATCAAATGCAGTAGTTATAAAACACAAACCCACAGGATTGACTGTTAAGTGCCATGAAACCAGAAGTTTAGATAAAAATAGAAAAATTGCTAGAGAATTGCTTTTAACAAAATTGGACAATTTAATCAACGGGGAGAGGTCTCTCCAAAATCAAGAACTGCAGCTGCAACAAAAAGACTCTTTGAAGAGGAAACAAAAACAGAAGAAGTTAGCACGTTTAAAAGAAGAATTCCAAAAACGTGAAAACATCAAATGAAGATAATATAATTACTTAAAAAAGTTTTACTTTAAGTATCACAATACATTTTGAAATAAAATTTAAGACATGGTATTATTCAGCACCATATTATGATTGTAATTCATAGTAGATAAATATGAAATAATAAGGATCAGGAGCACGTACAATTCATTCTTGATTTTTAATGGAAAATTCATATCTTTAATAGTCATCTCTTTTTCGAAATCATAAAAGACTTACATACATTATTTTCTTTGAAATAAAATATTTAGTGTACCCCTTGCATAAGGGATTTCATCAATACATAACGTTACAGTCAATGATGCATTTTGTAACGGAAAATGATTGTTATGTGCTATGATAAAGCTTTCATACAGCCTCGTATTCTACGTCCGTTCTCACGAATGAAATGAAGTCGTATACGTTCCTCACGTACGATATAAAATAAAATAAAACTTCACAAACCGTAGAATTACATACTTCTTATTCAAGAAAGGCTGTATGCGAATGTACAACGTTTTCAAAAGAATTATCAGAAATAGACATTAAGGAAAATATTAATAAAAACTCTATCAATGGTGCCAATAATGTTAAATACTATTCTACATACACAAATAATATTTTATACACAAATGTACATTTGACGAATATAGATTAAATTTCAGCCTCGAGATTTCCGAAAAATTCATCTCGACACTGAAAGTTAACCTATAACAAAAAGTTTATCGAGGATTTCAGCTATTTTTCAACCACCTCCCGAACTGACCGCGATTGGTCTTCAAACGTTTCTTCGGTGGTTGAGTATTTGATCTCGAAGAACTGGAACTTCTTAACCGTCTGTTACTCGCGATCGTAACCGAAAGAATACTGTGGTCCGTCTCGACTTTGTCGTCGATCTTCATCATTCTAACAACCGGCTGAAATTCGATACTCGAGCGTCTCTGTTTAAGCTCCGAACTCGCCATAATCGTAGGACTAACCCGCCCAGACAACGCACACTCTACGTCGGAATCCCGCGCTTCCGACGACATAGTATCAGTCTGTCGCTTCACGCTCTTCAGGCTCTGTTTTTTACAGTTAATACTTAAATACGAATCTTTTTTACAGTTCTCGTCGTCGAACACCGCGTCCGAGGTTACATTGTTCTTTTTCGCGCGCTTCTTAGGATACATTCGTTTACGCGAGGTCACTTTCTTTTTGTACGCATTATCGTGATGCCCGATCTCCGTGTCAGAATTTTCAGGATGATTCTTCTGCTGCCGTTTTCTCGCCAACTCGTTCGAGCGATGATGTTTTCTGTGAATTATTCCGGACTCTGAATCCTTCCTGCATAAAATATCGTGCTTCTCAAGGTCCACGCGCGTCTCGCACGTCTCCGAAGATGCGTTATCTCGCTGACGTTTTTTTATAGCCGTTTTCGAGATGAACCGTCGCTCGGACATAGAATTAACATCCTTTCGAAAGACATTTTCGTGGTTCTCGTCGTTCCCAGGGTCGTTCTCGGAGATTTCTTCAGACTCGGACAAGTTTTTCCTGAACGCGTAGTCTTCGTTCAATGCAAAGTCGCTGTCGTTGCAGATGTCGGACGCGATGGAATCTATGCAAGCCTCCGCATTCATATGTAACGCGGAATTATCAAGTAGCTCCATATTCTGATCTTTCTTCTCCGTCTCCTGGCACGTGGTAGAGGAGTACGTCTCGAACAACCGTCCATCTTCTTTTCTCTGCTCGAAACCCAACGCGTGTTCCTCTTGCGCTAGTCTCGTAGCTTCTTCCGTCAACCTAGAAGCGCTGTTCGTGACCTGCACGTTTTTCCGTTCCTTATCCAATAAACTTTCGCAGTCATCTGTCAGAGGCTTACTTTGGAGTTTCCTTTTCATTTTGTTACCGGGCCACCCTGTTCTGTTTTTCCTCTTTTTCCTCCGCTTCAGCGGCGACTCGATGTTGCCTTCGCCGCACTCGGAACTCGCGCACGAGGAGTTCTCTAAACAATTAGTAATCTCGTGACAACTGTCCAGCAACTCGAGCAGATTCGAAGGTGGTCCCTTGGGAATGTTTGGTTCGTCGGGGTTCAATTCCATTTGCGTGTCCAGCTCGAACGAGTCGGCCAACCCTAAGTTGTCTGCGTTGAGCATCTCGTCGATGGTCTTCACCATCTCCTTCAGTTCCTCGTCTATGTCCGATTTTGACTCGAGCTTGTGATCAGGCTTGGGAGTGTTCGTCCGCGACCTGACGGAGTGGCATTCGTCTAACGTACACGAAACCGAGGTGTGCTGCTGTTGTTCTCTTTTCCTAATTATCGTCGACATAATAGCTAACGTAGACGCGTGGCAACGGGGGCTCTTTCTGGGAGACCGTCCGACGCAACCTACGCTTCGTCCGCGACCCTTTTTCTTGTTCTCGTTCCTATTTTGATTTTTTAACAAAATTTCGTGAAAATTTTCAATCTCGTAGGGTAAAAGAAACGGCTTCTTCGTGTCTCCTTCGCTGAAGTAGTGCCAGAATTCGGCTCCGTTGTCCTGACGCTGGTACGTTTGATACCACGGTTCGGATTTCGGTATGGCCTCAAAAGAGAATTGCATTTTTTCAACCTCTGGCGAGGGTTTGGACGGATACATCTTCTCCACATCTTTTTCTGCTGTCTCCGCAGTTTCTTCTGGTTTGTCTGTTTGTTCGGTCATCGGTTCCTTGATGCCGGTCAGGGGAGCTTGATACCTTAATCTACTGCCTGGTGTTTCGAATTTGTAGTAGTCGACGTTGTCTTTGATGAGAGCCTCGGCCTGCGTTCGTCTTCTCTTTCTGGCTCGGCCCACGTTCGCGATGGAGTCCTGTGAATCTTCTTCGACGACTTCTGACTTGATGGGTAAACTAGAGTCAAAGGACGAACTGGGACATATCGAGTTTGCGGTACCGTTGCATTCGCTTTCGGTATCTCTCGGTAAAACACTGCTCTGTTCTCCGTCGCTGATTTCGCTCGAATCCTCTCGCTTAAGTTCTCCGAACATGAAAGACTCCGCTTCATCACTTAACAACGACAGTTCCGATTTTCTTACACGCTTAAATCGTACAACTACTGGTTTTTCACTAGATGGCACTTCTTTCTTTTCCTCGCTGTCTCCATCCTTCTGTACAGTACATTGCGAATTATTGTTCGACATTACACTTGACCTTAATTTACTCCCTAAAACTTCCACTTTGTAGTAAGCACGATTATCTTCGATCAGACGCTCCTCCACGGATAACCTTTGTCGCCCTCTGGTGCTCCTACCTCCTCTTCTACCTGTCTTCATGTATCTGGGTTTGTCCTCTTTCGCCTCGTTCTTCTCGGCATCGTTCGATGCTTTAACCTTCTGCTCGACCTTTATGGTGTGTCCGTTACAGACGACGTTCTCCCCATTAACCTCGCGCTCCTCTGACATTTTTCTTGTACTCGACGCATTCCCAAACTGTTCTTTGCAATTCAATTCTTTTAAAGAATCAGCTTTAGGTATTTTACAAGTCTCAAAATCATTATCTTTTGCACTTAAATTATTTTCACTACAATCATTTCTTATACTGCCATTTATTTGCTCGTAATTCCTACTTTTTATAGGACTTCGATCTTGTTTAATACATTCCGTAGTGCTGATGTCCTCTCGAGGAGCACAAGTTATTGTCCTTTGTACAACTTGATTATTTAGATCTTTACGTTTATTACACATGATGTTACAGTTCTTTTCTTCGGTACATGTTTCCTCCAATTCCGTCGCGAACGTTTTGATCTTATAATCATCGTGCTTCGGGTCTTTCAGTTCGTCTTCCTGTGCGAAGTCATCTTCCGGGTCGTCCTCTTCGATCCAAATTGTTCCTTTTGCTCGTTTCTTTATGGTAAACCCTTCGAGTTTATCGTAAAACTTTTCTGTCTTGTCGACTTCGTGCCAAGGGCTACCTTTTGACCTTAATAAGTGTCCACTTTCGTGTCTTGAGCGAGTACGTAAATTATGAGGCGAACTTAACTTTAAATTGAGATTCCTACTATTTCCATTACACTGTCCCATTTTTGCATCTTCTACGTCAAAATCTCCTAAGCTTTTCGTATCTCTATTAACTTGTCCTTCTGGCAGTACTGGATCATGAAGATTACGATCTCCATTGGAAAACAATTTGCAGTCTTTTCTGTAAAAAAATGATGTACACAACAATTAATCGATGTTTAAAGAGAATAAGCAGCATAATTAATAATTTAATTTACTTACTCTATATTTTTTGTTCTGTTTAGCTTTAAAAACGCTTCTACGTTGGCTCCTGCATTAATTAGCGTATCCAAGGACAAAAAATTATCGTCATTTTGAACAAAGCTTAGGTGTTGATCGCTTTGAACGTGTTTCGATAGATCTCGATAACTAATACGGCAGATTTCACAATAACCGGATACTAATTGTTCTGTTCTACGTGTACGAGTAGTTGTACGTGGCCGCCGAGTCATTTCTTTATCCTATTCGTATTCAATGCGTATTGTGCGTTTAGTATCGATCAAATTTTATTTAATGCAAAATGCGTGTTTCAAGTTACCTCCTCTTGGTTGATATGCTGAATACCTTCCCTGTTTTCTTTTACTTCTTTCCGCAATTTTTCCAGCTTTTCTCGTCTTTTCGTATTGAAAGGACACGAGCCTGGATCCCCGTAAAAATTCAGCGTTGGCCACACAGGCAGTTCAACAAATACAGGTCTAGTGTTCCTATACAATGAAACAATTATGTAATAAAATAACTTAAAGAACAGCTATGCAGGTTCTATATCGAATAACATACCTTTGAAAGGATTCAAATTTTAAATATGGACCCTTAAGGTGCCTGACCTTTAAATCTCTGGTTGTACTCTGTTGATTCGAGCGCTTTAGCCGTTTTAAATGATTTGTATCTTCGACGGGCGCATAGATTTTGTCGAGCCAAACCTGAAGTTTATCTATTGCCCAAATAGGAATTCCCCAACTTTGGGCGTTGTAAAGCGGATCCACGGAACACTGTTGTGGCTGTGTCAGAGCACGTTCCAACATTGCATCCACTCGCGATTTCTGTAAGGCGTGAATAACTTTCAAATTACGTTCTTAGCAAAATAACAATTTAAATTGGTGAAAAGTACTTACAGATCTTTGGGTAGTTTGACCCCGTATATTAGTTGTATTGGATAAGGGGCATTCAGGACTAAAAAATGATGTTGGAGGAGTTGGCACAGGGGTTGGAGTTTCTAAACTCCTCAGCGAGGGAGGTCCCCCGCTGCCTCCACTGGCACAACCCCATTTATGTTTTTCAAAATTTACGTAACCACTTTTATCTACCCTGTCACTAATTACCAGGCTTACGCTTCGTACTAAAAATAATTCTATTACCTAAAAAGGAAAATGTAAACAAAATTTATATAGCCACTGACTGTGAATCAGTGTTCAAACATTGCAAGACGAACTTATGAAACGTGAAAAAATGAGTTGTTTCACTGTGATGAAATGAAATGTGACAAAGAAACAAAGTGATAAAGAAGAAAACAACAAGATGACAAGAGAATGAAAGTTGCCAACTCTTTGATCATTCAACTCACAAGAATAAGATTGGTAGCTGCACCAAGAAGATACCATTGAGCGTAGACGCTCGGCGATAAGTGATCCGTTAACGGACGTACAAACACACGTTTACATCGCGGTATGCTGACGTCAAACAATTTCGTGTTCTCCTCAGGCGCAACTAAACGCGCTATCAAGCGAATTTGCAGAAATACAAGCCATGCGTGTGTAGATGCAAATCTTCACGTAGTTAACAATGGTTGCCGCATTGTTACACACAGTTCTAATAATACGTTGCGAACCGCAAAACCAGGACAATAACGAAGCACGTGGGATCAAACGAAAGAAACAATTTAACTTGTTTTGAACGAAAAGTTCACGTGAAAGAATCGTTTAAACAAAATCCACAGGAACTGGTATAATCAATGAATTTACACTCGATTACTGTCAAGCGGTCTCGAAACGCATGAAACCTTCACGCAAAACAACTTCCTCGAACAGTACTGTTTATCAGTTTGCGAATTTGCAAATATTTTGCGTTCGCGTTGAAAACTGTTTCAAACGTAATTCACGATAAGAGGTATCGGAAGAAAAATTCATCGAGATATATCTCGAATGATCAAAGAAAAGGATTGAGGCAAAGGAAAAGAGCGCTGGGACGCGCAACGAGATCGTTACTCGCGGGGGAGAACTGTCACGCACAAAATGGCCATTCGCCGTTAACAGCTTGGCAGACGAGCCTGGAGGCGGCGCTTTACGTTCTTGCTCGCTCTCCTCCGCCGACTACTGCTACAAAGTGAATACTGTACTTTTGCTGAATACGTGAAAATCGTTTTTTGCTGTATTTTCGCGTCCATAGTTTTTGTTTTTTCAAACCACAACACAACAGTTGAAAGCGACGAATCTGTCCCACTTCGTCGTACTTCTTAGGCTATCCTAAAGATGGCGCGACACGACCCGGTTTTTCAGCGGTTGTTTGTCAACAGAAATATTTTACAATAATCTATACACTCAAATTATATCATCAACATCGTTGATCGGTATGTAATTACGATATTTTTCCTTCGTTGCACCTCCGACGATCGATTGCAAGTTTTTTAATTTGTCTCTAAATATTTATTCAACGATTATATTTCTATCGTGTCACTGCTGTTATCATAAGTTTATTTTTATCGCGATCTCGATTATCGATATTATCGATATCGATCAATATCATATTTACACGGCTGTTTCAAAGATGATATCTTCCGCAAGATGTTGAACATATTTCTTAACAATCATTGCTATGATTGTGAACGAGTTGGCGTTAATACGATATATAAGTGGAAAATTTAACGGCGGGAAGAGAGGTGGACAACAGAAGCATACAATGGCGAGCAAGAAAGCGCCGCGAGAAAAGTAGTGGGGAGAAATACGGAAAGACGTTATTACGAAGCTGCTAAATCTTACGATGATTGAATGAAAAAATACAAGGATAGTGAATGTTTATCATTATTTAAACGCTTACCCCTCCCAAGTCTTTGATTTTTGTTTCTATTTTGGTCGTAGTAGCATGATTCTTTATATCCAAATAAAATGACTTTCCTTCCAATGGTTTCAAATTTTTCTGTGTATGACCATCTGAAACGTCACAGGAATACATTAATTTCACTTCACAATTTACCGATAGAACACGAACATTCAAAAGATTGTTTTAAAAACATTTACAATTTATACCATTTGATGTTTGTGTTATTTTTTTAAAAAGCCACTTTTTGTAATCTATTTATGAAATGTGACGTCAAAGGTAAACGACTTATCGATATAAAATCGATGTAAATTAATGTTGAAAAAACTAATGAAACAACATTTTGTCGGTTAAATGTATAAAAATATCGCATAAAATGACATTTTCGTGTAAATACCAGAACAGTGATGATAACATAACCGTTCCGTAAAAAAAGGAGGGGATTTTTCAGCCTAAATGCATATGTTTTGTTAAGTAGATAAAAAACAATTTGCAGGTTATCTTCATCTATCAGATTCGATCACGATAATTTCACACGAATTTCTATAAAATGTAGGTACATATGTTACACGTACGTGAATGCTTGCTGGGTTTCGTTTCTTTTGGTGACTGCTTGTGTTCTGGATGCTGAATTTTGGACGGCGATACCATTCCTATGCAATACACCGCACAGATAGCAACGATACTTTTCTTTCACTGTATTTTAGTATTTTCAAAACACTTCCCATTCTCACAAATGTACCTCGTATCGTCACGGATGTTTCTTTGCATATTCATTAATTAGATGCATTTACCTAAGAGACCGTTATTAATCAGAGCTTACACCGTAACTTTCATTTTGGAAAAAGCACCCAAACTGTTCTCAACGTCTTGACAAACTGAAGTTACCTACCGATGGTGTTTCAAAAATGTACTAAACGTATCTGTCAGGGGGGGCGCGCTAAAAATATCCCTGCACCCAAATTTTTTTTTACGCTGACAAAAGAATTTAATTTCTTTGACGTCCAATAAAAGTTGCACAATTTTTAATTTCCAATTGTTATAAATTTTATTGAACTTGTCCTATTATTTCTGAATTTAATATAGGGATTTTTGTAGTTCTCGTGCGCTGTATAACGGAAGAGTAAATACTAACAAATTTCCATGAATAAAATTATTTATTTTGTTCTGTGAATGTACTACAATATGTATACATAAAAATGATATATGTTACAATATTTGAAATTCGCGAGGTAACTGTTTTGCATCGATTATTTCTTCGATACAGTTATCAAAATGGTTGATAAATTTGCGTTACGAGATGAGACCGATCTAAAACAGTTGAGAAACACTGAAGATCGTGATTGCGGTAGGAGGCCAACATTGGCACACACTTGTCAGTCGTCGTGAAAGCGATTGTTGGCGGGGTGGATTGTTGTGATGATCTGTTTGGTTAAATCTATACAATGTCCATTCTTTTACGAAGTCTGGTCTTCGGAGTGCTTGTTAGCCTCGCGAACACCAGCATGCCTCATCCCTGGTACGAATCCTTACCAGCGGTGGCCTTAGATTACAAAGTTCATATCGATGCTGGAAAAGAAGATTGTTACTTTCAATATGTTAATAAGGGCGCTACTTTCTATGTAAATTTTCAGGTATACAGTTATTTCTAAGACACAATTACTTCATTAAGAATATGTTTTCTCATGCATTTCTTCGAATGAAAAGCTTCGAGTACAACCACGCATTTTTTCACACTTATCAGCATATTTTTATGAGATTAAAATATAGGTCGACGATTAATCCACATTTTACCATATGGTTCGATTTATATAACAACTCTTGAGAATTGTTATTGAATCGTTGTTGTTATCATTTAAGTATTGTTAATTAAAGCATTAAATCATGATTGATGTGTAGGTGGTACGTGGCGGTGATGGAAAAGCTGGTTTCGCTGTGAGAAATCCTGAGGGAGTAATTGTTCACCCGTATCAATGGCTTTCTAATTCAGATTATCAAGATACTGTGATAAATGCTGGTTATTACAGTATTTGTATAGATAATCAATTCTCTAGATTCGCCTCAAAATTAGTTAATTTATACATCACCGTGATCAGGTAATAAATCTAACTGCACAACATGTTTAATTTCATGATCATAATAATTAAGTACCACTGTAATAATTAATTACTACCTCACAGATACGATGAATGGGATAAATATTCGAGAGAACTTGAAGAATTGAATCTTTCCGTCGAGAACTTCACAGTATGTATCCTTTCCACTTATCATAATAATAAAAATAACAAGTGCATGTAATTTTCTTTCCATTACAGTCTGCTATAACCAATGTGGAGAGAAACATTAACGAAATACTTCAAACTCAACATTTGAGTAGAAGTAGAGAAGCCAGAGATTTAAATTTATTATTGGACAACAATTCTTACGTTCAAACATGGTCTATTGCGCAGATAGTTGTCATATTGGTAACGACAACGATACAGGTATATTTTGTAAGAAAGTTGTTTGAGGTGAAGCCATCTAAATATGGAAGGGCAGGTATATAATAAATGCATTGAAGTCGAAATGTTCCAAAAATCTGTGTTTTTCGCGATAAAGAATGTCAGATTTATTGGACTTCGAAGTTATAGCTCTTTTTTGGAGAGTTACCCGTTATTCTTTGGTTAAAGATATTCGCTGTATTCTCAATACCAGGATAATATTCCTTTTCTACAAAGAAACTGCGAAAACACACCGCATAAGACTGTTTTTCGTTTCATATCTTTGTGTATGAAGCATTCCACTGTTTACTTAAGTATCCTTTCATTCATTTTGTTCCGCTCCCAGCTTTTTACTACGAATATGTGAATTATATTTATGTATAAATACAACTATTAGGAAACGTTTATAATTACATTTATATCAAAATAATAAAGAATAACATACTTTTTTTATAGACTTCTTTAATTGCATTACCTCCTTGCTTTACTCAGAAGAAGAATGCGTGAAAGAAAGCGGGTAACTATAAAATATTTTGGTTTATTCGATTAAGTTAATGATAATTTAAGTACACTCCAAGTCTTTTAGCGAACAGAAGATTGTTGCTTCGTCTTTCGTTGCAGCGCGTTACCGTTCAGCGCAAGAAGACGGTGTCTCTGCTTAAGATTTCTCGCGCGAACATGCTCCGATGCAACTTCCTTCGTATAATTCCCGGGAAACCAGCCCTGCTCACCGTCCAATAACTTCTCACCGTGGTACCAACCGTCCGACATCTTTCTGAACACGTTTATGACATCCCCTGAAAATTGAAAAAGTACAATTATTTTTTACCTGCAATCAGCTACCATCAAGAAATAATTCAATTGTTCTCAAGATGTCGCTCACCAGGATGCAACGACAATTCGTCCGGTTGATTAGGGGAATAGCAATACAAAGCTACCACTTGAGGACAGTCCCACGACTCGTAAAGCGTTTCTTCCATCAAACCCCGTTTCGACGGTGAGACAGCTTCCAACCACCTCTGCCTTTCCGTGTCGCTTTCGCACGTTAAAATATATTCAACCTGATGACCAGAATAGTTCTCCAGAAGAGTTAACAGCATCGCGTTACGTCCCGCAAACGGCGAGTCCTCGTTAACTGCTTCTAAGGCGATCAAGCTCCTCTTACAAGTATCTATCACGGTGTACGTTGCATCTTGAGTACTAAAAGAAGAAAGATAGGTTACATACTAATCTCACGTTCATGTAATATTGTTTATGCGTACTTGGATTTATATTTTGCGACTAGAAGGTAATCCGTGAGCAACAAAAGATACAGATGCGTCTTGTTAAACTTTCGCCCGAACGTAAGTTTATATTCCGCGTCAGCTTTGCTCAGTAATTGCACGACGGGCCCAGTTTTAACCAAGTGTTTGCCTTTTAGTACGATAGGTTTAATTTTAGCGGAGTATTCCAGTTTCCTATGAAAAGAAAAAGTACAGTGGAAGAATATCAATGAAGATGATTTGCAAGACAGAGAGATTGTCACCTGGCTAAACTTTCCATTTCTGCCTCCTTCGCCGCGACACGTGCACCTTCGTTACATTCAGCGACCACGTAACTCAGGCCTGACAGAACTCTCTCCCATTGAGGTCTGTCTACGTGTTCGATGGGCAGTTTGGAGAGGACGGCGTCAGCCAACAAAGGCAACCTGAATCACGCGTTCCTTGTACAGATGTTCTTTCTTTGATGATTGTTCATTCTTACCTGGTTATTCGTTGCATGGGTAACATTAAAAACGAATGTAACGACAAGCTCTGGCAAGCTGTCCGCGCTTCAATTTGCGAGACCACGTCCAAAAACCTGATCCCCTTCCGCGTTCTGAAACAACGACTCGTGAATAAAGAAAGAGAAAGTACTTATTTCATTAGCGATTCCGTTTACCGTAAATCTTTGAGCGTGCCGTCGATGCTAACTTGGTTCGAGCAGTACGCCACATAAATGTCCAAACACTTCTCCGCATACTTGAGCAGCACGTCCGGCAACCCGTGCAGCATGGGATCCTGCCTCCACACGGTTTCCAATTCCGCCAGACACTGTTCTGACGCTTGCAACACGCTGGGGATACCTCCGAACAGTTTCTCCTTCTCGAGGGGGGTTAAAATCTCGTTGAAGGACGGCTCGTTGAAGAACTCGTTCTTGAGGACGCGGAGGCTGTTCAAATATGACGCTTCTGATGTTAGGATCTCGAACTTCGCCTCCTGTATCTTTCTCTCCTCCGCAGTTAGTCGTTCTGGAAAGTTAAATTAGACCTTGAAGACGGCTTAGAGCGACGGTTTAGAGACTGTTAGGCTACTATTTACCTAGGAGGTCGCTGTTTATGACTTGAGGCGTCTGACACCATAACGTTCTGTGCCCTGGTTTTGCCAAATCGGTCGTGGAGCGAGATGGAATCATGTCCTCGACCTGTACACGTCAACGGATGTGTTTGTGAGGGAGATAATTTTAGAAGTGTGTGTTGAATTTAATAACAGTGTACAGAGGTGCAATTAGGCTGCTCAGAGCTAATGATTATTGAACATTAGCTGCAAGTTTAATGCTACCTTAATTAAATTTTTCTTTATATAGGTAATATCAGTAGCATCAAGGTGTGTTATGTTTCTAAATACTTAAATACTTTCATTCCTAAATTTTCATAATAAACATCCAGCCTCAAACTAGTCCTCTTCAATCTCATATCTTTCCTAAGCCATATTATCTCTGTACAGTGAAGTCAGCATCAAGGTGTGTTATGTTTCTAAATTCTCAAACATTTCCATTCCTAAATTTCCAAAATAAACATGCAGCCTCAAACGAGTCCTCTTCATCCTCATCTATTATATCTTTCCTAAGCCACATTTTCTCTGTACAGTAAAGTCAGCATCAAGGTGTGATATTTCTAAATTCTCAAATATTCCTAAATTTCCAAAATGAACATCCAGCCACAAACTGGTCCTCTTCATCCTCATATCCTTCCTAAGCTACATTTCCTCTGTACAAGTCAGCATTCTTACCTCTTCATAGTCATCCGAGTTGGAATCAAACGCTCCCCTCGCAGCCGCCGCCGCATAAAACTGATACAGTGGTTCCTGCTCGGCCAGCACGCTATAGTGATCTACAGAAACAGACCTCCATTACGAAACTGAAGGAATGTGAAACTCGTCGACCCTTACCTGGTTCTCCAATCGGTTCTGAGGAGCGATCCGTTTTGATCGAATCAGTATGGCCGTTCAGATAAAAAGTGGAGAACCCTGCAACGCTTTTCTTGAAGTGCCTAGCAAAGCCGAAGTACCTGCCTCCGTCAAGGTTCGAATCGCACTCCTTGTCCTCGTGTTCTTCGTCCACGGACGTTCTCCTCCGCATGCGACCCAGGCTACCTTTCGTGATGCTCCACGTTCTTCTTAACATTTTTATTCTTCTACCTAGCGTTCTTGTCAGACTGATCTCCCGAGGTGGAGGAGGATTGGGTCTGGTTGGAGCCTCCAGGTACTCGATGACCAGTCGGTTCGGGTCGTTCTTCTCCGTCTCGGAATCCGAGCTGAACTCATCCCGAGGGAAGGACCGCAGGCTCTCGTACGGGCTGTCCTCAGCGTTGTCTGCAAAATTGTTTTGATAAGTGGAGGAAGCGAAACTTTTGAAGGACGTAGAACGTTTTGACAAAGAGTTCTCGGACAAAGGAAACCTTCGTGAACGTAGCAGGACGTCTCCTGCGTATCCACGTCCTCGTCCAGGTCGATGACCCTCAACTGAACGAGACCCTGCGTCCTCTGTGAATTTTGCGCAGTTCGATCCGACTCTTCCCTGTTCCATTCTTCCACTTTCTCCGTACGGCCCACGACCAATACCGATCCGCTTTATGTTTCTAAATTCTCAAACATTTCCATTCCTAAATTTCCAAAATAAACATGCAGCCTCAAACGAGTCCTCTTCATCCTCATTTGTCATATCTTTCCTAAGCCACATTTTCTCTGTACAGTAAAGTCAGCATCAAGGTGTGATATTTCTAAATTCTCAAATATTCCTAAATTTCCAAAATGAACATCCAGCCACAAACTGGTCCTCTTCATCCTCATATCCTTCCTAAGCTACATTTCCTCTGTACAAGTCAGCATTCTTACCTCTTCATAGTCATCCGAGTTGGAATCAAACGCTCCCCTCGCAGCCGCCGCCGCATAAAACTGATACAGTGGTTCCTGCTCGGCCAGCACGCTATAGTGATCTACAGAAACAGACCTCCATTACGAAACTGAAGGAATGTGAAACTCGTCGACCCTTACCTGGTTCTCCAATCGGTTCTGAGGAGCGATCCGTTTTGATCGAATCAGTATGGCCGTTCAGATAAAAAGTGGAGAACCCTGCAACGCTTTTCTTGAAGTGCCTAGCAAAGCCGAAGTACCTGCCTCCGTCAAGGTTCGAATCGCACTCCTTGTCCTCGTGTTCTTCGTCCACGGACGTTCTCCTCCGCATGCGACCCAGGCTACCTTTCGTGATGCTCCACGTTCTTCTTAACATTTTTATTCTTCTACCTAGCGTTCTTGTCAGACTGATCTCCCGAGGTGGAGGAGGATTGGGTCTGGTTGGAGCCTCCAGGTACTCGATGACCAGTCGGTTCGGGTCGTTCTTCTCCGTCTCGGAATCCGAGCTGAACTCATCCCGAGGGAAGGACCGCAGGCTCTCGTACGGGCTGTCCTCAGCGTTGTCTGCAAAATTGTTTTGATAAGTGGAGGAAGCGAAACTTTTGAAGGACGTAGAACGTTTTGACAAAGAGTTCTCGGACAAAGGAAACCTTCGTGAACGTAGCAGGACGTCTCCTGCGTATCCACGTCCTCGTCCAGGTCGATGACCCTCAACTGAACGAGACCCTGCGTCCTCTGTGAATTTTGCGCAGTTCGATCCGACTCTTCCCTGTTCCATTCTTCCACTTTCTCCGTACGGCCCACGACCAATACCGATCCGCTGCCAAGGCTTACAGCCACTTGAAAACATTGTTCACGGTCAAACTTTCGATTACGTTATCCGAAGGATAACGAGAAAACGAGATGGCCGAATGACGCATCAAGGATCCAGTTCTCGAATTTGATCTAGAGCGACTCTTTTGCTATTTCTTTCGAATTAACAGGTCCCGAATTTTTTGAATTACTTGGACAAGTAGGCAGCTCACCTTGCGTGTTTGGTCGCCGAAAAGTTTTCAAGGTCTGTCTCATTTCCACATTTCGAGTCACAGAAAGAATATTCTAAGGCGGTACATTTTGAGAAAGCGAGAGTGAAGCACGGAGGGAAGAAAGGGGAACGCGAGAAATCGACGCTTAGAGAAGATTACGCGGATGTAAGTGCACGTTACGTCGACGACGCGACGAACAGCTCGGCTCGGCCGTGACTGACACTGCGAGAGCCGCAATACGCGCTTTCACCTCGCGGCAATCTGCTCGCTCGAGTCCGGTTTCCAGCCAGAACTCGTCGATAAAATATTTTCACGCGCCTCGAATCATCGCCCACTCTCTCGGCGTCGATCTTCCAGGTACGTTCTTTCTCCGAATTTCGCTAAGATAATTGGTCTAGACGGTGGTGAATCCCCGCTCGAAAGTATACAGTTTACATGTAGTGTACATGAGTTAATGTGTAGTGTATTGTACCGGCATGAGATGAGCTCTACAAGTGTGCAGTTTTATGGCGGTCATGCAACTGGTTAGATAGGTGAATGGGGATAGCTAAAATTTGGTAAATAAGAAACTAGAGCTCATCCGATGGGGGCAAGATTACATACGTCATGATTGTATATAAATCTTGATGAACAATTTTTTTCGTCTTTGTCTGGACGTTTCTTTTGAATAGAACGTTCAGATTTACAATATTTTTGTACATTTGGATTAACAATATTTTTTTGTATTTTTAGGTTAACAATATTTCTGTATTTATATTAATAAATTAATGAATTTATATTAATAATATTTCTGTAAATTTAGCTGAACAATATCTTTCTCAATTCAGGTTAATATTTCTCTAATGATTTTTGGTAAGATTTGCAAATGCAGATTGACAATATCTTTCTAAATTCATATTAACAATATCTCAGTAAATTTAGCTTAATAATATCTTTCTAAATTCAGGTTAATATTTCTCTAATGATTTTTGGCAAGATTTGCAAATTCAGACTGACAATATCTTTCTAAATTCATATTAACAATATCTCTGTAAATTTAGCTTAACAATATCCTTCTAAATTCAGGTTAACATCTCTCCAATGACTTTTGCCAAGATTTGCAAATTCAGATTGACAATATCTTTCTAAATTCAAATTAACAATATCTTTCTAAATTCAAATTAACAATATCTCTGTAAATTTAGATTAACAATATCCTTCTAAATTTAGGTTAACATCTCTCCAATGACTCTTGATAAGATTTACAAATTCACATTAACAATATCTTTCTAAATTCAGATTAAGCTCTATAAGATTAATATCTGTATAAATTCAAATTAAGATATCTATAAGATCAATATCTCTATAAATTCAGATTAATATCTTTCTCAGATTAATATCTCTATAAATTTAGATTAATATCCCTCTAAATTCAGTAAAATCTCTCCAATAACTTCTGACAACACATTACACAATGACAATTGTTTGAACAATTGTATAAACAGTAGAATTGTAACAATGAGAAAATCATTCTCAAGACATTCAGTACAAGAGCTACATAGTAAAGCATGAGCAGGTAACTTTTACCCGCCAAGATACAGTTTCCAACGCAACGCTAGCACGGTACACTGCTCTCGATCGTGCAAGTTCCATCGTCGATCTCAAGATTCGTTTTCTTTTCAACGTAATTAGCGATAGCTCTCCTCCAAGAGAAACGATCACAAAATCTTGCATTCTTCGATAAACATTCTTCAGCCTTTCATGCATTCTTCTATAAACATTCTTCATCTTTTCATGCACTTCATTCAATCTTTTACATAATCTTACCTTGGCTCTCTACATTTCTCGTACTCTTATTAGAAGACTTCGACGAGCTCCTCCTGCACCTGGACCGTCTCCTCACCTTCCTCGACCGTTGTCCCTTTCTCTTACTCACGTCCTTCCTACTAAAACGCGTTATTTTACCATTCTAACTTTACCGTTCTAACGAAATGACTCTCGCACATTTACCACGAGTCAGGAAGCGCAACCGGGTCTTCTAGGTCCTCCCACTCGGATTCCTTTCCATTCCATCCTAAGATTGAACCCGTTGTAGAACCCGCGTAGAGGCTGTTGACGCGTTCCTCTGCGGGAAAGCCTACGTCATCGTATACATCTTGATCTAACTCGTCGGAGTCCACGCTGGAGTAGTCGTTGTTCAACGAACGGTAGCTCTCTTGGTTCTCCTCCATCTCTCTAGGCTCTGAGATGCGTTCGGTTATTGGGGACATCACGTCGTCGTAAATGCTGTCGTCTTTGGGGACCTCGGGAGGGTCGCTGGATGGAAATCCTACATCGTCGTAGTCGTCCTCCTAGGTTAGCAAAAGGGGAGTTAGTGGGAGTTATGAATAAGGAATTTTTGAATACTTAAATATGGAGACTTGAAAATTTGTGGATTCAGAATTTTGGACACTTAACAATTTGGTAGTTTGATAACTTAGAAGTTTCACAATTTGGTACCTTGGTAACTTGCTCAGAAGCTTGACAATTTGGTACTTTGGTAACTTGGTTAGAAGCTTGACAATATGGTAGTTTGGTAACTTGGTTAGAAGCTTGTCAATTTAGTAGTTTAGTAACTTGGTTAAAAGCTTGACTATTTGGTAGTTTGGTAACTTGGTTAGAAGCTTGATAATTTGCTAGTTTGGTAACTTGGTTAGAAGCTTGACAATCTGGTAGGCTGGTAACTTGGTTAGAAGCTTGACAATTTGCTAGTTTGGTAACTTGGTTAGAAGCTTGACAATTTGGTAGTTTGGTAACTTGGTCAGAAGCTTGACGATATGGTAGTTTGGTAACTTGGTCAGAAGCTTGACAATTAAGTAGTCTGGTCACTTGGTCAGAAGCTTGACAATATGGGAGTTTGATAACTTAGTCGGAAACTTGACAATATGGTAGTTTGGTAACTTGGTCAGAAGCTTGACAACATGGTAGTTTGGTAACTTGATCAAAAACTTGACTATTTGGTAGTTTGGTGACTTGGTCAGAAGCTTGACAATTTAGTAGTCTGGTAACTTGGTTAGAAGCTTGACAATTTTGTAGTTTGGTAACTTGGTTAGAAGCATGACAATTTAGAAGCACATTAAATCAGAAAATTTGACAAAATTGAAATTCAGTAATTTCAGTTGAAGAAGTGATTGCTTCAGAAGTTGCATTGTGCAATTTCTGAGCTTGCAATTAAACCTCCAGTTGCAACTAAATATTCAGAAATCTGTGAATCCCTAATTTTCCAAATTTAAACCTTGATCTAAACTCCCCAAACTGTACTCAACTTTCCTCATAAAACTTGCATTGAACTATCAAAGAGAACAAAAGCTACTGAACCTTGGACCTTCATGACCTAAACTCCCCAAATTGTACTCAACAAATTCCCTCACAAAACTTGCATTGAATTATCAAAGAGAACAAGAGCTACTGAATCTTGAACCTTCATGACCTAAACTCCCCAAATTGTACTCAACTTTCCTCACAAAACTTGCATTGAATTATCAAAGAGAACAAAAGCTACCGCACCTTGGACCTCCATGACCTAAACTCCCCAAATTGCACTTTCCTCATAAAACTTGCATTAACTTATCAAAGAGAACCAAAGCTACCAAACAAAGACAAGATATCAGCTATCATATCAGTCACAATCTCCCACCAAATTTCTCTTATCAATTCTTCCTTTCATTCATCTGTTCACCTGGGTATCACTATTTTTAGGTCCCACATCATCATACTGATCCTCATCAACGCTCTCAGTGATGCCAGTCATCTCAATCGTGTTCCTCCACAAAAAGCTAGCATTAGCCTCTTGATTTTCACTTGTTTTCACCCGCTGGCTCTGCTCCAACATTTTCGTCCGCACTCGCAGCTCTGACATCAGTTCACGCTTCAGACTTTCGTCGCTGCCTGTAATTGCAATGCAATCATTGTAGTCTCCAAAAAACTAAGAACACATAAGATTAACGTACGAGTTTCCTTTTCGTTCCTGACGAGCAGAGGCAACGTTGCGCACTTCTGTTCGTGCGTGATTACTTGCTCCAAATGGACGTCGCTGTTCTCGTTGATGAGGTTCGGGCTGGTGGCTGAAGCGACGTGCACGAAGTTCGTTGGTGATGAAATGTTGAGGCACCTGGTCTCCTCTCGGGAGAGGCTTCTCGACCTGAACCTGGCCATGGAGTTCACATCCAACGTCGACGTTTTTAAGGAACTCAACGATGCACTCAGAACGTTCTTCTTCTTCCTGGATCCTTTGACGAGGTACTCCGGAACGAAGTGCAGTACGTTCTTCGCGAAATGCGTCCTCTTCTTGAAGCCTCGTTCCTCAGATTTCTCCGAGAGATTTGATTTCTTCAGGGTGATCTCATTGTTGTTGAGGTTCACTTGTTTGGCGACATTCTCCGAGGATGTCAGCTCTATTCGCTCGTAGTCGTCGGACTGGAGAGCTTCGTTCGAGGAATCGTCGGATTCTTGAGGCTCGCGAATGTCGATATCTTCGCTCACGGGGTCCGAGGACCTTATCGGATTATCGATAGCGCATTGCAAATAAAACGGCTCTTCGGATTTCCGCTCGATAACGGATGGACTGGCGGTGCATTTTCGGTCTTCGGACTTGGAAGCGACTAGGAGATATTCAGAGCGCTCCTTTGATGGAGTGTCGACCTGAACAGTCCATTAAGAGAGTGTTAAACCTGATGCGCTGGCCTAAGTACGCTGATTTCAGTTTGAAAATTAAGTAGAAGTAAAGAGACGACTTAAGATAACATTGTATATACATTAAGTGAGTTTGATGAAATTTGATGCAGTTTTTGAGAAAAGCCTTAATATGTGTAACTTATTGATTACTTATTAATTAATTATGTCTGACATACTGTATAAACTTGTAGTGGTCATCTGATCACTTTGGTTCAGTGTTAAAGTCAAGTACCTATTCTTCATTACATATTGAACTTAAAATAACTTTGACATATCTGAGGATTTGGTCATTTGATTATTTAAAAATTGAGAACTTTGACATATTATACATCTGAGGATTTGGACATTTGAAAAGTTTGAAATTAATCACTTGAGAACTTGAAATCTTCAAATTATAAATGTATACCCTCTTCTTGAAGCCTCGTTCCTCAGATTTCTCCGAGAGATTTGATTTCTTCAGGGTGATCTCATTGTTGTTGAGGTTCACTTGTTTGGCGACATTCTCCGAGGATGTCAGCTCTATTCGCTCGTAGTCGTCGGACTGGAGAGCTTCGTTCGAGGAATCGTCGGATTCTTGAGGCTCGCGAATGTCGATATCTTCGCTCACGGGGTCCGAGGACCTTATCGGATTATCGATAGCGCATTGCAAATAAAACGGCTCTTCGGATTTCCGCTCGATAACGGATGGACTGGCGGTGCATTTTCGGTCTTCGGACTTGGAAGCGACTAGGAGATATTCAGAGCGCTCCTTTGATGGAGTGTCGACCTGAACAGTCCATTAAGAGAGTGTTAAACCTGATGCGCTGGCCTAAGTACGCTGATTTCAGTTTGAAAATTAAGTAGAAGTAAAGAGACGACTTAAGATAACATTGTATATACATTAAGTGAGTTTGATGAAATTTGATGCAGTTTTTGAGAAAAGCCTTAATATGTGTAACTTATTGATTACTTATTAATTAATTATGTCTGACATACTGTATAAACTTGTAGTGGTCATCTGATCACTTTGGTTCAGTGTTAAAGTCAAGTACCTATTCTTCATTACATATTGAACTTAAAATAACTTTGACATATCTGAGGATTTGGTCATTTGATTATTTAAAAATTGAGAACTTTGACATATTATACATCTGAGGATTTGGACATTTGAAAATTTTGGAATAGATCACTTGAGAACTTGAAGAGTTTGAAATCTTTAAATTATAAATGTAGAAATTTCTAAACTTCAAACTTCTAAAGTTTTCAACAACTCTGAATTAGCAACACTGTGCTCTTCATCTACAGTAAACTTGAAACTACATCTGAATACTTTGACAAAAGCTTCAACTATAAGATTTGAAAAAGATTGAAAAATATAGCCATAAACATATGAAACTTAATATGCCATAGTGCTCATTTTCTTGGTGTATCAAACGCTTCATAATTAGTCATTAATGCGGAGAACCGTTTCGAGGACTTTCGTATTTCGTGGTAGCGATAAATGACCGGTAGACTCCATACAGCAGATATGGGAAAGCCCAAGGCATAGTCACAATAGAGACTCATCGTTAAAACTTAATTATAGGCTTGATTTAATTTTCTAGTAGAAATCTTTCATTCTATTACAAACATGTACTATGAAAAGTTTTGCATTTATGAAACAAAACTATTTTTCCATGAGAGGAACAGTTATTTTATCGTTACTTTGTATTAAATAATTGTTCATTCAGTATTAAACAAGGTCAGAATGATTTTAAATATTGAATACTGCTCAATAATACTATACATTAAATAATTGTACATTCAGTATTAAACAAGTTCAGAATGATTTTAAATATTAAATACTGCTCAATAATATTATACATTAAATAATTGTTCATTCAGTATTAAACAAGATCAGAATGATTTTAAATATTGAATACTGCTCAATAATACTATACATTAAATAATTGTACATTCAGTATTAAACAAGAACAGAATAATTTTAAACATTGAATACTCCTCAATAATACTATATAATATTAAATAATACTAACAGTTAAATTACAGTAAAATAATACAATACTTAAATATGTATTCAAGTATTATAAACTGTATCATTATAGAAATTTTTATTATACATATGTATACTCATATATACACATATGTATTCCTCTGCATATTATGTATAGAATGCATATAACATAATATTATAATATAGTGTATTATAGAATTCCTATGTTCAGTTCACTCAGACTGGAAAATTAATTACTACTTCGGTGAAGTTTCTTTTCCTGTTCAATACCTTTCACAAAATTATTCATGCTATAATTTCCATATCCTTCATTAATCCTCCAATAAGTCATAGTATATGATTATATAATTCAATATATTATACAATATATTGTATTAAAACTGTACCTAATAGTTTAATAATCAAATAAAATTTTTAATAAAATAACTTCTATATATAAATATAAATATAACTATAAATATAACTATGATTATATCATTCAATATATTATAAAATATATTGTATTAAAACTGTATATAACTTCTGTATATAACTTCTATACAGAACTATAAATATAATTATAAATATATAAATATATAACTGTTCCTATTATTCTACCAATTATAAAATAACTGTTCCATGAGACTCAAGAAACAAGATTCCTTTAAAAATGAAAGACTACTGTAGTCAATCGCTTTTCGCGGTAACGAAAGTCGATGGTATCCCGCGGTTGAATCGTCGACTGTATCGCGATATCTCGACGCGCGCTTCGAATAGTTCTCGCGATGGAAACCCGCGGCAAGAACCGGGAGAGTCGATCGGAATTTCCAGGCAACATTTTCTAACTGTACGGAAACGGGGTTATTCCAGTCGAACCTTGAAACTGGATCTCCTGGCAGTCGCTTCGTTGCAAGTTTCCCTTTTTCTCTTGGACTCGTCAACGGGCAGCAACTGCAGGGGCAACGTAGCTCTCTTTAACGCCAAACTATCGAGCGTTGCGTAAACGATCTTCTCCGAGCTCGGGGATGGCTTTCGATCTCCGTGAAGGAAGCTCCTATTCGCTACCGGCGAAAGACTCATTCTTTTTCTCTTTCGTGACCTCAGCGCTTAACTTTTTTACACGAACGCATCCCGTAACAACAATCTCACGTTCCAACGAGCATACGTGTATCGCGAGATCGCATACAGAGTAGACGCTGTGCGATAAGAAAACAACGGCCCGTTATCAGACACCGCTAACACGCGCACGCCTCGAGTTCGATATTAGCCACCGTGTCGTGCATCTGCCAGCATTCGCAAAATTTTTCGACGCGTAAGCAGTCCGACGCTCGAGTTTGCCGCTCGCATAGAACGGTTAAACTGATGGACCGTTGCTCGCGAACCGTCGCGGATGATTTCTCACTCCGATCACGTTGCACGAAATTCCGTGTCAAAGGAAATATTTTCATTTCCGCGATGTCGCAACCGATGTTTCACATTCTCCCGGGTAAACTTTGACGTTCATCTTTGCGAAACACGGGATTCCAAGGTTCCCGGATCGAATTAACAATCACGAAACTTGACACAACGAACTTGACGTTAATGAGGCCACGGTTAAGGATTTGTCATCCACGATCGTTATCTACACGTGCATCGACGCTGTCTGACGGGCGCACAGAACTCGGCGGTGATCGCGAAACGCACACTGGATTCGCGCGATCGCCGTCCCACGGAGAACGAGTCGATCGAAACGATCGCCGATCGAGTGACAAATCACGCATACTCGGTGAATTTTTAAAGCGCTTTCTTTGCTCTGCCTCCGCGGCGACGGTCCCGCGTACGCGTTCGGCCGTCTTCGCCGGTTTCCGCTCGCGCTCGTCGATCCCCTTACACTGCCGTATCCCCGGAATTCTTTACCCTCCACGCACTTTCTTTCGCTTATTGACCGCTGCCGATCTATTCTCAATTACGTATATGCATCGTCACGAGCATCAATTAACGTCGCTTCCTCCTTCGCCGCATTCGATGCACGCGAAACTTTTTCTTTTTCAACGGTTGCGCTCGTGCGTCGCTCGAAATGATTCCGCGTTCTTTCGCGGATTTCACCCGTTCATGGCATCGTGTTGAACATTTGGGAATGGGACACGTGACTGTTTAGAATGTCAGCGTTTACAGATCACGGCCCTGACAGCGGAGATTCCTGCGTAAACGGGCGCAGCGGTAAAGACTCATCGGCTAGTCGAAAATTCCTACGTTCTTGCGCAGGTGAGTGTCGGCCGATGATGTGGCAGCTTGGCCCCATTCTCTTCTCGTCCTCTTCGTCGTATCCAACCGCTGGACCCCGCTTATGATTCGCCTCGCTGATGATACACTCTTTGTTTCTCTTGATGACAAATCTGCAAACACGATTCGATTTCAAATCCAGCGCAGACAGGACGTGTCTGGAAATTAACATGTAATTTACTGAACATCGAACGATATGTTCGTATCATATTTATAAGTAAAAAATGTAATAATAAAAAACGTCAAGTAGATATTAATGGGTTCAAATTCCTGTACACATATAATTGTCTTTTTATTTTCGCCGCATTTACGTTTAACGTAAAAAAATGTGTCAGTAAGTGGGGACTGGGGTATTTAATCGATGATCAGGTAGATTCGTCGGTCAGAAGTCATTAACTGAACGCAACAGGTAATCATACAGGATGTCGCTCGATCAGGTAATTTTGTACTGTATCTACGACAGATTTAATATTTCGTATTACGGTGAATTTCGAATATAATTGATGTCTACTTTTCGTAAAATTACATTATTATTTTATATTACGTAAAATATATTTTATTCTGTCAGAATGTGAAGTTTCAATTTTGTGCGTAATCACGACCGTTATGTAAAATGGTACTATTATATGATTGAAGAAATAACGATATCAATTAAAAAAAATAAACATTCGAATCGCTGATATTAAAACAGTATCGTAATAAATACTCACCGTATGTAGCGTTAAACTCTGTAACTTCATAATTAGAAAGAGAAAACGTGACTTTGCAGAAATTCCAAGAAGCTGTAGAAGCTGTCAAAACTCTCACTAAGCGTCCAACGGATAACGAATTTTTGGAACTGTACGCCTTGTTCAAGCAAGCAACAGTGGGCAATGTTAATACATGTACGTTAATGCTAAAAAATATAAATTTGTTAATTGAACGTTTGTAAAAAAATAATTGTCTCACATTACAGCGAGACCAGGAGCGTTAGATCTGAAGGGGAAAGCGAAGTGGGACTCCTGGAAGTCAAAGGAGGGTATGTCGCAGGACAGTGCAAAAGAAGCTTACATCAAACTCGTCGATACATTACTCTCAAAGTACAAATAAAGAGCTATTCTATTTTTTTACCTAAAATATTATTGGGATAATACATTTTATATCTTTGTATTCCACGATTTGTTGAAATAAAAACGTTACCTGAATATTCCCTAGTTTACGTTAAATTTGAAATATAATCATGAACTACCAATTCCTTATATGCGGAATATTATTTAATTTGTATTTCTGATGTCGTTACGATCGTTCTGTTCTTTTTTTTGCGGAAATTAGAGACTCTATCTACTTCGTTTAGTTCGTGCGTGACATTTTGAACGGATATTCGCGCGCATTCGCGCGTTAACATATATGCAGGGAACAACAAAGACTAACCCATTTAAAACGAAATAGAGAGTTAGGTATGTGTCGGGTTTGTCTTAAATTTTTGTTAAAATGACAATCTCGGCTCTAGACAAAAATACAGTCAAGCTTATAAGGACTACACAAATTATAGTTTCGGTTTCTACTGCTGCAAAAGAGTTGATAGAAAATGCATTAGATGCTAATGCCAAAAATATTGAAGTCAACTTGGTATGTCATTATTTTGTTTACTTTGTGGAACATCACTTATGTTTAAATTATTTTAAGATTTCTATTTTAATTGTTAGATAGATAATGGATGTACCCTGATAGAAGTGAAAGATGACGGTTGTGGTATTTCTAAAGTGGATGCACCTTATATGGCTTTGCCGTCATACACGTCTAAAATTGTGACTTTCTCTGATTTGGGTAAAAAATAGTAAGATAGAAGCATGTGTAATAGTGTGTAATATGATCATTTAAGTGTAATATTAATGTTACTCATAGATTCGCTAGAATCTTATGGATTTCGGGGTGAAGCACTACATGCATTAAGCACTATATCAGATCTTACAATTATATCAAAAACTGAAGAGGATGAAGCGGCTGTTTCATATGATATTGATCACAATGGACAAATTAAAAAATCTGAACAATGTCATAGAGCAAGAGGTAGTGAATAAAATCTAAAAATTTTATTATGTTTTTATTTTATCTCTTTTCGTATCATTTTTGTAGGAACAACAGTACAAGTAAAACAGTTGTTTAAACAATTACCAGTAAGAAGACAAATAATCACTAATTCAAGGAAGGCAAATCAGGAGGTTAAAATGTTAGAATCATTAATTAAAAGTTATGGAATGTGTCAATTTGGCACACGAATAAGTTATAAAGTAGATAATGTAATTAAATTTGCAAAACCTAGTACAACTACTCTTGAAGAAGCAGTCGCTTATATTCTGGGTAGAAAAGTGACATCTAATATGAGTTGGATAAATATTGAAGATGCAGAGGTGATATAAATTGTTACATATTCTTTGATATGAGTAGATTCACATTTTAATCCTTTAAACTTTATTCTGCAGATTAATGGTAAATTAATGGTTCCTTCCAAAGAATCACAAAATATATCAGAAGTGTTTCAAAGCGGAGCACAATATATTTTTGTAAATAACAGGCCCATTAAGCACAGAGAATTAGAAAAGGTATGCTTCCAAATATTTTTGTGTTATTTAAATTGATCTTAGTTATAAGAATATTCAGAAATTATTTTCAGGTAGTAACTAAAACAATTTTGAAAGCATTAGAACAGGACTCGTCATCTAAGAAAAAACCAATATGTCTGTTGTACATTTTAATGAGTGCTGCAAATATTGATATTAATTTGGAGCCAAACAAGACTTGCGTTTTTTTCAAAGAGGAGGTAATTAAAGTTACAATAGAATCAATGATAATTCATATAAAGATTTCTGCATAATGTTGCGTGTGTGTGTACAGAACATAATTCTTAATACAGTACAAAAACATCTTGAAAATTTTTATGGAATTCAAACACAAGAGCAAGAAGAAACTGTTTGTAATCAATCGCTCAATGAATATCAAGATTACACCCCCAGAGAAAATATTCCTAATGTAGAAGATGAACAGCCTGCGTGTAAAATAAGAAGAGTACACAGAAGTGAAAATGTAGTAGATACTACTGAAAATGTACAATATTCCAAAGATAATGAGGAACCTTCAGTTTCTGAAAAAGAGCAGAATCATTCAGACAAAACTGATGACAGCTGTCAGAAAAATATAGAAAATTTCAATCTCGAGTTACCATCTTTAAATTTGAGTGATTCTGAATCAAATGATTCACAAAAATTCAAATTATTTTACAATGATAAAGATTCCTCGGATACAGCGTTAGTTCTTTAATTATTATGCAAATTTCCTAGGTATAATTTTGTTATAACACAGATCTTTTTACAGCTCTCAGATACCACACGTGGATTTGGGTCCAGATTTTTCAATGTGTTTAAATTCACCTAAAGCAGAAAATGAAGAGCAAAGTGCAAATATAGAAAGTGCTCATGAAAAGAATGAATCAGAAAAGAATACAGATGATAGTCCTCCATTTGAATTATCCCCAGGATTTGAAGCATCAAATCAAAAACCAAACGTAGATTTAGGACCAGATTTTCCAATGTGTATAAGCACACCTGAGAAAGAAAACGAAGGATCGAGTGCGAATGTTAAAAATTTATGCGAGAAGAAACAAAAGTCTGAGACAAAAAAATGTGGTACATTAAAAGAATGGAGCAAAGGACATATATCTGGTGTGAAGGTAAAATTTATTAAGAAATTTAATTGTAGAAATAAAATTAAATTAGTAAATGTTTGTAGGGAGGCACAGATGTACAGCCTTATAATTGTCCAGAATTAAATGAATCTTTGGATGCTATGAACAATAAAAATGTGTGTGGAGGTTTTCGTAAGTTTATGAAAACTGTTGGGCAACAAGGTATATCAGTTGATTATTATAAATTATCCATAAGACAGAGTCTGTATTCAGTGTCTTAATTTTTAGTTATGAAAGAAAACAAACACCGTAACTTAACAGCAGCACAAATTGCAAATGTAATAACCAATCTGTGGAAAGAATTGCCATCTGAAAAACGTGCATATTACAGAGATTTAGCACGCGAAGAGAAGACTGAACGCGAAACAAAAAAACGAGAAAAGGAAGAGAAACAAGTAGAAGAAATGAACAGAAACAGAAATAGGCTTTTAAAAGCATTAGAAAAAATGAGAAAGATGAATCCTGAGGATAACAAAAATTTACTAGTCAGAACTTTAGTACCATGGAATTTAGATTTAAAGAAAATTAGTGAAAGTTCTCTTGACAAGTAATTTACTTTATTATGCATTTATGAAATCGTTTATTTTTTTCTAACAATATAAACATTTTTCAGCTATACATGTAAAAATACTAATCACATTGTTGGACAATTGCGTTCGGGTTCATGGGTCGTTCATAAATCGTCACATATTTGGATCTTAAATGCTGCAACTCTGAAAAAAGAATTACACAAATCTGATATGAATGACACCCAGGTATGTCCAAAATATATAATGATATTTTACAGATCATTTATCTTTTTTTTATTTAAAGGAGACTGCTGAGGATATGGAGCAGCTTTTGAAGCAGTGGTTTTCAACAAAGGACGATTTATCTATATTGTACCCTATACATTCATTGCCAGAAAATACAAATATCAAAACATAAATCTTAGAATATTGTAATTAATTTATTATTAAATTTGAAATAAAAATGTTGACATATAATTAAGGTTTTCACATTAATTCAATTTAAAGGAAATTTTGTACATTCTTTGAAATTCAAATTTGATTTTATATAAGCTACTAACTTCAGTGTTATATAGAATATGTATGCTTATACGTTCAGTTAGTTGACGAAGAATAATTCTGATTGGTCAATATATCATGTATGTTTTCCTAAATTCCTCATTAGGTATATATATATATTTAATAACGTATAGTTATTAATATCTCGTAGTACTAATAAAAAATATGAATTTTCTATACAGCAAAAATTAACATTTTTTAATTAAAATTAAAAACTTTATTGTTAACTTCTACTATTATATTTGTGTACACAAAATTTGTGTACAATTTTTACTTGACGCATTTTTATGTTTCCGGTAGAAAGATTGTTGTTATATATACAGACTAATAGCCTAATGTAATATTGCAAAATTAATATTTAAATTTGATACATCTACGCGAGAGACGCGAGAGATTCGTGGTAATTATACAAAGACCTGTTTAATAAAATAAATGAAAATATAAGAAGTTTGATTATCGAGGGTTGAAGATTAATGTTTTAAGAAGACAAGACCGATAATAACCTTTCTTTTGAGAGACACTACTAACGTTTGTAGATTGAAGGTTTTCAATCTATACATTTGAAGTTTGTGCTGGGTTGTTGGTTGCCATCTTGGACCTCGCTCGTTTGAGAAGCCGGCCGCCCGCAAAAATCTTTGAGTTTCACGCGTTCGCGCGGCCTCACGTACCCCGGAAGCAGGTTGCGTGATTTCTCGACGAATTTATAGATCTGTTGCAATCAATCTAATCAAGATTCGGGTCCGGAATGTATTAGGTGAGTCGAAAATAAGTCATCGTTAATTTCCTGATTGCGATGGCGTGTGATTTATCTCGTACATGTGTGTTCGTGCTTTATGCTTGTACGTGTTTCTAATCCGTGTATCGATAGAAGATAAATTTTTCCCTCGATTTTTGCTCTTTAATGAAAATATTACATTTTTCCACGTGCAGATTGCATCTATATAGGTGTATGTTCCATTAGTCTTACTCGAAGTCGTACGTCTAAAATCTATTGGAACGTAGCGGTAATGCTCTAAAAACTTATAATCAATAGACATCTACAGAATATACTGTTCATTCGTTCTAATCAACGTGTTTTTACGTTTGTTGATTTTTTATTGTACGACCTATATTTTGCCCGTATTTTCTGGTTTATATCATGTAATGATTCTTATTGAAGTTGTTTTGATTCTTCTAACCATGTAACTGGTTCTTCTAATTGAATTCATTTGACTGTTAACAAATACCTTTGGTAAAATATGCAGTATGCAATCTATAAGCGAATTCATATATTTTGTCGTATATTTATCAGGACTTATGGAAATTCAACTTGCACTTGCTGCTTAACGAAGTACCCACGTTCTTTGTTTATTTTGGTATTTTCATTATACAGCCAGTATTGATTTTTACTCGATACAAATAATTCTATTCAGTGTAGTTAACATATTCCTAAATAGTAAGATTTGTATATGACTGATGTTCGTGCATCATTAATGTACCAAATATAGGGGTTGTATCACGAATGTGTGTTTTATTAAATTTGAAGTAAAGAATGTATAAAAATTGAGTGACAATTACATCTGTAATGCTTATACTTAAAATATTGTAATTAATTATAAACGCATTGTACTATTATAAATAAATATAAATGCGGTATTGAATTGTTTTAATGAATACCATATTGAATCTTGATGCGTGATTTAATTTGGATATAGAAACACAAGCTAATATTTATCAGACAGAACTAACATAAAATTATATACTTCAAAATTTTGTATATTTCCCTTGCCAATTTATGATATATTTACTGTTCCTTTTTTAACATAATTTTTTTTAACGACTTAGGTGTATGTTTAGTCTCGCGCATTCATAACTGGGTGAGTGGAGGAAATAAATTAACTATCTTTTATAATTATTCGATAGACCACAGTGAAAAAATAGCAATCGACAAAACAAATAGCAGTAGCGATATATCAGAGAAAATGGCACTACCCAGTAGAGCGCGAGTTTACACCGATGTAAATGCACGTAAACCTAGAGATTACTGGGACTATGAATCTTATGTTGTTGATTGGGGGTAAGTGTATCAATTTTATAAATATCTGTGCATTCATCCATTAGCTTAGCTTTCTTATTCATGATTGATTCCTTATATAGGCAACAAGATGATTATCAATTAGTAAGAAAATTAGGCAGAGGAAAATATAGTGAAGTGTTTGAAGCTATTAATATCACAAATAATGAAAAATGCGTTGTAAAAATTTTAAAGGTACAAAAATATAAGTTAGACTATAACAGATGAAATATATTTATTTAAAACTTTTAATTTTCATGTAATTTCCATTTTTTAGCCTGTAAAAAAGAAGAAAATAAAAAGGGAGATTAAAATCTTAGAAAATCTCAAAGGTGGGACCAACATAATTACTCTCCAAGCAGTTGTCAAAGATCCTGTGTCAAGGACACCAGCACTGATTTTTGAACATGTCAACAACACAGACTTCAAGCAATTATACCAGACGTTAACAGACTACGACATAAGATACTACCTCTACGAATTATTGAAAGTGCGTGTATTGTTAAGTGCAATGGAGTTCAAGTATGAGTTTAACGTGAACCTTCCAGATTACTATTCCGATAGGTGTATATTATAGGTTCAAGAAAGAGTTCGAAAATGATCTATTTGTACAAATTCTGCTTTTCTTATTACAAGTGGTATGATATTGACATTTTTGAAGGAACCGTATTTTATATGATTCATTTAAGTTAGCAAAATTGCTTTACCGTTGAACATGTTTTAACACTTTTGATCTCAATTTTTCTGTATTGTAATTTAGTATGTTTTCATTAGAGGAAAGAAATTGTTTAAATTTTCGGACTCATGCTTAGTATATTAAGTAAGTAACGTCGATAGCGTTCAACGTCTTTCGTATTTACTTTCGTGTAACGCGTGGAAAGATATCAACGATACGTAATATGCGATATTACTGTTTTTCTGTTCAGGCACTGGATTACTGTCATAGTATGGGAATAATGCACAGGGATGTCAAACCGCACAATGTGATGATAGATCATGAAAACCGAAAGCTGCGGTTAATCGATTGGGGTCTAGCAGAATTTTACCATCCCGGTCAAGAATATAACGTACGAGTAGCTTCGCGTTATTTCAAAGGTCCAGAATTACTCGTAGATTTTCAGGTTTGTAACCACACTGTCCACCGATATTCTTAATGAAATACTATCATTATTTTCCAGATAATATATAATTCCTTTTGTATCGCAGATGTATGATTATTCATTAGATATGTGGTCTCTTGGATGCATGCTTGCGAGTATGATATTCAGGAAAGAACCGTTCTTTCATGGACACGATAATTATGATCAACTAGTTAGAATTGCAAAAGTCCTTGGAACCGAGGAACTGTTTGAATACCTTGAAAAGTACCATATTGAATTGGATCCTCGTTTCAACGACATTTTAGGCCGACATTCACGTAAACGTTGGGAACGTTTCATGCATTCGGAAAATCAGCATTTGGTATCGCACGAAAGTCTTGACTTTCTTGACAAACTTCTGCGCTACGATCATTACGAGAGACTCACTGCACGCGAAGCTATGGAACATCCCTATTTTTGTGAGTACACCATGCACTTAACAAACCTAATTTACTAAACAAACCTAAGCATGCATTTTGTGATCGGTAGCAAGAAATGTTCATTGGCTGATTGTCTTTTTTTTTTTAGATCCAATAGCAAAAGAACAAGGTCGATTAAACATGGTATCATCGTCACCTACTCCCGTAACAGGTTCGTTGCCTGTAGGTGAGTAACGGCCCAGGTAATGTCATCACCTCAATTTCCAATTTATAATTATTTAATCATATCATTCACGTATCGTTGAATCGACCATGAGAACATCTTGAACTTTCATTCGCATCTCCGAATACGATGCGTGTTGAACATCCGCAAAGTTCATAATTGATTCAAATTCGCAATTTCTATTTTATGATATTTATAAAGAAAAAAAACGAAAAAAAAAAACGAGAGATTGCCGGAACAGGTCGTATTACGATGTACGAATACACGCAGTTCTATCGCATGATTATTGGATATCGTCCGGCATATACGATTTAGCTAATTCGCAATGGTAAGCGTTGCTCGCGTAAAGTGTTCGAACGTTGAACGTAAAGACACATTTATGTTAAAGAACCCTTAATGTTAAGTATCGGCACGCTTCCCATTGTGAGTTAGAAGCAAAAAAAATTACGGTACGCTTTACGCAAGGTCGTTCCAGACACCTTTGGTCAGCGCATTTTTACAAAAATGTAAACATCGGTATGGTTGATGAAGATTGAGGAGTATGGAACGACCGATGCGATTTATAGTCATATTATAACGGAAACGTACGAAATAATATCGGTCCTTAACATAAAGCGATCTTCTTTTTGCGACTAATGTATATTTAAATTTTTCACAGTACATGGTACTTTTAGATTTGAGAAATTTGAACAATTTATGTTACTTTTTAATAAGAAGATCGTTTGAGATGACTAGTAACTAGAGATGCGACTAAACAAATGTTTGATTTGAAATATTCAAACGATTCAAGTCTGTATGTCGTTTAGTGTCGATCAATCTAAAGCTAGAGTAAAATGTATAAAATTGCTATCTTTTCTTATATCGTCGCATCGAGAATTGGTTAACGACGCCTCGCCAGTTATGCGATGAATGCATTTCTTCTCGATACTAGGATGAAGTCGCACGCGCTGATAATAATACCTGAGAGAAAATGTTTGATTGCTCCTTGGATGAAAGTTGTATAAGCGTAATATTAGAAAAGAGTGTGATTAGGAATTATGTTATGTTGGTCCGTATTAAACGACAACTGGACTTGAATTGCTCGGACGTTTCAAAGCAGACATTTTTTTTCTTCTGTTTTTAGTCAGTATACATATTTATGAGAGGAGCGTGCGAAGAATCAAACATTTTCGTTTAGGTATCGATACTTGTTGGCGCGAGGGGCTTAATCCAAACCTTAGGCGTGACTGTGAGCAGCGTGCCGGTTCATGGAACAAACGGACTGAGAAATATGATGGGAGGAGTTGCAAATGGAGCTCAGAAAACTCTAAAGTATTCATCACGTCTTTTACATACGGTTTTCGACTATTGACTCGTTATGTACTAACGGCTGATCTTTTCATTCCACCTGAACTTGCGAAATCAAGAAGAAAAGTACTACTTCGTATGACGGTGGACCATTCTTTATGTAAATGGCGATTATATTCTGACATGGTATATAAAGTTCTACATTTTAGACATTCCTTGTTCTTTAATTCGGGAATCACTTGAAAGGACTTATTTTTGTTCTTTTAACGGAAGCAATCTACTGTGTATGATTCAAGTCAAATGGCTATAGACAGAAAATATTACTTATGTGTTCGTTGACTGTAGTATAACTGCGAATGGTTTAGAAACGAAGTTGTAGAATGGCAAAATAATCTATCGAATCAGAGTACGTGCTCCGTCCATATTGGCCGGTGTGCGTGTGCCATTAATATTTGTATGTTGCCTTTTTTCCATCTTGTGATTTATGATTTACCGTGTTTCTGCTACCGATGCCATGGGCACGGGAAATTCGTAAACGCATAAAGATACGATTAGATCATGTTATGTCACTCGGAAGATCGTCCGTTAATATACAAGACATCGTGAAGACGATGCAAAGCAAACTCACGTGTATTTACATACACACACACACGTATACAAACATAACACGTATACAACATATACATACATACATACATACACATATACACACACAGCACGTGCTCACACTTATACATGTACCTTTAGGCCGCTCGGTTTAGTACTTTTAACGATGATAAAAATGTTCGTTTATATCTGATACAATGATAGTTGAATAAAATGTTTGTTATAGCCAAGTACTCTTTGTGCTCTGTGAATACCTATGTATCCAGTAACAGATACCAACGCGTTGGTAAATTGAGAATGTGATTTCGAAGACCGCGACATTTCAAGCCCCCCTTGTTATCACGCTGGTCTCTCGATGTAACCTCGGACCGTAGCGATTCTACGTCGAATGGAGAATTCACAGGCACCTTAAAAACACTTGGCGTCAGCAAAAGCCTACACACGAACGATACACGCGCCGATAACGAATGAAACATTTGTATTGCTGTACATTTGTACGCTTGATGCGCTGATCAAAACACTTAATGTCGATAACATTAAATCAATCAAGTTATTTCGTATACAGCATTACCAATGTGTTTCTTATAAATTGAACAAGTAATTATTTATATACAAACATAAACCAATTTATTGTGTACATTTGAAAAGTTCACCGCTAGCAGAGGAGAGAGAAAAAAAGGGAGGGGAGAAAGAAACGACAACGTACTTTCGAAGAATGTATAGGAATATAGCACACTCCACTTGTATACCATGTCCTTTCGTATTATTTCGAAAGAATTTGTCAGTTCCTATACGTATAAATTGCGCATAAAGTACGGTCAATTCGATATATATAAATATATATATATATATATGTATGATATATATACGTATGCGTGTGTATACGTACATACATGGAGGCGCCATACGCACACATACGTGTATATGTATATAACAAACACGTATATACGCTAGCGTATTACAAATGCGTACCCTACCAAGCGGAGTGTGAATTTAAATTTGACGAGCATTATGTGCCCTCGAATATTATCGGCTAAGTAGTAATGTTCGCTTTTTATTCTGATCACTGCGCCGTTTTTGCCTTATTCTCATGTATTTTAAGATTTCATATGTATATATGTATATTTTATTTTTCAATAATGCATAAAAATATATATATACATATATATGTATATATACATATACATATATATATACATATACGTGTACGCAGATAAGTGAAAAAGTGAGAAGGGTACATAGACGTGCGAAGTGAATAAACTGCGCTATAGATGTTAAACATGTAAAAAAAAATATGGAATACTCTGTGTACGAGTAAACTATAAATACGTTTTATTTATTATGCTTATAATTGTCGTATTAATAGTACACGACAAGTATCTGATTTCGAGTCAAGTTTATGTGGCAAGAACGGCGCACATGTAATTGTTTATCCAAGTTTGATAACCCTCCCTGTTCATGCGTTAAGTTTACGATAATCTAGTTTAGTTTTATAGAAGAAAAATTATTGAATAATTGCTATTTAAATCTACGAATGAACTTAAACGGAAAGAAGAAGATTAAGATAACGAATTGTCACTAATATAATTAATATATTACGCTGGATTTTAACTTCGGTATTTTAACTTGCAACGTCATGAGTTTCTTACTACGTACATTGAAAGCAAAATGTGATGTCGAACGAAAATCACTGGAAACGCCGTTCTACCCTCGATCGTTCATTTATAGGCCAGTCTTAAATTTTCTTCTCATTACCTTCGAGAACGGCCGTGTCCTGAAAGAAGAAAGTGCACTGAATGTTTCATCGTACACAAATGTATATTCGAATTTTATATACTTTCATTATAATGCCAAAGCGATAAAGTAAAATAATTTACAGATTTTTCAACTTTCTCTTGTTTTTCCGTTCTATTACTGACAGATTCTTCGTTTCTTTAAATAAATGCGGGATAGCGTGAAACAAAGTATTTTCACGTGGTTGAGGTATGACAATAAAATTAGCCAAAGTGCACGAAAATGCTTTGACCTGTCATCGATCGTTGAAGCATAAAAAAAATAACCCGTTTTTATATTATGCAATTTGTTTCTGATGTTTTTGCAATGTTCACTCTGGGAATTAGCGATACAATGGCAAAAATAAATTAATGATAAAAACGTTCACGGATTTGTTTTGTGCGGACGAGACATTTGTGCGTACTATATAATGTAACAATAATATGTATAATTTACAACAACAAAAAAAAACGTTGTAACGACACTAAAATACCAGTGCTGTATAGAATTACTTAAAAAAAGAAGAAAATACAATTTCGTTTGTATTAAAAAAACAATAACGTTACGGTTATTTTGTTCTTTTAACACCTTCGATTGTCTTTTTTTTCTTTTTCATTTCTTTGTTATACCTAAGAATTTAAATATTCTTATTTTTAGATCATACACTTATTATACACGTACTTTTTTTCTTTAGTAAACATAAGCATTGTTATTTTAACAGTTTATTTTGTACTGCGTTAAAACAATGTAACATTATGTGTTTTAGGAAAGACAATATACCTAAACTTATTGTTTTGTAACTAAACATGTAATGTATACGGTATTTTATATAAATTAGTCAGAAAAAAATAGGTTATGTTTGTAACGATTGAATTAACGTTAAAAACTCTTCAATATTCGTACATATATGTTAAATAAAACAATCATAAGGATAGTTACTAAATTAATTATTCATAGTGAATGTTATAAAAGTATTTTTGTTCGTTTTAAAAGTCCTTTCTTTTCTAATATACATAACCATTCTTTTCGCTGGCTATAAAGTGCTCGCGCGTGATAGTCGTGTCACTGCCGTACGTATTTGCTTTGTATTTCTGGCAAAAGTGCTTTATTTTCGATAATGGATGAAAAAGAGAAATTGCAACAACGAATTAAGGAGTTAGAAACAAAATTACAAGAAGAGCAGAATAAAAATATGTTAATAACAAGAGAAAAGATAGAACATATGTCAAGTGAAGTAGTTGACTCAAATCCTTATAGGTAATTTCATTTTTTTGTTGCTGTAGTACATATTTTATCTCATTTGTTTTTAAACTAAAAATGTAAAACAAAATATTAATGACAAAATTCTATTCATTGCTCAGTCGGTTGATGGCATTAAAACGTATGGGTATAGTAAACAATTATGAAAGAATAAGAGAGTTTACGATTGCAATAGTTGGAGTAGGTGGAGTTGGTAGCGTTACTGCAGAAATGTTGACAAGATGTGGAATTGGAAAGGTAGCAATTTTATAGTCAATTGACTATTACAAGCTTTTCAATTATGTAAATAATAAATAATTTGAATTTCAGTTAGTTCTTTTTGACTATGATAAAGTAGAAATGGCAAACATGAACAGACTTTTCTTTCAACCGCACCAAGCTGGTCAGAGCAAAGTGGAAGCAGCAGCAAAAACGTTGCAATATATTAATCCTGATGTAGATATTGAAACTCATAATTATAACATTACCACAGTGGATCACTTTGAAGATTTTATGAATACGTTGAGGTACAAGATGATTTCTACCGAATTAGGCAAGGCACTATAGAAATTAAATTTAAATTTTAGCACATCAAGTTTGAGTAAAGGACCAGTGGAGTTGGTACTAAGTTGTGTAGATAATTTTGAAGCAAGGATGGCAATTAATACTGCCTGTAATGAACTCAATCAGAAATGGTTTGAAAGTGGAGTTTCAGAAAATGCTGTTTCTGGTCACATTCAATTTATTATTCCCGGGGAAACGGCTTGCTTTGCGGTGAATAAAAGTCAATACGTAAATGTAACATCACTGGAGATTTGATTAAGAATACATTTTATTTTTAGTGTGCCCCTCCATTAGTGGTGGCAGAAAATATAGATGAAAAAACTTTGAAACGCGATGGCGTATGCGCAGCATCTTTACCTACAACTATGGGAATCGTGGCTGGGTTTTTAGTTCAGAATACATTGAAATACCTTTTAAATTTTGGAGAGGTGTCCTATTATTTAGGTTACAACGCGATGCAAGATTTCTTTCCTAAAATGACATTGAGACCAAATCCAAATTGTGATGATAGATACTGTAGAGAACGTCAGCAGGAGTATGCATTAAAACCAAAACAGGAACAAAGGGAGGAACAAATAGTTGAAGATAAGCCCCTGCATGAAGATAATGAATGGGGTAGGTTAATGTTATATAGGAGCAAAAAGGATCAGAATACGATTACCTTATAGCAATTAAATTTCTAAACTGATCATATTTTACTGTAGGAATTTCTCTCGTCGATGAACAAGATCAACAGGCAGATGAAAATGAGCGCTCATTGTCGTTAGGTGTAAAAGAAGCGTATAGCATACCGTCACGTTCGACTGATTCGCAAGTCGATCAAATTCCGCTTGAATCTGATGCTAGTCTAGAAGAATTAATGGCACAAATGAAGTCTATTTAAATTCTGCTTCTTTGCGATTATTTTATCAGTATATGCATTCCATTCGCGGCCTTTATACAGTTTTCAATTGTAATTTATAAGTAACATTTCTGATCATTACCTTTTGTATTTATTAAGTTTATCTGAGAAACAAAAATTTATTTACGTGCAATATGATTTTGTGTAATAAAAACAAATTTTTATGAAACTAAACGTCGAAACGTTCGAAGCACAGATTTTGACCCTCTTCTTCGTAATCCTCTCTAGTTACTAAAAGACTCGAAAATATTGGATCTTTCGATAACGTTTTACCACCATGCCATGCATACGTGATCGGGCTGAAAACGACGTAACGATAAATCATGTGTATAAAAAAATATGTAACTAATTACGAATTTGAAATTTTGTTACTTTTCAGGTAAATAAACGTTTATCGCGTATTCTGCGGGTGCTAAACTTCTAACTTCCTTATAAATTCTTTCCTGAAATCCAGGAAACTTCGCATTACCCCCAGTAAGAATAATATTACATAAAAGATGTGGCCATGTCTCTTCGTCACATGCTTTCAAACAGTCCATGATAGCTTCTGGAATACCCATTTGTCGGATACCAACATCTGATGGAAAAAATAAAATTTCGGGTATAGCAAATCTTTCATTACTTAAACGTAAAGTTTGTTGCTCGTTTGGAGGTTCTGGATTTTTAAGATAACCACGTCTTAATGTCGTGTAATCTGGTAGAACGTAATCTTTAGTTATGGGATTGTTTTCTAGTTTACTTTTGGCAACTTCCATGTCTTTGAAAAATTCTTGAGATACAAAACACGAATCCTCCTTTGCTTGATTTATTACATAAGTTTCATCCATAACATGAAGTTGTCTATAGGATATTATTTCTTTAAGATGGTTCGTAAGTAGCTTTCCACCCACATCAATGCGTCTGATACCTTCTTTAACTTTAGTATCATTTATATAAGGCACTATGTGGGTAAAGCTATAACCACTATCAACTACTATACAACATTTTGTGTTAGGATTTTCTGTTTTATACTGATAGCAAGACAGAGTAGAAGCATTGATCCTTAAAAGACTTTGACATTCATATTCCTCAAAAAATATTTCCGTCATAGCTTCTTGAACTGTTGGAAAATTAAACAAGGGTTCAGTCACAACCACAGAAAGTTGATTTAAATTCACCGGGCAACATTCTTTTGAGAATATATAATCCCAAACAGTTTTCTGAACGTCCCAATTGACAAGATATCCCTTTTGAAACGGTAAAATATAAAACAGCCCCGATGCGTCTCGACACTCTTCAATTTGGTTCCCCACGAACGGCCTGCGTCGTTCACTTTTCGCTTTCATTATACAATTAGGGACTAGTCTAGAAATAAAAATGGTAAGATTTGTGTCATCTTTCTTTCATATTAGCTTTAATTTTTCGTTGAAACTTACTTAGGGCTATCGGAAGCTAACCCAACTTTTGCGGTGTAAGCACCATTGTCAAGAACAAAGGTGGAACTACTCATTTTAAAGTAACGACTTAATTATTATAGAAAGTTCTGTTTCTATTCTGCTTTGTATGTTATAAAAGTTCCATGGAATGTATTTTAACACATCAATAAACAAATCCCGCTTGCTTAGTTTAGACCGCGTTCATTTTCAAATTGTTACTGTTCCGGTTGCTACCTCAGCATGCAAGAAGTACATACTTTTAAAACCAAGTGGTTTATTCCGTAATATTTATTATAAATATTATAAAATTCATATTTTTACTCTCTAAAGACATTACTTCTAATGAAGAATAATTTGTGAACATCAGAGAATGTTTTATTTTTTGAAAAATCGAAAATTTTTCAATAGTTCCACGCTCCATCGCTAGATAGCACTTCTTGTCAGCGCGCGTAAAAATTCAAATTGAAAAAACATGAGAAAAAAATGTGAATTTAAATAATTAACAATCATTAATTTTTTGAATATATGGTACACTACATATGTACTATATGAATATTTAAGGTCTCATAAAATGTAAATTTATATATTTTCTGTATTCAATATATTACAGTATGTAATTTAAGCACAATAAATATTTTACATATACGTAATACAAAAGTACAAAATTCAGTATATTAAAATTGTGATATTGTTGGAAACAATTATAAGCAAAGTACAAAGAATTCAATGTAATTAGTATATTTTTAGAAGCAGTTTTATAAATATATATCATTCTATAAAGATTGAGATTATAATTAAAAGTTACTTTACAAATTCGACATCGAATTAAAATACGACACTGCGAGGACATTATAAAATTAGCAAAAATATGTACCTATCTTTTCCATGTAGTTGTATTACAAACTATATAAACATAAATTGACTGAAGTCATCAAAACATTTTTTACAAAAGCCATGATCTACACGGTGAAGTTATATAAAAATGATTAAAAACATGGTCTTACTCTAATCAGTTATAAGCACTGAATTATTATTTAGAAATTAAATCGTGGCACACTGAGATATATACGCATGACTTAAACGACGATATAGTGTAAGTCTTACGCAAGTAAATGAATCTTTCAATTAAGTATAGATCAAATGAGTATCATTAATAAATTGTTCTGTTTTTTGGAAAAAGAAAAGGTGTCTATAATTTCATAGAACTTTAATTACATTAATCTCTCGTAATGATTCGTGAAATTTTTAATTACTATGAAAAGTATCATATCAAGTATCGACATTTTACATTCGATACCAAATGCGAACTTTAATCATTTTCCTTATCACTATCGTAGTTTTATAAAAATTAATTAGTTGTACGTCTAGGAATTGGATATCGAAGTACTAACACGCTGTCTGCCGATATAATTGGTAGTACATTGTCACAATGATGATTCACTAAATGACTTACGCTATCGAAAACACGATCTTTTGTACGAACCTAAAATTACAATTTATTATTAACATATGATAAATAAGACATTCCACAAAATAAAAATTATCAGATACTTACTACACCTTCTGGATCGATTAATAATAAATGTTTAGGTGTATTATTGTTCATACCAGTAAGAACATACTGTCCAGGAGAGCCTTGAGATTCTCGCACCAAAAAATCACCATCCTATTAATTACATTAAAATATATTTTTATAAAAATGAACGAATGAATCATCGAGTGGATAAAATTCTATATTTTCTGCTTACTCTTGTTAACATAGATTCTGCTTCTGCGCGACTAACACTACCGTGGAACCATATTTCCTGCTTTAACTGCTGTTTCTGAGAATGTGGACTTAATCTATTCATGTCCGATATTGCAGAACTAAATGGTTCTAAGAATTATGGAAAATGCTCATATTTTGTTCTGTTTATAAACGTTCGACGTCACGTTTGAAATTACTTACGCATATCGAATACATCAAAAAGTGATGTTTGATCGCGATGACTTTCTCTTGTAGCAGCTATAATGCTGTCGTTAACGTAATTATGTTCTGGAGGTATATTGAAATTAGAAGATGTTACTGTTCCATCAGAATTTAAGTCAATTAGATTACCAGTCTCTGTAGAGTGAAATTTATAATTAATGTTAAATAGAAATATGAGTTACAATACAATGAAATATAGGGAAGAATAAATGCTACCTGCCCATTGTTGATGATGTCTATCAGAATTGGAAGAAAAGGTATCATGTAATGCAGAGTTTTGTGCGCTTCGCGATGTATGATTTTGTCCAGAGTGATGATGCTTCAAATTAGGCAGCGTTGACACTGTTGTTGGCAAAGGTGGAACTGGTGGAGGACCAATGTCTGGTGGTACTTTACCCGGTAAATCATTATAGTAATCTCTATCTGCTTCTCTAATACCATTTAACATGGGACTGTAAAGAAATAAGACTATTACATTGAGTGTAAACAGGAAGTTTTTAAGGTAATTAATTGTAATTACTGTAGTGCAGCTGGTTTAGTAAGAAATTCTTTGAAACGTAGTTCAAAAGCTTGTCCAATAGTAGATATAACATCCTGTGCTAGTCCACCTCCACATTCTAATACATAACAAGCACGCCATTCTTGCATATTTTTGGCAACGTATGCAACAAAGTCCAGTATTTCCTATTAAACAAAATTCATAACTATCTTGTACTTCAAATTTAAATAAAATACAGACACTAATATTTACCGCATCTCCACCCGAAGCAAATGATATACGTGGCATTTCATGTTTGGCAATAATATATCCAGTATCTATGTTAGTCAAAGCTAAACTGCAACTACTGATAGTTAAGTTTATCGTGGCACCTGTATGTTCCATACGAGGCTTGTCTGCTATTGCTCTCAGCACTTTTCTATCCACCTTGATACAATAAATGGAAAGTGAAAATATCAACCTTCAGAAGATAAAGACAAGTATTCTATATTTTTAATAAATACCCTTCTCTTTTTATCAGCAGATTTTAATCCAGCCGCTTCACAAACTCTGTTTATACATTCTCTAAAAAAATTACATTATCATTTTAAACAGTAGAAAACTGTTAACGTCTCAGTTTATATTCTTGCATTGTCATGGATCAAATGTATATTAAATACACATTAATAGACTCACTTGGCAACGCATGATCTTGTCTCAAAATCTAAACTTTTCATGGATGTATATACCTCAAGACAGCCTATATACTGAAATTTATATAAAAAATTAATAAGTACAACTGTCATTGTAATTACTTGACATGTTTGAACCATAACATAAAGAAATAGAAGCCTACCTTTACGGTGTAAGTGATTCCTTCTTTACTCACTAAATGATCTGGGTGTAGCCATCCTCTAGCTGGTTTACTTATAAAACTACTACCTCCAGTTGCCATTTCTAAATACTATGCATACATGTATAACTATAACACAGGCATTTCGGTGTTATACAAAATGTGTATTAAAATTTCTTTGTGTTAATTAAACGCTGACATAATTAAAGTACATGTCGTAAGTGCACATGAATTGCGAATAAAATATATTATTGAACAAAATTACACAAATCATATCAGTCGCATTTTCTTAACACTTCAAAATTGCGTTTTCAAATGTTTGATAGCTAATGTCATTACATAATGTCAGTAAAGTTTCTTAAATTTTAATCGAAGTACACTTACGACAATCACAAGTGAACGTGAACGACTACAAATATTCCGTTAATCATGAAAAAGAAAACTTCGATTACCGTATGATTTGCCAGGAAATGAGATCATACCTCACAGACCGTCAAAAGAATCGTATGTACATACATTGTACGGTTATAGGGGTGATTTATTCAAACATTTTACAGTGATCATTACTCGAAGTGAAATACTATATGCGATAAATTCATGCTCGTCTGTTTTTCTGCCATGCCACATCCCTAACAGCATTAACTATTGTAAAATTCCACAAAATACAAATTACCAATAATTTAACGATGTTTCCTTTCTCATCAGCTACAGTATATATACAACATGTATTTCTCTTTATTTAGTTATCGAATAAAATTTAATATTACTACTGATCAATTAATTTATATTAACAATAATAAATTTAAGTAGTCTTATTTTGTTACGTATGTCAATTACTGTGTGTATAAATGAATAAAAAACGAGTATTTCTAATAAAACAGAGGGTATGTTACTGAATAATATATATTCTGCGTTTCACCGAAGACTGTACACAATTTGCGCAACTCTGCTATCTTCAAGTCTAATTTATAATACTTGATGCTTTGCGTTTGATGTGCGTGCGTATCATGAACACTTTTCAAAATGTGTTGTTGACAAAGGATCGAGCAATAGTTTTATATTATTTGATTAATCATGAAAAGAGTAAAAGTCAAGTCAAAGAAACCTAATCCATTGTTCGAACGTTGGTTGGAAGAATGGAGGAAAGAAGCGGCGTCCAGAAATTCCGATTTGCAACACCATTTTTCAAAAGCGCTTTCTTCTTTAAGAAAATATCCTTTACCATTAAAATCCGGAAAAGATTGTATAATACTGCAACATTTTGGTAAAAAAATATGCTTGATGTTAGATAGAAAGCTCAAAGAGTATAATGCTCAAAATAAAGGTTCAGATTTTGTTTGTACACACTGTGATTTTAATGAACATGCATCTCCAAAAAAATGCAAATTGCAAGAAGTGGATACTAATGACTTGCATGAAAGGGTAAATACGTATACATATAACAATTTATTTGTAACATTTATGTAATTAAAACATGTTTTTATTTTAAGACAGAACTGGCATTATTTGATAAGTTGAACTTATTAGCATGGGATGTAGAAAAGTATGCTGCTTTATTGACTTTGTATAGACAGTCACAAGATCCGTTTTATATAGGTATTCCTTCAATGATACTTTTAAGTTCTGCATAATTGTTTTTGTTAAATCAACATTTTAATTTTATTAGGTTTTATTAATGAGGTAGATTTATTATTTGAAATGATAAATTTGTGTAATCGTGCATCAAAGGATTCAGTCTTTCATTTAGTTGACAATGGTTTAATATCGATGATAGATGATCCAATCAGGTAAAAAATTTTAAAACTGCATAAAATATATTACTAGTAATTTGCAGTATTATTAAATTGAATGTAACTTACATAGATATAATCTCACAGAGCATGGCATAAATGTTGCCAAAAAGATGTGCAAAGTTGCTGCCATCGATGTGAAATTAGTGAAGTCTTCTAAAGTCTTAAATCAAGTTCAGTCATCATTAAAATCACTTATTAGCAAGAAAGCTACCAGCATAGTAATATCTGATGAATGTTCCACAAATGTCCAGAATGATTCACCTTCAAAACTCTATAAATCCAAGTCTGCAGAATTTCTTACCAGCCAGAAGCAATCTGATAATTTCTTGTCCCAACAAATATCTAAAAAGGGGAATATTCATACTGAAAAAGCAAAAAAAAGAAGAAATGTAAATAATTGTGAATTAAATGAAGCAAGTAAGAAAACAAATTCTACTAATAATATTGAGAAAGATATTTGCTTGAAACCAAATAAATTTGATATAATATTGTTAGTAGACACTCAAGAAACTTGTGGGTATGTTCCATTTTATCGAACTTCCTTCTATACAAGTTTATTATTGGACTTTCAAATAATTTTATTGTAGCGTTAAAACAAAACCTCAGCATGATGCTACAATAGCAGAGCTGACAGAACTTGGTGTATTATTTGAGGTACGCCATTTAAAGGTTGGTGATTTCACATGGATTGCCAGATGTAGAATTACAAATGATGAACTGATTTTACCTTATATAGTAGAAAGAAAACGAATAGATGATTTGAGTGCAAGTATTACAGACGGACGATTTCACGAACAAAAGGTTCTTTAATAACTAATTTATAATTGTTCAAAATTAATGTATCATATGAGTAAAAAAATATTTTGTACAGTTCAGATTGAAGCAGTCTGGAATTACTAATCTCATGTATATAATTGAGGAATATAAAAAGGATCAAAGATTAACAATACCATATGCATCATTGATGCAAGCTTCTATTAATACTTTGATACAAGATGGTTTTTTAGTTAAGTACACAAAAAATCACCAGGACTCCATGTTCTATCTATCATCATTAACTAAGATTCTCATAAAAACTTTTAAGGTATTTAATTTCTTTTAGATATTTTATTTCGAGTTATTTTGATTTAGACAAGTTATTTCGGTTTTAGGAAAAGAATTTGATAGGCTGTAAAAAAGAAGATGTTACAGATTCAGATATTTCAAGTGACACTTGTAATCTGATGGAGTTTAAAGAATTTAATAAAGCAGCATCCAAACAAAAGGTATGCATAGAAAACATTCTATTCTGGAATATGAAAATTATATATAAATAAATTTTGTATCAGGTATTTAAAGTAAACCAAATGTTCGTTCGGCACCTATTGCAATTGAAAGGTATGTCTGTAGATAAAGCTTCAGCAATTGTGGAACGTTATCCAACTCCACGAAAGTTAATAGATGCATACCAAATGTCTGATTGCAATGCAGAACTGTTATTAGCAAATATTGAGTACGGAAATAAGAAATCTCTTATTGGACCAACAATTAGTAAGACGATCTATCAGTTATATGCTAAAAAAAATTTTAAATGATTTATACAAATAAATTATTAATTACTGACCTACGGTTCCGAAAATTTATACATTCTAAGATCAAATTTATTGAAATGTATATATTTTTTTAAGATTTTTTAAATGTGACCATTTTTATTAATAAAAGTTGATGTAGTTATTAAAAGATGGAAGAGGAGTTCAAATTTATATATATGCAAAAATCATTTTAACTTACCATTTGCAGAATTATTTATGCTTACATACATTATGGTTGCATGGTGCATATAATCTATGCTTACTGTAAGGTTTGAAAGAAACTTTATGTCTGTATATTAATGATTCATATTCCTTTTTTATTAGCTAATTAACATACTATCATTGACAGATACAAAAAGTAGATTATCTTACGAATATTGTAGCAGTATTTTGTTTGTATAGTCACTGCAGTTAGATTAAATACTTACAAGTCAATTCCTCAGTGACAGAAACATCGTAAAATACGACATGCACGCTTTAACTGTCTTTTAATCAAAACAAATTGGACATTAACATACATGTATAAGCATTACCAACATAATTAGTACATACCTTCCCAAAGTTTTCAATGTTCATGTCATACAATCCTCCTGCGCTCAAGATGCATGGCCTGTTGCATCTTATTATCATGGTATAAAGTAATTTCTGAAACTTAACCGGTATTTCGTACCAATTCGAACTGAATCTATTATGGAAAATAAAGTTATTTTAAGTCAGTGGTTTATTTGTTGAATATGCAGTCAACAAATATATCAAATACATTTTGTCCGGTAACAAGAAGGCATGGTTTGTTAGGATCTGTCCGTTTGCACTGATTACAAACAAATGAAAGTTTTGAGCTATGAGAAACAAGACAAACCTCATAGCATCTGCAGGTCTATCGAAGTGCATAATTATCTGTAATTCAAATATATTGCAGTTGACATAGGTGAGACTTAAGCGTAAAGATATTTTTACTTGAATAGCTGTCAGGCTAATTGCTGTCATGTTGAACCCAACCAGCATCAAATTCATGTTCTGGCTACATTCTTGCAGGGAATCAAAAAATCTGAAAATGTAGGGAAGTGATAAATTATTTTAACAGCGACAACTATATGTATACAATTTGTTGTGTGATCAGTACTAACTGAAGGGCTCGATGATGAGCTACCACACATTTTTTGAATTCTTCAATATTTAACTCATGATTTCTGGATGCCTCTCCAACCTTATATCTATATGTATGATTACAGAACATTGTAGTTAGTAGGTAGATAAAGAATGTCTCCAAGAACCTCCTATTTATATTGAGAGCAATAATATTTACCCACAGACGTCAAACAACCCACTAGCATGGTGAACAACAAGCATATACAAGGAATCTACGGTGACGACTATTAATACACACACGATAGACGTCCAAGTCATATGGAAATAAACAATGAAAAAGTGATCCTCAACATCCATGACTATGTAATTAACAGCAAATAGTTGACGTCTTGTACGCGTATCATTAAGCGGTATAATTATATCCAAAGTCGGTGGAAGTAACGGAATACAGTACTGATTCGTAACAAGCAACAGTTTTGTGATTCGTAACAAGCAAATTTTTATCCCCTCTTCTTTGTTTGAAGTCGGCCGCTGAGTGAAAGATCCGAGAAAGAGTGAGATGTCCGTGAAACCGAAGAAGTCATAAATTTTCACGGACGACCGAACAGTTTAGTGGAAAGAGGACAGAACATATATATTTTTTTCTCACTCTGATGCATAGCGATTCTGTCGTTCATTCATCTGATTCTACATCGATTCGTAATAAGCCACTCGCTCGGGTTTGGGCAGTTGCTTGTTACGAATCTGGTATATTATTCCATTCACGAAATCTTACTACTATTAAAAAGAGAAAACATGCTATGTTCTGTCCTTGTCTAAAGAATAACATCGCTGTTCGACCGATTACTTTATAGTTTACCGCTACCGTCGTCGCGCTCGGGAACAAAGGCAAGCCGAAAATATACCTGATTCGTAACAAGCAACTCGCCAGACCCGAGCGAGTTGCTTATTACGAATCAGTACTGTATATAGAAAAACCATTAAAAACGTTAGCAAAATTGCTGCAAAAAGTATAGGTAAATTCAAGCATATTAAATAAAAAAAATTACAGCATTTTCATTCAGCACATACTTCTGTATAAAGTGGCAAATTTGTTGCCTTGTTTAGTGACCTTGTCCAGCACGAGCAAATCGTTTGTCAGTACATTCCAGTCTTGTACAATAAAATCTAACAATATTTTAAACTGTAATGCAAAGTAGTAATAAGTCTTAAAAGTTTAGAAGCTTTATCAAGAAATGTATTACACATACACGTTGCTTGTTCAACGAAATGTTTGTGAATTTAATCAGGCTTACAAACATTGTTAGAATGTGAGGTATTTCGTCGATTATTCCATCGATGTCTCTCTCACGAATTGCCACGCATAACTGTATAATCTGTCGAGTTGCGTCACAATTTGATTATTGACTGTGTAATTTGTGTATTGTTGATATAGTTTTTACCTGAGGGATCACGCCGATGATCAGGGTGTAGAGTACCACATTGAATCTAATCTTCTCACCTCGAGTCTCACAGTATGGATTCAACCCGAGCAACATCAAATATTTCTCAAGCGCTTTGTAATGATGAAGAGTGAATACATGTTATGTTTGTTGTTTCTGAAATGCTGAACATCCTTCAATTGAAATTCTAAATCAATTAAGAGTAAATCTTGAAAAAAATTAATCTATGGATTTCTTATATATTGGATCAGTAGAAGAAAGTATGAGAATCACTGTAAAATATAAAAACTTGTTTAGATTACAGTAACAAACATAGCGCCTACTGTCAGATTCTCTGTCCAGCAACATCGCCAACTGTGTAATACCGGGAACAAATGTCGCGATTAAAGTGTTCCGGGAAAAACATTGAAGGTGGCATTTTATGTGGTGATTATCATGTCGCTTTCATTCGGAGAAATTATTTTTCGACATGCTGCACTATAACAGCACTCCGAATGTGGATGTAATAATTGTCCTTCTGTCAGCTGCAAATTACAGTGCGACTTTCGTATAGCGTAGGGTTATTTGGTGGTAGCTAAGAACGTGTTTGTAGAAGTCCTTAAATAATAAAATAATTCTGTGGCAGTTGAACCGTAGGGGAACATCCATTGTATGACTATAATTTTGACGTGCTACATAGTCATTAGTCGTCCCGTTGATGCGTATTAAATAGTGATGCGAAACCAAGTAGAATTAAGTACTTCAGAAAGGCGGTAAAACATGTTGCATGAAGGTATGAGTGCATTCTCTTTGTGCTTCGAAGGGCGGTAAATATTCGAGATCATGGTATATGTTGTATCAGTTTTATTCAAGAAGATATATTGTTATATGCTGCTCGATACAACTGATTTATGCTTCCTGTTCTAAGCGTGATTCTTTCTGGTTTTACGCCTGTATAAAATATAGTGTGATTAGTTTGTTTAAAACAGAGTAGATTACATAATTTTCCAGAATTATTTGGAAAATATAAATTAAAAATTTACCGATGAAGTTATATCCATCACTACAACGTGGAACTCCACAGTCTCCCTCATTCTACTTCCTGCAGTCTATAGGTGTCTTCAAACATTTAGCGAAGCACGCTTCGCGGTTGGATCGGGGTGGAATATTTGTAGGGTCAGCAGATGCTTGTACATACAATTAATTTCATTGAAGGTAAATTAAATCATTTTACTTTCCTACACAGAAATAATATGAAGCTGTACAAGTGTGTTTGTCGCAAGAAAAGTGTCCTACATTCGAGTGCCATTTAAGAGGTTAATTTTCGGAAGAACGGTAATTAAGTTTTACACATTTTATTCTGAGATATAAACTGAATTTATTATTTGATATTGTACAAATAATTCAAACTTTATACTTACTTGAATGGGTGGACTTTTTTTCATAAATTTGACAGATTTGTTGCAACAGTTTTATTTGGTTGTGTGTGTATGTTAATTGTTTACATTTTCTTGCAACATCAAAACTTCAGTGTGAACAATTTATTATCAATATGTAAAATGTATGGATTAATTCATTGGATAATTGTGTTGATTGGTGTAATTAGGGTTTTGAGCTAGGTTCCACATTTTTATAGAAACTATTAACTGAATTGTTAATACATCTGTTAACTGTGTGATACATTTTGTTTAAAATGTTTCAAATTTCATTCTGCATCATGATTCAAATATTTCAATAATTTTTTTTATGATATACCCTAGCTACCACCTAGCTACACCACCACACATCATTGAACCTTGGCTTTATCTCCAGTATGATCAATTGAAATAATTACTTATAAATAGGTACAAAAGATCAGTCCCTCAGTGATAGAAACATTGTAAAATACGACATGCATGCTTTAACTGTCTTTTAAACAAAACAAATTTAACATTATCATACATCCAACCATTATAGCTCTACCAATGCAACTATCAGTACATACTTTCCCAAAGTTCTCTATGTTCATGTCATACAATCCTCCTGCACTCAGGTTGCATGTTTTGTTGCATCTAATTATCATCATATAAAGTATCTTTTGATACTTGACTGGCATTTCATACCAATTTGAGCTAAATCTGTCACAAAATTCCAAAAATGTGAAAAATAGTATATAAGTTACTTATCAATATGTAATCAGTGAATACATACATGATAATGATTAAACATTGCCACATTAAATACTTACATTTTTTCTGGTAATGATGAAGCATAATTTAACAGGATTTGTCCAAACAAGCTAATGACTAACAAATGAAACTTTTCAGCAATAAGAAACAATATAAATCTCATTGCATCTGCAGGTTGATCAATATACAAAATAATCTGTAAAATAAATGTAATGTAATTGATATTAGGGAAATTTAAGCATAAAGACATTGTTACTTGAACAGCAGTCATGCTAATTAGTAACATGTTTATCCCAACTAGCATTAAATTCATGTTCTGGCTGCATTCCTGTAGGGTATTGAAAAAGCTGAAAATGTAAATAGTGAATTAAGTAAGCTATGATCATGTCAGCTATATACATATATCTATGTTTACAATTCACTGTCATGTAATCAGTACATACTGAAGAGCTTTATGATGAGTGATCACACATTGCCTGAACTCTTCATAGCTTAATATAGAATTTTTTGTTGCCATTTGAACCTGATACCTATAGATTTGTTATTAGAAAATATTGTAATTAATGTGTGGATGAAAGTTTGATAGAGTTTTAATTCAGTATTTGACTGAAACAGTCAGCATTCCTTAAATACTAATTTTTAGTGTACAATACGTTATAAGAAGGTTTAATTTTTATTTCCCTTTTTGTCAAGACGGACAAGTTTTTATTTAAAACAATAATATTTACCCGCACACATCAAACAGTCCGCAAGCATGATGAATGATAAGCATGTATAAGGAATCTACCGTAACGATTATAAACACACCTAGGGAAGCAACAGAAGCCATGTGCACGTAAGTGACGAAAAAGTGATCGTCAACTTTTATGATCACGTAATTAGCACGAAACATTGGTTGTCTTGGACGAGTTACATTCAATGGTGCAATAATATCCAAGGCGGGAGGAATCAATGGGATTGCTATAAAAACCATTAAGAATGACAATAATGTTGCTGAAAAAAAAACATATGCGAATTGAACTATTTTACGTTAAAACAATTGCCACAATCGACATTAAGTTGTGTGTATACTTCTGTACAAATTGGCAATCCTGTTTCCTTGCGTCGTAATTTTGTTCAGCATGTGCAGTTCGTTCGTCAACACCTCCCAGTCTTTTAAAATAAGATCCAACAATGTCTTAATCTGCAATAGAAAATCAACAGGCTAGAGTATAAAAATCTGTGAATAGTTTAAAATACTTAAAATTAGCAGATTATAAACACAGTGATTATTTGTGAATAATAGAACAGAAAGGAACAATACAGGATAAAAAACAAGAGAAGGAAAAATAAGTACTGCCAACATTGACATTTTAAATAATAGAGAAGATAGTCTAATAACGTGTTCGACATATGTAAACATTTTTTTGATCGTCGATTTACATATACGTACGTGCTGATGATTCAAAGAAATGTTGCAGAATTTAATCATAGTACCAACCGCTGTAAGTATGTGTGGGAATTCGTCGATTATTCCATCGACATCTTTTTCGCTGATCGATATACCGAACTGTATAACCTGTAGTACGTTAAAATATGCGTATCGATATTATGTGACAATATTAAACGAAATAAGAACTAGTTTAAAAATATAAATACAAAGAAATTGTTGAATAGAAACAAGTGGCCTTTAAGAAAACATATTAAATTCTTGGTAACTGCGATTAAACATAATTTCCTTACCAATGGTAACATGCCTATAAACATGCCAGAGTATACCATGTGCGCTCTAATTTTGTTTCCCCGGGCATGACGGTACGGGTTTAATCCAATTAAGTTTAAATATTTCGTAAGCGATTTGTAATTACGAAGAACGAATACGTTCTTCGTCTGCACTCGTTGATTCTGAAACGCTGAATATCCTCGTTTAAATCGAAATCTCGAATCGATTATCGAAGAACCTAGTTCAGTTACGCGGTTTAAAATTGAAAGGTCTAACGTTCGATCGACGTTTTTTATCGATCGATTTGTCTGATCGATATGTAACTAACCCCCTCGCATTACAACTTCCGGTACAGTTGCATCATTAGTAGGTAACTAATTGCTACAGTGTTAAGACGTATAAAGAAGATTAATTTCGAAATTCAATCGCAGTGAAAATACGAGTGTTAAATGTAGTGCGCGTTATGAGTGTGGCAGGGCAAGAGACGAAAGAGCATACGGTTCCTTATAATCGTCATGAAACGAGTATGGCAGATCGAAGTTTGATTAAAGTAACTATCAGTTCAACTAAAATAAATACCGTGCGTACTGTTTGCGTCCTCATGGTCCGCGAGTAGCGCCATTTTCAATCGATACAACTGTTGCAGCAAATAACACGATCGAAATACATCGATAGAAACGTGGAAATCGTCTTTTATAGAGCGATTGTCTACTCAGTTTCTTCTCAATGACAGTGTTAAATTAATCTGTTACTGTCACGCACAGCAGACCGTAACAATGCAATCACACGATGCGAAATATCAAATGCAGTAACGAAACTTTTGTTCGAATGAAAGCTGCAGATTACGAAGACATTTTCGAACAATGGCATGTTATGATAATCACTTTTCTGCTGTCTATGTCAATAGTGCCCATATTTGTCGTTAAATATTGAATACAGCAATGGCGGCAGAAACGAATTGCAGGGGAACATCCGTCAGGTAAGTGGATTTTGATAAGTTCCGTAGTTAGTATCATCGGTCGATTGATTCCCCAAAGGCAATTCAGAACATTTGGTGAGTTCGAACATAAACAGTGTGTCTCTGCAGTTTACGGGCGTATGTCCAAAGAGCTCTCATATACCATTTAACGAGGACTGTGCTCGACAAAATATCGGTGATATATTAAATAGATTAAGGTGTTGCGTAATAAATACTGCATGATACGTACGATTTCCATTTATATTTCATATATAAATCACCAGTTATAAGAGTAAAAAATACAGTTTTAACTAAGACTGCGTTTCACGGAGTACTACCGTGTACAATTATTAAGAAAAATATTATCTAACGATTTTATTTCAGAATATCAAAGTTTCAATATAATATAATAATTTTATTTTCACACATGTCAATATCAGTTTCACACATCAGGTGCAGTGCAAATAATTTAGTGTCACAGTAGTGATAGTCTACATTAATTATATTATGTAGTCGTGTAGTCAATATGCATGACATATCATACAACCATTATTATTTCAGGATACGAGAATATTAATATAATACATCAATGTTCACACATGTTAATGATTCACGATTTTATAAGCTGGTTAATGTTTCATTGTATGCTTCAATATTTTTTTACTTGAAATGCAATCTCCTTTGTACACAGAATATGCACTGCGTTTTTCATTTCCATTTTTGATAGTTTTATCGGTAACAACCGTTTCATCGTCATTAGTTGATATTGTCAGGTTTACACTCACTCCCTCATTGACAGAAACATCGTAAAATATGACATGCACGCTTTCACTGCCTTTTGTCAAGAAAAAGTCCATTAATGCGTGTAGATGCGTAACAAATTTTCGAACGTAACCGATACATACTTTTCCATAGTTCTCCATGTTCATGTCATAGAGTCCTCCGGCGCTCAAAATGGCGGGCTTACTGCACCTCAGTATCATTATACAAAGTAATTTCTGGAACTTTATCGGTATCCCGTACCAGTTGCAGCTGTATCTGTGCATTTCATAAATGAATAACTTCTCATTGAATTGTGTATTGTTTTTTTATCCTTTAGTACCATTCTTACATTCTTTCTGCTAATGTTTTGCTGTGGTTCAGTATTATTTGCCCGAACAGACTGATGATGTACAAATGAATGTGTGAGCACACAAAGAACAGGATGAATCTGGCACTGTCAAGCGGCTGATCCATGTGCATAAGTATCTGCAAAATAAATAAAACTTGATGTAGTGTTAATTTAATTACACGGATATATTTACTTGGACGGCCGTCGTGCTGATGAGTATCATGGTTATCGCGACCAGCATCAAATTCATATTCTGACTGCATTCCTGCAGGTAATTAAAAAACCTAAAATCGTAAGAAAGGTCAGTAAGACTCGTTCCGTTAATGTACAGTAAATTACACTGTAAACGATACTAACTCCAGAGCTTTGTGATGATGAATCACGCATTGCTTGAACTGATAGTGTTGCAAATTACTGCGTTTGAAAATCGTTTCAATCTGGTATCTAAACATTGTGGTTGTAAAATATTAGAATTGGCAAGACCGAAAAGTTTTAACTGATCTTTATAGTTACAGAAACAATGGTTCAGCGGTGAGATTCTATATATTCTCAGATGAAATGAAGTAGCGAAATGGTTGCGAAACAATTGTTAAGGAGTTGGTCACAAATATTTTCACTAATCGTCGCAAATGTAATGGAATAGAAGGGAAAGTAACGAGAAGCGTTAGGAAAAAGACGGAGTAGTACTAGGTCTTCAATATGGCCGCCATTTTGCTGCGGCAGTTCTTACATTGTCATCTCGAAATCATATCTCACGTATATCGTTTAATAACCGAATTATTTTGATTAAGTAACAAAATTTTGATTGTACCTACCCGCATACGTCGAACAATCCACAAACGTGATGAATGATTAATATGTATAACGAATCTACTGTAATGATATTGTACACCGTCACCCACGTGGTCCAACCCATGTGAAGAAAAACAGCGGTGAAATAATCGTCAGGGTTTATGAATACGTAACACACACCGAATAGTTGTTCTTTTGGACGAGTTTCATTTAGAGGTATTATTAAATCCAATGTGGGGTTTATTAGGGGAATGTATATGAAGCCTATTGTGGCCCACATTAAGGTGACTGTAAGAAGAACATTACTGTATTACATGTTACTGTGTAAGATGGATCATTTTGCGTAAGACTATTATTGTAAAACTATTATTTTTATACCTCTGTACATGTGTGCAAGTCTACTCCCTTGTTCAGTAATTCTATCAAGCACTGGTAGTTCATCTCTCAGTATCTTCCAGTCGTTCAGAATAAAATTTAGCAATATTTTAATCTGCAACAAGAAACAGTGTAGCATACAAAAAACATTCTTGAAGTATTTTATACGTACGCGTTTCTTGTTCAAAAAAATGTTTTTAAGCTTTATGTAGCTTAAACAGGCCAGGAGTAAATGAGGTATTTCGTCCAATATCGCATCCAAATCCATTTCTCGAATTACTACACATAACTGTAAAAACTGTGGAATCCAAGTTGACATTACTTTTGAAGTACGAGGTCATCAAATAATTCTCTGTTAAAATTCGTCGACTTTAAGGGTTATATCTAAGAACACATCCAGTTGTTTTAACTGGCTATTGATAATATGTGACGTCTACGTAGATTCAAGGTTTGGAAATACAAAGACGTTTTAGATCTCCACAGAGTAAGAGCAAATAAAAAATGTGAAGAGAAAAGAATCACAAAATCACAGATACAGTTGACGATTCAAAAATCTTTGAATGGAATATAAAATTGTAAAATTTTACCACTAGTATTATGCCTATGATTAAGGTGTAGAACACCAGATTCTCTCTGAACCTAACTCCCCGCGTCTCGTTGTACGGATCGAATCCGACCATCATTAAATACTTTTTAAGAGATTTGTAGTGATGGAGATCGAATACATCCTTAGCTTGTTCTTGGTTCTGAAATTCTGAATGTCGACGCTTCAATCGCAATCTTAAATCAATTATCAAAGTGATGATAGTTACATTCAACACAGATGAAACCCTTGACAAACAAAAATCAAAGACAATTCTTGTAACACGGCAGATGAATAGATGAATGTCATAGTTACAAGATTAAAGGAAGTATCGCGTACTGTTTTCCTTCATGGGTTCCATGTATTGCTTCGGTGATTCGCGATCGAAATACTGCGATAAATGAACGAAAAGTGTACTTTATATTCTTCTTTCCTTCGTTAAGTGACCGATGAATAAATAAAAAGTCGGAAGACGAAAACCTGCACGCACCTTCGCGTCGTTAATAACAGTACATGCCCTGCCGATTCACTGGCAGACGCAGATTACCTTATTATCTTGCAATTACGACGCCATATTGCATGCTAAAACTTGTGCAGTTTTAATCTATAAAATTATCGAGCGTGGAAGGGGACCGTGGAGTCAGCTGCTGTTGATGCATTCCTTGGAGAAAAGTTACCATTAAAACAAGTGAAGTTACATTACGATTGTGTCTGTTAAATTGTCAGTAGCAGGTGTGAAGTCTATAAGAAGTTTCTACTTGTGCTCTGAAGTTCTGTTTACCTAGGATCTATATTGAAGAACATAGGTATTTTAAATTAATTTTGTGCATTATTGTGATGGTAGTTGCATTTTACTAATATTTGTTACCTGCCTACATCTTCCTAAGTTGTGTAGTGAAGTTTGCATGGATCTACACATTTTCCGGAACTGAAAAGTTTCAATGCATCCATTACTAGGGTACGCAGCAGATTTTACTGTTGGATTGCAGTTAGTGTCATTACTCTTATTTGCTGAAATTTAACTGGAAGTCACAGTGGATTTGCATCTCATGTGTTAGCTTGTTGACATCTGTTCGCTTAACACTTCACATCAGATTCATTATTAATGTTGAAGACAAACGTATAGACATATTACATATTCTACAGATATTATACAGGTATACAGATATACAAATATTTAGATATACAGACATACTGCATATTATACAGGTATTAAACACAGAACATTGTACATTTTTCATAACTACTTCTGTGAGTTATAACTGTAGGGCTTTGTAGAACTTCTTCTGCGAGATGTAATTGTATGTAAGATTCTTGAGGACAGAGTACCCGGTAGAGAAAACACCCTTCACTTACTTGACAACATTCAGTTTTATAATCTCCATCAATACAAATACTGTGCACTTTGAATTATTTACAGTGTAAGTTCACCAATTTTTCTTTTCATAGAAATAATTATTACTCATTGTTAACCTTGAATATTTAATCACTGCTATATTTAACTTCTTAAAGAATTTGAAGAGTCAAAAAGAAATTTTTGAAATCCCTTTCAAGTTGATTGATGTTACATTGTGTTAAGATTGAAATATTTATTTCTATGAAATATTTTACCAACATATTCTCTGTGACCAATGCGTGCAGAAAACCATTTCATAGCAAAATATGTCACCATAGCAAACTTAGTGGATGCATTATCGTCATTATGGTTACTTGAGTAGTATGATGTGAAATTATTCTGTCATCGACACAAACATCGTGAAATATGACATACACGCTTTCAATACCTTTCATAAAAAATAAGTTCATTAACAAATGACGCAATGGCGTAACTTTTCAAACAAAATACATACTTTTCCATAGTTCTCCATGTTCATATCGTAGAGACCTCCCGCGTTCAGATTGACTGGTTTACTGCACCTCAGTATCATTATGCAAAGTAACTTCTGAAACTTGATGGGTATCTCGTACCAGTCGGAACTATATCTAATTGAAAATTTGAATCATGTATTAATTTTGATTTTAAGGGTCAATGACTTACATTCTTTCCGCTAATATTGCGCTGTGATTCAGTATGATTTGTCCAAATAAACTGATGATGTACAGATGGATATGTTCACATAAAAAGAACAGACTAAATCTGAGCATTTCATGAGGTTTACCCACAGCCATAAGTATCTGCAAAGTAGATAAAATTTGATGTAGTCTTTACTTAAGTATGCAAATATAACATTTCAAGTATATCAAGTATGTGAAGTATATCAAGTATATCAATTATTTGAAATATATGAAGCATATGAAGCATATGAAGTATATCAATGTACTTGAACGCCTGTCATGCTGATGAGCGTCATGTTTATCGCAACCAGAACAAGAAACATGTTCTTGCTGCATTCCTGTAGATTGTCGAAAAGCCTAGAATAGTAACACTTATAAGTCTCCGATTTTAGTTACAAATCTTTTTAAACGGTACTAACATCAGAGCTTTATGATGAGTCATCACGCATTGCTTGAACTGATCGTACCGCAATTCAGGGTCTTGTGTTGCTGTTTCGATCTGATATCTATGCATTGTAAGGTATTAGAATTGGCTTGACAAAATTTTTAATTTCTAATTGGATTCGTATTTTTATCTTCAGAGCAATGGTTCAAAAATATTAAAAATTCTACATATTTTAAAAAAGGACCGTGGTAAATGTATTCGTGGCGAATTAACGTTGTCTGCCACAATTGGCATCGGTGTCTCAAACACGCTCATAAAATCAGTGGAAGTATTGTAAAAATATGGACAGCGTAAGTACTGCATAAAGTATTTTTCTTGGGTTACGAATATGGCGGCCATTTTGTTTGCGGCAGTCAACGCAGTTTTCGCTTCGAAACCACGTATTTTAACGATATCGTCAAAAGCAGACGAACTATTTCGTTTCCGACTGTAACAAGGTTTCGAGTACTCACCCGCACACGTCAAACAATCCACAAACGTGATGAATGATTAATATGTATAACGAATCCACGATTGCGATACAGTAGACCGTCACGATCGCGATCCAACTCAAATGAAGAAACACGCTGATAAAATGATCATCAACTTCTATAAACGCGTAAGAAGCCTTGAACAGAAACTCCTTTGGACGAGTTTCGTTCAGTGGAATAATTAAATCCAGAGTAGGATTCATCAGTGGAGAATATATGCAGTATATTGTGGCCCCCGCTAGGGTGTCTGTAAAGTTTTCATTGTAAAATACACTTTACATTTGCTATAAAAATTGCTATACTTCTGTATATACTTCTGTATGAGCGGGCTATTTTACCCGCCTGCGAGGTCGTCTTCTCCAGCACCGGTAGTTCATTTGTCCACTGCTTCCAGTCGTTCAGAATAGAATTTAGCAGTACTTGAAACTGTAAATATTAGAACAGTTAGATTTTGAACAGATAGAGGTTACAGATATACGTACGCGTTTTTTGTGCAGTACAACGTTCTCATATTTAATTAGGCTTGTGATCATCAGGAGTATGTCAGGTATTTGGTCGATTATTTTATCAACGTCCTTTGCCTTGATTACTACAATTAACTGTAGACACTGCGAAGTGCGTGATAATATTTTGCAATTGTAAAAATTTAAAAATATCCAATTTTATACTGTGATTGTAAATGTTTTACCAGTACTATCAAGCCAGAGATTATGGTGCAGACCACCACAGTGTGTTTGACGTTGCTCCCTACACTCTCGACGTACGGATTCAACCCGAGCGACACTAAATACTTTTTAAGCGGTTTGTAGTAATAAAGATCGAATACTCCCGTAGCTTCTACTTGTTCATTCTGAAATACTGAATATCCACAATCGATCAACAAAATTACTAGCGACCGTATGAGTACGTTACAGTCAATCGTTACTTTCACGAAAAATGAAAATACAAAGATAACTTCGGTTTGTGATGAATGAGTGAACATTCGCATAGTTACTACACGGTTTAACTGGATCGAGAATGAATTAAAGTAAGTACCGCGTGTAATGTTTTCTGTCTCCGTGTGCGGCATTTTTAACACCGGTAGTGCGAACGTCGCGATCGAAATATTTCGCGAAAGGGAAGCGCGGTTTTTTTCATACGGTCATTAACCCGTCACCTTCAGTTAAAATCGCTCTGTTACATAAATCAGGCGAATCTGCCGGAGTGCAAGGGTCGATAATTCTACCGGCGGTGGTAAACGATGAAAATACTTTGGAAACAGAATGCATGGTTTTCTTTATACGGTCATTAACTCGTCACTTTCTGTCGTAATTGCTCTGCTACATAAATTAAAGGAATCTGGTGGAGTACGGCGGTCGATATTTCCACCAGCTCTTAACCCAAAGAGTCAATTGCGGTGCTGGTCCTGTTCGTCAACTGACAGTCATACTTTTTCTTATTGTGTTGGTGTCGCGGTAAATTCATTCGCGATATGTAAGACAACGGAACATGTTGATTGTATTAAATAATCAATGAACTAACTGCGATGGGGTTGAAGAACATTCGTGGGATGAGCAGGTGGTTTTGAAGTACTCGCTACCCGGTGTTTCTGGCGGGCTCCTGGCAGGGAAACATATCATTTTGAAATTATAAAGTGGAACAATGTATATACGTAGTCCGCTTCGTGTCTTCTAACCAACTCCATTCGAAGAGTAGCAAGTTTATTTCAAATCAGTGAATATTAGGTTTTATAGTGAACGCACTGTAACTGTGGTGAGTTACTCCTTTAAATCTCTCTTGTTTCAAGAATTAATTCCGAATTTGTGCATCACACGAGAAACACTTGCATTCAAATATTAGAGGAAGATCTGATGAAACAATTTTTTATCGTACCAGTTTCATCACAATAACACATAGCAACAGTTCATGTTCAACAACGTTAATTACACTTAGACAGTTGCATATAGAAAATTGTACATTACTATTCATGTCAGTTACGACTGTAGATAGCATTCTTGAAGTGGTGCTCGAAAGCTTCAAGTTAATTAGTGACATTCAGTTTTATAACATTGATACATAATGCAACTATTATTGTGCATAAAGCTAAACAATTAGCTTTAGGTAGTCCCCAAACAATTGTTACGTTTTCACCTAGTAATGTATTAATTTTGAACAGTCTTCACGATAAAATATTTGTATTGCCCAAACATCTCGCATCAAATCACTGATCAATAGACAAATATTGCTTGCGATAAAAAAGTCAGTCCTCCCAGAAATTGGAGACCTAGCAAGTTTGCTTGCAAGTTTCTTCAGCGTTGCATTTGCATCGTCATTGTCAAGATGGCTTCAAGTGGCGCGGCACATCATTCCCGCATTGACAGAAACATCGTAAAATATGACATGCACGTTTTCACTGCCTTTTGTCAAGAAAAAGTCCATTAACGCGTATAGTTGCGTAACAAATTTTCGAACGTAATCGATACATACTTTTCCGTAGTTCTCCATATTCATGTCATAGAGTCCTCCTGCGCTCAGAATGCATGGTTTGCTGCTCCTCGCTATCATGAAACAAAGTAACTTCTGAAACTTGATCGGTGCCTCGTACCAGTTGCAGTTGTATCTATACAATTCAGACATAAAAAACATCTCATTGAATCCCTTCTTCTTATTCGAGTATTCTCTATTCTTTCTGCAGCTACTTACATTCTTTCTGCTAACATTGTACTGTGATTCAGTATGATTTGCCCGAACAGACTGATAACGTACAAATGAAACTGTACACATAAGAAAAACAGGACGAATCTGCTACTGTCCAAAGGATGATCAATATGCATTAATATCTGCAAAATAAATAAAATTTGTTATAGTGTTAATTTTAGTACACGCATGTCTTTACTTGAACTCCCGTCTGATGAGTATCATGTTTATTGCCACCAACAGTAGGAACATATTCTGAGTACATTTTTGTAGGTAACCGAAAAACCTAGAATCGAATAACGCATCAATAAGATACTTAATTTACAGTTTAATGTAATCGGTACTAACTCCAGAGCTTTGTGATGGGTTATCACGCATAGCTTGAACTGATGGTACTGTACTTTATTTTCTGCTAATGCCATTTCAATCTGGTATCTATAAGAGAGATTGTAATATTAGAATGGACAAAGGTATAAATGTGATTGATTTTGGTATAGCCGTAATAGTGGTTCAGACAGTATTAAGATTCTATAAATTTTGGGAAACAAAGCTGTTGTAAAAGTAGCGAAGGTTGCGAAACAATTGTCAGTGCGTTGTTGGTCACAATTATTTTCACTAATGTCGCAGGTGAAGTGTAATGGAATAATTAATGGAAGGGAAAGTAATAAGGAGAATGACCAGCGTTAGCGAAAATAAGGAACAGTCCGTGTTCTTAGAAATTCGGTCTTCAATATGGCCGACGTGGCCATTTTACTGCGGCCATGTTCTCATATTACATTGTGCTCATCTTGAAACGACGTATTGCTCTCACATGTACCGTTAAAATAATCGAATTATATTGATGGATTTAATAAGTAACAGAATTTTGATTGTACTCACCCACATACATCAAACAATCCACAAACGTGATGAATGATTAATATGTATAAAGAATCTACTGCAGCGACATTGTACACTATCACGAACGCGGTCCAACTCAAATGCAGAAAAACACTGGTAAAATGGTCGTCGATATCTATAAATATGTAGCAAACACCGTATAATTGTTGCTTCGGTCGAGTTTCATTCAGTGGCATTATTAAATCCAATGTCGGATTTATTAGTGGAATATATATAAAACATATAACGGCCGTCAGTAAGGTAACTGAAAGAAATTTATAATTAGAGGAAAGTAAATAAGCTTAATACTCACAGAAAATTTCTATTATTTATTTACTATGAATTTGTATAATTCTTATTACCTCTATATAAATAGGCAAGTCTGTTCCCTTGTGCAGTTGTTTTCTCCAACACCGGTAGTTCATTTGCCATTATCTTCCAGTCATTTAGAATAATATTTAGCAATAATCTAATCTGCAATTGGAATGCAGATCTCGTATACCAAAAATATTCTTCAAAAGTAATATACGTACGTGTTTCTTGTTGAGGACAATGTTCTCGAATTTAATGAGACTACAAATGGTCAGGATTAGATGAGGCGCTTGATCGATCATTCCGTCGAAGTCTGTGTCTCGGATTACTACACATAACTCTAAAAACTGTGGAATCACAGATAAGTTAATATTACACTTTTGGAAAAAAGGTAATAAAAAAATGTGAAGAGAATCACAAAACATTCACAGATAACTGCTGTTGACTATTTAAAAATGTCTGAAGTAGGTTAAACAAGTCTTTAATATAATTTCGAATGTCGACCTGCGAAGTATAAAATTGTAAATGTGTTTTACCATAGGTATTATGCCTAAGACTAAGGTGCAGACCACCACCTTCTGTCTGATTCTACTTCCCCGTGTCTCATTGTACAGATTCAATCCGAGCATGATTAAATATTTTTTAAGCGATTTGTAGTGGTGGAGATCGAATACATCCTTAGCTCCTTGATTCTGAAATGCTGAATATCTGTGCTTTACTCAGAATTTTAACTCGGTCTTCAAAATGACTATCCAAGTTACAGTAAATATAAATTAACACTTTCGCGATAATTCGATTATTAAGTGTCGTAAGTAGACGAATGAACCTACTCATAATTACTGTATTAAGATGAGCGAGAATTAATGAATGTAACAAGTATCGCGCGTACTGTTTTCGTCTGCCTCAATCGCGGACATTTTCACTGGTACGACACCGTACAACCGTCGCGTTCGAAATATAATACTTCGGCAAATGAATGGGAGGTGTACCTTATAGGGTCATTGTCGTATCAACTCCCGTAAATGATGCTATTGAATAATTCAGTCCAGTATCGCAGGGTAAGATAGTTCCAGTCGTTCGAGGCGTCAATCATTTTACCAACCCTATCGATGCACTGACGGATATTCGTTATTGTGTTATATTGAAAATGACACGATATTGTTTAGCATTCGGTAGCAGAACTGTACTTGGTAGCTTTAAGTAATCCATGAAGCTGTCGTGTAGCGACGAGGGACCCTCGAGTAGTAAGCGGGTGACTTTGTTGCATTCGCTGGTGAGGATTTGTGAAAGAATTATCGCTCGAACCTGAATTATTTCCCTTGCGATTGCAAGAACGGTACAGATTTATGTCGAGTGACTCGGTGTAACCGGGATTTGTGCTAGAAAGAGTCAAGGTAATTTATATTAACATTAACTGTATTTTGTGCTTGCACAGTGAACATAGTCTGGTACGTGATATCTACCATAATCGGATTGCATGAATTTTTCTCACCAACCTCAACATTTCTAATTTTATATGAAAAATTTGTCCGCGACTTATCTTAACTATTACTCGAATCCCACTCATTTATAAGAGATGAGTTTTGGATATCAGTATCATTAACTTGATACAACAGTAACATCAGATCCATGTGCCATCAACGTCGATGACAATTACACTACACCGTTGTGCTATATTAATGAAATTACTGTGCTCAATTATTAATAAAAATATAGTACAACGATTTTATTTCAGAATAGCAAAGTTTCAGTATAATATAATAAGTTTATTTTTACACATGTCAACAATAGTTTCACACATCAGAGGTGCAGTGCAAATAACTTAGTGTCAAAGTAGTGAGAGTCTATATTAATTATATTACGTAGTCGTGTAGTCAATATGCATGACATATCATACAACCATTATTATTTCAGGATACGAGAATATTAATATAATACATCAATGTTCACACATGTTAATGATTCACGATTTTGTAAGCTGGTTAATGTTTCATTGTATGCTTCAATATTTTTTTACTTGAAATGCAATCTCCTTTGTACACAGAATATGCACTGCGTTTTTCATTTCCATTTTTGATAGTTTTATCGGTAACAACCGTTTCATCGTCATTAGTTGATATTGTCAGGTTTACACTCACTCCCTCATTGACAGAAACATCGTAAAATATGACATGCACGCTTTCACTGCCTTTTGTCAAGAAAAAGTCCATTAATGCGTGTAGATGCGTAATCAATTTTCGAGCGTAACCGATACTTACTTTTCCGTAGTTCTCCATGTTCATGTCATAGAGTCCTCCTGCGCTCAGAATGCATGGTTTGCTGCTCCTCGCTATCATGAAACAAAGTGACTTCTGAAACTTGATCGGCACCTCACACCAGTTGGATCCGTATCTAACAATTCAAACGTTGAAGCTATCATATTCGCTCAAAATATCACTCACTCGTAGAATGTTTCTGTTCTCCTTTGCGTACTCACATTTTTTCCGCTAACTGAGCGCTGTGATTCAGTATGATCTGACCAAACAGACTGACAACGTACAGATGAAACTGACAACAACAGAAGAACAGGACGAATCTGCTACTGTCCAAAGGATGATCAATATGCATTAATATCTGTAAAATAAATAAAATTTGATATAGTGTTAATTTTAGTACACGCATGTCTTTACTTGAACTCCCGTTGTGCTGATGAGTATCATGTTCATTGCCACCAACAGTAGGAACATATTCTGAGTACATTTTTGTAGGTAATTAAAATACCTAAAATCGTAAGAAAGATCAGTAAGATTCGTTTCGTTAATGTACAGTAAATTACACTGTAAACGATACTAACTCCAGAGCTTTGTGATGATAAATCACGCACTGCTTGAACTGATCGTATTGCAAATTCCTGCGTTTGAAAATCGTTTCAATCTGGTATCTAAACATTGGGGTTGCAAAATATTAGAATTGACAAGACCGAAAAGTTTTAACTGATCTTTATAGTTACAGAAACAATGGTTTAGCGGTGAGATTCTATATATTCTCAGATGAAATGAAGTAGCGAAATGTTTGCGAAACAATTGTTAAGGTGTTGATCACAAATATTTTCACTAATCGTCGCAAATGTAATGGAATACATAGAAGGGAAAATAACGAGAAGCGTTAGGAAAAATACGGAGTAGTACTAGGTCTTCAATATGGCCGCCATTTTGCTGCGGCAGTCCTTACATTGTCATCTCGAAATCAAATCTCACGTATACCGTTTAATGATCGAATTATATTGATTAAGTAACAAAATTTTGGTTATACTTACCCGCATATGTCGAACAATCCGCAAACGTGATGAATGATTAATATGTATAACGAATCTGTTGCAGCGATGTTGTACACCACCACGAACGCGGTCCAACTCATGTGAAGAAAGATACTGGTAAAATAATCGTCAGTATCTATAAATACGTAACAAACACCGAATAGTTGTTGCTTTGGTCGAGTTTCGTTCAGTGGCATTATTAAATCCAATGTTGGATTTATTAACGGAATATATATAAAACATGTAACGGCCATCAATAAGGTAACTGAAAGAAGTTTGCAATTAGAGAAAAATAAATAAGCTTAAAAGCGGAAAATTTCTTTTCATTATTTATTATAAATCTGTATAATTTTTATTATACAAGGTACCTCTGTATAAATAGGCAAGTCTATTCCCTTTTGCAGTCGTTTCCTCCAGCACCGGTAGTTCATTCGTCAGTATCTTCCAGTCATTCAATATAAAATTTAACAATAATTTAAACTGCAATGCAAAATAGTATAATACCAAAAACATTGTGCAAGTGATATAAATATACATACCCGTTTCTTGTTCAGTAAAATGTTCTCATATTTAATGAAGCTTATCACGGTTAGAAGTAAGTGAGGTACTTGGTCGATTATTCCGTCGAAATCCGTGTCTCGGATTACTACACACAACTGTAAAAACTGTGAAATCCAAGTTGACATTACTTTTGAAGTACGAGGTCATCAAATAATTCTCTGTTAAAATGCGTCGACTTTAAGGGTTATATCTAAAAACACATCCAGTTGTTCCAACTGGCTATTGGTGATAAGATACCACGTCTACGTAGATTCAAGGTTTGGAAATACAAAGACGCTTTAGATCTCCACAGATTAAGAGCAAATAAAAAATGTGAAGAGATGAATCACAAAATCACAGATACAGTTGACGATTTAAAAATCTTTGAATGGAATATAAAATTGTAAAATTTTACCAATGGTACCATGCCAATGACTATGGTGTAGATCACCACATTCTGTCTGAATCTACTTCCCCGAGTCTCGCTGTACGGATTCAATCCGAGTATCATTAAATACTTTTTAAGCGGTTTGTAGTGATGGAGATCGAACACCTCCTGCACTTGTTCATTCTGAAATACTGAATATCCACACTTCAATGGAAATCCATTGATTGATAAAATTAATAGCGACCAAATACGTTACAGTCGATACAAATTCACTTTCGCGAAAAATGAAAATACAAAAATAAATATTCGTTAGCTAATGAGTAGCTGAACATTCTCATAATTACTACAGAATTTGTTAAGTGTATCGAGAATTAAGATCCTCTCGTACTGTTATTTCTTGTGGATTCCTTGTTCGGCATTTTTAACTGGTACGGCACAAACGTCGCGATCGAAATATTTCCAGAAAATGTCGCGTGGTTTTCTTTATACCGGCATTGTCACCTCGCTGTCAGTTACGATAACTATGTTAAATAAATCAGGCGAATCTGTCAGAGTACTGCGGTCGATAATTCCACCTGCTCTTCATCCGAAGCGTCAAATGCCGTGTCGATCATGTTTGTTAACTGAAAGACGTAGATTAGCTTGTTATTCCCCAATAGTGATATGATAAATTGATTCGCAACTGGCAGAGGTTGATTGTTTTAAATAATAAATGATCGCGATAGAACTGAGGGAAGAACTTCGTGGGACCTGCAGGTGGTTTTGAGGTATTTGCTAGTCGGTGTTTATGGCATGTCTCGTGGAGACGATTTTCTTGGCGTCTTCGTTGTAAACACATTGTAACACGTATCTGTGATTCATCTGTCTTCTTTGTAACAAGTTTCGCAGTTAACTCTGGCAAATTGTGTATTGCGAAAGACTTTTGTTTTAAAATATTGTGCAGATAAAGCAAGGAGGTGCCGACAGAGAGTGTTGTCTCTTACTCTGCGTCACTGGTTCCAAAGCAAGCTTCCCATAGCAAGCAGCGCGCGTAATTCGCTTACCTAAAGCGGAGGTACCCCGCGATTTGGAGTGGCCCAGTGTTTGTTTTGTGTGTATGACCATGTTGAATTATTTCGTGAATGTATAAAGTTCCTTTAAATTCTTCAAAAATATTGCCGGCGACATCTGACTGCGTATATGTGCGGTTAAAGTATTAAAATCATCCGTGCATTGTAGATTATTTATTTTCATTATAAAAGTAGAACAAACTTCACTACGACAGAGTGATCTATAAAACCTGCCTTTAATTGCTTAGTGATAATTTTACCATAATTCCCTTTGACACGTAATTACAATAGATGTTTTCATTTTGAATTTCATTTGAATGTTGCTGACATTCTGTAGGAACTATGTGACTTCCGATTTGCTAGCAAATTTCGTGACTACAGTTTCATTGTCCTTATGGTTAGTTGAGCTTGATAGCTGTACACTCAGTCCCTCATCGACAGAAACATGGTGAAGTACGACATGCACGCTTTCACTGCCTTTTGCAAAAAGAAGTTCGTTAAACGATGTCACAAATTTCCAAAAGTACATACTTTTCCATAGTTCTCCATGTTCATATCGTACAGTCCTCCCGCGCTCAAAATGCAAGGTTTGTTGCACCTTCCTATCATCATGCAAAGCAATTTCTGGAACTTGATCGGTACCTCGTACCAGTTGCAGTTGTATCTGTACAATTCCAACATGCAAAACATCTGAGTGAACCTTTTTCTGATTCAAGTGTTCTCTATGCTTTTCGTACCATGCTTACATTCTTTCTGCTAATATTGTGCTGTGGTTCAGTATGATTTGCCCGAATAGGCTGACGATGTACAAATGAAATTGTGCGCACAGAAAGAACAGAATGAATCTGGTACTGTCCAGAGGTTGATCCATGTGCATAAGTATCTGCAAAATTAGTAAAATGTAGTGTTAGCTTTAAGTATAGAGACATATTTACTTGCACGGCAGTCATGCTGATGAGTATCATGTTCAACGCAACCAGCAAAAGAAACATATTCTGGCTGCATTCCTGTAGTTTGTCGAAAAACCTAGAATAGTAACACTTATAAGTCTCCGATTTTAATTACAAATCTTTTTAAGCGGTACTAACAGCAGAGCCTTATGATGAGTCATGACGCATTGCTTGAACTGATCGTACCGCAATTCAGGCTCTTGTGTTGCTGTTTCGATCTGATATCTATGCATTGTAAGGTATTAGAATCGGTTTGACAAAATTTTTAATTTCTAATTGGATTCGTATATTTATCTCTAGAGCAATGGTTCAAAAGTATTAAAGATTCTACATATTTTAAGAAAGGACAGTGGTAAATGTATTCGTGGCGAATTAACGTTGTCTGCCACAATTGTCATCGGTGTCTCAAACACGATATAAGGTCAGTGGAAGTATTGTAAAAATATGGACACCGAAAGTACTGCATAAAGTATTTTTCTTGGGTTACGAATATGGCGGTCATTTTGTTTGCGACAGTCAACGCACTTTCCGCTTCGAAACCACGTATTTTAACGATACCGTCAAAAGTAGACGAACTATTTTGTTTCAGACAGTAACAAGGTTTTAAGCACTCACCCGCAAACGTCAAACATTCCACAAACGTGGTGAATGATTAGTATGTATAACGAATCTACGATAGAGACATTATAGACCGTCACGAATGTGGTCCAACCCAAATGTAGAAATACAGCGGCAAAATGATCATCAGCTTTCATAAATACGTAACAGACACCAAACAGAGGTTCCTTCGGTCGAGTTCCATTAATAGGCATTAGTAAATCCAGTGTCGGATTTATTAAGGGAATATATATGAATCCTAGTGTAGCTCCGATTAAGGTGACTGTAAGAAATAATCATACAGTAAATCAGTTTGCTTAATTGACTATAAATATAATATTTATTATTTTTATTGTATACCTCTGTACAACCGTGCAAGTCTACTCCCCTGCGCAGTAGTCTTCTCTAGCACCGGTAGTTCTCTCGTCAGCATCACCCAATCGTTCAGAATAAAATTTAGCAATATTTTAAACTATAATGGAGAATCGAGGGTATACATCTTAATATGTAAAACTTTCTACGTAAAGCCATATGTATGTACGTACACGTTTCTTGTTGAGTAAAATGTTTTCAAATTTAATTAGGCTTACAACGGCTAGAAGTAAATGGGGTAATTCGTCGATTATTGCATCTACATCTGTGTCTTGGATTACGACACATAACTGTATGAACTGTGGAAAAGTGTGATACGAATGTGTGCTGATATACTTTAGTGTAAATTAAAATGTAAGCGATCATCAAACCTGGTGTTAGTTCAACAAAACTAAGACTAATTTCGCGAATGGTATCTAACTAGATTTAAAATTGTAAAAATGTATCACCAGTGGTATCATGCCTAGGATTAAGGTGTAGAACATCACATTCGCACCGATCTTGCTACCCCAAGTCTCATTGAACGGATTCAATCCGAGCGTCGTTAAATACTTTTTAAGCGGTTTGTAGTGATGGAGATCGAACACCTCCTGCACTTGTTCATTCTGAAATACTGAATATCCACACTTCAATAGAAATCCATTGATTGATAAAATTAATAGCGACCGAATACGTTACAGTCGATACAAATTCACTTTCGCGAAAAATGAAAATACAAAAATAAATATTCGTTAGCTGATGAGTAGCTGAACATTCTCATAATTACTACACAATTTGTTAAGTGTATCGAGAATTAAGATCCTCTCGTACTGTTATTTCTTGTGGATTCCTTGTTCGGCATTCTTAACTGGTACGGCACAAACGTCGCGATCGAAATATTTCGAGAAAATGTCGCGTGGTTTTCTTTATACCTACATTGTCACCTCGCCGTCAGTTACGATAACTATGTTAAATAAATCAGGCGAATCTGTCAGAGTACTGCGGTCGATAATTCCACCTGCTCTTCATCCGAAGCGTCAAATGCCGTGTCGATCATGTTTGTTAACTGAAAGACGTAGATTAGCTTGTTATTCCCCAATAGTGGTATGATAAATTGATTCGCAACTGGCAGAGGTTGATTGTTTTAAATAATAAATGATCGCGATAGAACTGAGGGAAGAACTTCGTGGGACCTGCAGGTGGTTTTGAGGTATTTGCTAGTCGGTGTTTATGGCATGTCTCGTGGAGACGATTTTCTTGGCGTCTTCGTTGTAAACACATTGTAACACGTATCTGTGATTCATCTGTCTTCTTTGTAACAAGTTTCGCAGTTAACTCTGGCAAATTGTGTATTGCGAAAGACTTTTGTTTTAAAATATTGTGCAGATAAAGCAAGGAGGTGCCGACAGAGAGTGTTGTCTCTTACTCTGCGCCACTGGTTCCAAAGCAAGCTGCGCGTAATTCGCTTACCTAAAGCGGAGGTACCCCGCGATTTGGAGTGGCCCAGTGTTTGTTTTGTGTGTATGACCATGTTGAATTATTTCGTGAATGCATAAAGTTCCTTTAAATTCTTCAAAAATATTGCCGGCGACATCTGACTGCGTACAAGTGCGGTTAAAGTATTAAAATCAACCGTGCATTGTAAATTATTTATTTTCATTATAAAAGTAGAACGAAGTTGACGACGATAGAGTAATCTATAAAACATGCTCTTAATTGCTTAGTGATAATTTTACCATAATTCCCTTTGACACTTAATTACATTAGATGTTTTCATTTTGAATTTCATTTGAATATTGCTGACATTCTGCAGCAAGTATGCGACTTTCGATTCGCTGGCAAATTTCGTGGATACAGTATCATTGTCCTTATGATCAGTTGAGCTTGATAGCTGTACACTCACTCCCTCATGGACAGAAACATGGTGAAGTACGACATGCACGTTTTCACTGCCTTTTGCAAAAAGAAATTCGTTAAAAGATGTCACAAATTTCCAAAAGTACATACTTTTCCATAGTTCTCCATGTTCATATCGTACAGTCCTCCCGCGCTCAAAATGCAAGGTTTGTTGCACCTTCCCATCATAATGCAAAGCAATTTCTGGAACTTGGTCGGTACCTCGTACCAGTTGCAGTTGTATCTGTACAATTCCAACATGCAAAACATCTGAGTGAACCTTTTTCTGATTCAAGTGTTCTCTATGCTTTTTGTACCATGCTTACATTCTTTCCGCTAATATTGTACTGTGGTTCAGTATGATTTGCCCGAACAGGCTGACGACGTACAAATGAAAGTGTGAGCACAGAAAGAACAGAATGAATCTGGTACTGTCCAGAGGTTGATCCATGTGCATAAGTATCTGCAAAATTAGTAAAATGTAGTGCTAGCTTTAAGTATAGAGATATATTTACTTGCACGGCTGTCATGCTGATAAGCGTCATGTTCAACGCAATCAGCAAAAGAAACATATTCTGGCTACATTCCTGTAGATTGTCGAAAAACCTAGAATAGTAACAGTGAATAGTAGAATAGTAGTGCAAGTCACCGATGTGAGTTACAAATCATTTTAAGCGCTACTAACTTCAGAGCTTTATGATGAGTCATCACGCATTGCTTGAACTGATCGTATCGCAATTCAGGGTCTTGTGTTGCTACTTCGATCTGATATCTGTACATAGTAAGGTATTGGAATTGGCTTGAGAAAATTTTTGATTTCTAATTGGATTCGTATATTTATCTCCAAAGCAATGGTTCAAAAATATTAAAGATTCTACATATTTTAAAAAAGGACAGTGGTAAATGTATTCGTGGCGAATTAACGTTGTCTGCCACAATTGTCATCGGTGTCTCAAACACGATCATAAGATCAGTGGAAGTATTGTAAAAATATGGACACCGAAAGTACTGCATAAAGTATTTTTCCTGGGTTACAATTATGGCGGTCATTTTGTTTGCGACAGTCAACGCAGTTTCCGCTTCGAAACCACGTACTTTAACGATACCGTCAAAAGTAATCGAACTATTTTGTTTCAGACAGTAACAAGGTTTTGAGTACTCACCCGCACACGTCAAACAATCCACAAACGTGATGAATGATTAGTATGTATAACGAATCTACGATAGAGATATTGTAGACCGACAGGAATGTGGTCCAACCCAAATGTAGAAATACGGCGGCAAAGTGATCATCAGCCTCTACAAATACGTAACATGCACCAAATAGTTGTTGCTTCGGTCGAGTTCCATTGATAGGCATTATTAAATCCAGTGTTGGATTTATTAAGGGAATGTATATGAAGACTAGTGCAGCTAAGATTAAGGTGACTGTAAGAAATAGTGATACATTAAATCAGTTTTCTTCATTGACTATAAATACAATCTTTATTGTTTTTATTGTATACCTCTGTACAACCGTGCAAGTTTACTCCCCTGCGTCGTAGTTTTCTCCAGCACTGGTAGTTCCTCCGTCAGCACCACCCAATCGTCCAGAATAAAATTTAGTAATATTTTAAACTATAATGGAGAATCGCGACTATAGATCTTACACATATAAAACTTTCTTCGTAAGGCCATATGTAAGTACGTACACGTTTCTTGTTGAGTAAAATATTTTCGAATTTAATGAGGCTTACAATGAGTATGAGTAAATGAGGTAATTCGTCGATTATTGCATCTGCATCCGTGTCCTTGATTACGACATATAACTGTATCAACTGTGGAAAAGTGTGATTCGATTGTGTGTTGATATACTTTAGTGTAAATTAAAATGTAAGCGATCATCAAACCTGGTGTTAGTTCGAACTATTTTGTTTCAGACAGTAACAAGGTTTTGAGTACTCACCCGCACACGTCAAACAATCCACAAACGTGGTGAATGATTAGTATGTATAACGAATCAACGATAGAGACATTATAGACCGTCACGAATGTGGTCCAACCCAAATGTAGAAATACAGCGGCAAAATGATCATCAGCGTCTACAAATACGTAACATGCACCAAATAGTTGTTGCTTCGGTCGAGTTCCATTGATAGGCATTATTAAATCCAGTGTTGGATTTATTAAGGGAATGTATATGAAGACTAGTGCAGCTAAGATTAAGGTGACTGTAAGAAATAGTGATACATTAAATCAGTCTTCTTCATTGACTATAAATACAATCTTCATTGTTTTTATTGTATACCTCTGTAGAACCGTGCAAGTCTACTCCCCTGCGCAGTAGCTTTCTCTAGCACCGGTAGTTCTCTCGTCAGCATCACCCAATCGTTCAGAATAAAATTTAGCAATATTTTAAACTATAATGGAGAATCGAGGGTATACATCTTAATATGTAAAACTTTCTACGTAAAGCCATATGTATGTACGTACACGTTTCTTGTTGAGTAAAATGTTTTCAAATTTAATTAGGCTTACAACGGCTAGAAGTAAATGGGGTAATTCGTCGATTATTGCATCTACATCTGTGTCTTGGATTACGACACATAACTGTATGAACTGTGGAAAAGTGTGATACGAATGTGTGTTGATATACTTTAGTGTAAATTAAAATGTAAGCGATCATCAAACCTGGTGTTAGTTCAACAAAACTAAGAATAATTTTGTGAATGATATCAAAGTAGATTTAAAATTGTAAAAGTATATCACCAGTGGTGTAATGCCTAGGATTAAGGTGTAGAACATCACATTCGCACCGATCTTGCTACCCCAAGTCTCGTTGAACGGATTCAATCCGAGCGACGTTAAATACTTTTTAAGCGGTTTGTAGTGATGGAGATCGAAAACCTCCTGCACTTGTTCATTCTGAAATACTGAATATCCACACTTCAATGGAAATCCATTGATTGATAAAATTAATAGCGACCGAATACGTTACAGTCGATACAAATTGACTTTCACGAAAAATGAAAATACAAAGATAAATATTCGTTAGCTGATGAGTAGCTGAACATTCTCATAATTACT